GCATCGGCATGTTGCAGACGGTTGCAGGTCGACCACGTGTGATGTCACATGCAGAGGATCGTCAGATTGTCTTACGTCACCTCCGTAACCGATTTTTGACGGCTACATCAACCAGAAATGAACTGTTTAGGGGTAGACTGAGTGCGCAAACTGTTCGAAACCGTCTGAGAACTGCTCACCTTCAAGCACGACGTCCATACTGCGGGCCGATTCTGACTCAATTACACAGACGTCAACGTCAGTTGTGAGCACAGCGACACCTACGATGGACTCAGAGGAATTGGAATTAAGTCGTCTTCAGTGATGAATCCCGATTTAATCTTCCATTTGCTGATGGTAGGGCGAGGGTGTGGAGGCGCCGTCATGAACTTTCAGCGGAGGCGGAAGTGTCATGGTGTGGGGTGCTTTCTGTGGCAATGCACGTTCCAGGCTTCTTGTCATCCGTGGCAACCTCAACGCTGCTGCTTTACGCGACCAGGTACTGGCACCAGAACTTCTTTTATGGCAGCACATGGACCCGGTTTGATCTTCCAACACGACAATGCCAGACCCCACACAGCAATTTTGACAAGGAATTTCCTTCAGAATGCGGGAGTCAACATCATGGACTGGCCGTCAAGGTCTCCCGACATCAATCCCATCGAACACGTCTGGGATGCTCTTGGCAGAAGTCTGCGCACTCTCCAGAACCAACCACAGAATTTGCAAGATCTTGGCACCATTTTGCAGCAACAATGGCGTCGTCTTCCCAATCATGTGTTCACAAGCATCACAAGGTCCATGCGGAGGCGTTGTGTGGCAGTTGCCAACGCACATGGTGGCCATACACGCTACTGAACTTGTGTGCCATCAGATTCTGTACTTGGGACTTATGATTTAAACTGTTCATATTATTACCGAATACCGTAGGTGCTTGGAACAAATTATGGTTACCACCGTTGATTAAAATCCTTCTTTGGACATTATTGATAAAAAAAATTACCTTCTCTGATACATTTGTCTGTTGTATATCATATATGGGATTACTTATAAAAATGTGAAGTTTTTAATTTGACTAAAATTGGCAAATTCTATTATAGTTCGTCTTGACATTTGTCATCGCACATATGCAAAGCATATTTGTTCTGGTGGTATTTTAATGCACGTGCATGTACTTATTTGAAATGCTGAGTGTCAACCAACGTTTCAGGGACACCTTCCTATTCTTGAAGAAATACGGATGAAGGTGGATCAGCTATTGGAATCTGCGTCAACCAGTCTCTGCCCTACAACCACGTGTCCCCAACTGCCGCCTCTTGTGAGAGGGTTTTGTGTCAACATCCAGGACTTCGTTAGTAAGTATTAACAAAGCAGGAATTAGTATATGTGATAATAATGTGTGAATTTGTTATTGAGTATGAGACAATGTAGGGATTCAGCAGTGAGTATTGTAACAAAGTAGATTTGGTAGAGAATTATGACAATGTTGATAATAGTGAAAATGATAACAACGTAGGAATTTGTTGTGAGTATAACAATGCATGAATTTGTTAGCGAATGTGATAACAATGCATGGATTTGTTGGTAAGTATGATAACAATGCATGAATTTATTGGTAAGTATGATAACAATGCATGAATTTATTGGTAAGTATAACAATGTAGAAATTTGTTGTGAGTTTAACAATGCATGAATTTGTGAGCGAGTGTGATAACAATGCATGAATTTGTTAGCGAGTGTGATAACAATGCATGAATTTGTAAGCGAGTGTGATAACAATGCATGAATTTGTTACCGAGAGTGATAACAATGCATGAATTTGTAAGCGAGTTAATAACAATGCATGAATTTGTGAGCGAGTGTGATAACAATGCATGCATTTGTGAGGGAGTGTATTAACAAATTGTTGTGAGTGTGATAATGATGTTGGAATTTGTTGAGTAAAGAGTTGAGAAAGCTAACATTCATGAAGGTATTTCACTGTTGCAATTACATAATCGAGTTTAGATAAACATTCGCGGATGAAACATCGCTTGCAAAATAATAAGGGATGGAAGTACATTAGTTTACCTTACTGTTACCATTGGCTTTATTTTGATCCATGTCTCTGTCTAATAGTTTCGCCAGACAGAAGCAGAATAAATCAGTTCTCCAGATGCCTTGGAGTTAATCGAACCAGACTGCTTGAACTAAAGGAGGAACTGGATTACACCGGCGATGTTGCTACTCTGTTCTGGGCCGTCATCTGTGAGTGGAACGGAATCAGTGTTACCCAGGCAACCCGTGCCACCAGGCTGAATCAGCTGATACAGGCCTGTGATGAGTGTGGAATACATAATCCCTTAGATGGTAAATAAAAATGCACTCTATGGTGTGAATCCCATTTTCACAGAACGTGAACATGTTGTTAGAGTGTGTGAGTTTGAGTCCCCGAGTTTCACCATATGCTCAGAAGCAGTTATCAATTATGCAAAGTCGAAAAACAAAGAAAGGTTCAGAATTTTTTGTTATAACATGGCTTGCCATCTCGGGAGGAAAGCCCAAAGTGTTGCAGTTCTTAGACATCTACCATTTTGTAGCACGGACATGGTGCTGACTAACCTAGAAACATAATCGGGATAAATTGGGTGGTGGGGTGATTTCAGCGAGGTGAGAGGGGGCGGGGGGTTACTTGAGTAAACAGACAAGTAGACTTTTGTTTGATTGACCTTACGAATAATTGCCCCGACCCTTGTCTTTGTTACTCTCTCACCTTCTGGTGATCATTTCAGGCTAGTTCTAATTCTTGTTATTGGACCGAGTGCACAGACTTAGAACAAATTGGATCTGTGTTGCCATAAACTTCAAGTAAGCAGATAATCAAAAGGTTCTCAATTACTTGTATAAAACTGGGACTGCCAATTTGCCCGAAACTGCTCTTCCTTTAGTCTTCTTATTGTGTCAGCGGAATCATCTATATATATACCATCGTGTTTCTATTTTCAGTGCGCCCGATGCCAACCAAAGACCGTCTAATCATTGAGAAGATCTACTCGTACCTGGTGGAGCACCTCATGGTCCGACCAGCTCTTGTCTACCTACGGGATTCTCAAAAGCTCACTCCAAACATAGTCCAGTATGTGCAGGATCCCCAGCCAAACCCAGATCAAGTCCAGAGGTTTGTGGAAGTCCTACCCGTGTGTGGTGACCAGGCTCTGGACATCTTCGTGGACGCTCTGCAGAAATCTGAACAACAACATATTGTAGATGCCATGGTTGCCTCAGAACCAAGGAGGTTTCAAGGTATGTGTGATATTCAGCGGCCTGTAAAAATCGTGTAATGCATTAATATGTAGATTTGAAATTCACATTGAGTTGAGTCCCGATGACCTTGAAGGCCACGGCAGTATGTTCTGATCTCTCATGAAATCAGAGACTCGTGTTTAGTTCGGCCGAGCATTGTTATGCTGAAAAAGGATGTCTAATGCTTTCAGAGCCAGGACATTAAATCTCCTCACATTAACGCACACCTGTTAAGTTGCCCTGGATATGAACACGGTCTGTTTTCCGCCCTTAAAGGTGGCTCACCACATCATAAACCTTGCTCCATCGGATCTGACGACTTCTTGAGAGCAACATCCGGTATAACGCTCAATTCATCACAGATAATATCACTATACCAGGGAGTAAGATAATATCACTATACCAGGGAGTAAGATAATAGCAATATACCAGGGAGTAAGATAACAGCAATATACCAGAGAGTAAGATAACAGCAATATACCAGGGAGTAAGATAACAGCAATATTCCAGGGAGTATGATAACAGCAATATACCAGGGAGTAAGATAACAGTAATATACCAGGGAGTAAGATAACAGCAATATTCCAGGGAGTAAGATAACAGCAATATACCAGGGAGTAAGATAACAGCAATATACCAGGGAGTAAGATACCAGCAATATACCAGGGAGTAAGATAACAGCAATATTCCAGGGTGTAAGATAACAGCAATATACCAGGGAGTAAGATAATAGCCATATTCCAGGGAGTAAGATAACAGCAACATACCAGGGAGTAAGATAACAGCAATATACCAGGGAGTAAGATAACAGCAATATTCCAGGGAGTAAGATAACAGCAACATACCAGGGAGTAAGATAACAGCAATATACCAAGGAGGAAGATAATAGCAACATACCAAGGAGTAAGATAACAGCAATATACCAGGTAGGAAGATAATAGCAACATACCAGCGAGAAAGATAATAGCAACATACCAGGGAGTAAGATAACAGCAATATTCCAGGGAGTAAGATAACAGCAATATTCCAGGGAGTAAGATAATAGCAATATACCAGGGAGAAAGCCAGGATTTTGATTGCAGTCTACGTTATTACTGAGTGTTGGCCTGACTATTTTCAAAAATCACTTTGTTATCTGAATGATTTGTGAAAACGTGTCATAAACTTGATCAAGATATCTGTGACGAAATCCAAAGACTACATGAAAACTGCTTTTTCTGTTGCCAATGTAACGAATCATGCAAATGTCAAAGGTCATCCATGACAATAAAACCGTCTTGTGACACTTCGTCAGTTAATACGAACATGTAGAGACCCGTGAAGATCCGGGATAGAATAGGTCTTCAGCAAACCATGCTTGCCGTAAAAGGTGACTATGCTTCTAGTAAGAGGCGACTAACGGGATCGGGTCGTCAGGCTCGCTGACTTGGTTGGCGCATGTCATCGTATCCCAATTGCGTGGATCGATGCTCATGATGTCAGTCACTGGATTGTCTGGTCCAGACGCGTTTTTTATACAGACCGCCGTCATATAGCTGGAATACTGCTGAGAGCGGCGTTAAACAACAAATAAACAAGCAAACAAACTTGTATGTCACCTAGCAGTGCAACATGGAATATTTTCCATCCACGAAGGCTTCTTTTGAAAATATTGTTACCACTTATGTGTTTCTTTGTTTTGAAAAGTATATATGATAATTCTCATCATGATTCAGGTGCCAAACTTGATGATGTTTCAGATCCAATGCACAAAGACCAGCAAGGAATATACAGAAGAAAAAGTGAAAAGACAGAGAAAAAGAAATTCAGCTTTAAGACTTTCAATTTTTTTCCAATCTTCAACTTGAAAACGAAATAAACGCAACAAGAACCATTTCTTTGAAATCTTCGTAGAAAGGGTATGGTCGATTATCATACCTTCATTTTTTATTTTTTTTTAAGTAATGTCTGATTGTTACAACTGAAATATTACGTTTTATTTCGACAACGCTGATTGAAATGACTTCTCTTAAAATTGGCATCAATTCGGATGAGACAAGAAAGTGTTGTGGCAACACAGTTTATTATACCTTAGAATAGTGAGGCACGAAAAAAGTGTGTATAGTGATGTGAAAAATGGCAAATTGATAAATCCGATATCACTAGAATACATTTAAGAAAGAAACAGCTGAATGCTTTCGGTGCCATCTAACCTATGCCATAAAGTTTTGTTTTTTTATACTTGGAGGTGTTCAATCTACTGGCTTTTTGTTTGCTTGCTTGTTGTTTCAGGAGTAAAATTACTTTTATTTGTGTAGATTACATTAATAATGTGTGCTTCGCATACGGTTCTGGTCATAGTGACCAAGTCAAGTACGTCAACGTCTGTATTTTCATGATTTTGTGGTATGTTCGCGGCATAGTGCTTATTTCCGTTCCAATGTCCTCTGACGGTTCTATCATTCAGAATGTTCAAAGCTTTCTTAGATAAACTATTTACATGGAGGTATAGTTACTTGGCTAGATATATATCGTTTTTGTCAGTGTATATTGGGGGACTGTTTATTCACTTTGTGGGGTTCATGGCTCGTACCAAAGGGGGGAAAAAGAGGGAAAGATGTTTGGCAGAATTATTTATGATATTGTGTAACTGTTGAAATATTAAAACAATGAAATAAACAATTAAGAAAGTTGTTTCATTTAACGGGGTCTTTGTTGAGGACTAGTCTATTCGCCGTCCTTATCATACCTAAATGCATGGTTAGCCGGTTGGCTCTTGTAGCCTAGCGCGTCCTTCCATCAGGACTGACATGTCGGTTATTTGGTGATTTATGTCATCAGGTCTTTGAAAGACCTTTAGAAGTAAAACACATAAGGAAGAGAACTTATGGATGTCAACATACTGTAAAGTGTTGGCTTCCATTGTCTATTGCTAATCACTTATCAGCGCCAATCATCTGTTGGCTTCCCTTGTTAGTTTCCACTCCTTGTTGAGTTTCCACGTTTTGTTATCTTATTAATTGTACATACCGTATTCAACGTAATAAGCGCCCAGGGCGCTCTCCAAATTAGGAATAGGGGGCTCTTATTAGAATATTATTTTGGAGAAAAAAAACAGAGTTCCAAGGTAAATTTCGTGGTTTATGCTGACAGTCTGAAATGTTTATGTACGACAGATATATTTTTCCAGAATTTAATTGCCCATAATTAAGGGTGCATATAACACACGAGTGCATATTATACGCGAATAAATAAGTCTTGCGTACATTGATAAATTGGAAGGGGTGCTAATTGGGATTGTTCACTAGCCAATATATTAACAAATGTTGCCGTGGGCGCTTATTAGAGCGGGGCGTTTATTACGTCGAATACGGTATATATGATCTCTGCCTCATGGCATTCATTCACCTGATGAAGGAGTAAGCATGTTCTCTGAAACGTTGTGTTCCTCATATTAAAGAAGTTGACATCCATAAATTCTCTTCCTTATGATTTATGTCATGTATAACACGCAGCGTCTGTTATTCGAAAATCTTTCCTTTAAATGTTCCTCGTCTTTTATGCAGTTTGCTTTCAAATAAATAGTGTTTGTTCCTTACTAGTTATGTTATCATAATCGTGAGTTTGTCTGATGACACGCTGCATGGGTGAGTGAGTGAGTGAGTGAGTGAGTGAACACATCGTCCTCCTGTCAGAAACAGAGCAATTAATTTGTCAAAACTGTCAGTTCGGGTTGTCTGAATCTATTAAAACAGTTGTAATTTCCGATTTGCCGATACACGGTAAGGCGAAGCAAAGAGAGTGAGTGAGTGAGTAAGTTGGGCTTAACGCCACTTTTAACAGTATTCCAGTTATATCACGGAGTGTCAGCTTATTGTGGGAGGAAAGCCCCAAGTGATGCAGGTCTCAGACGTTTTCCACTTCGGTGAAACCAACGAGCACGGGTGTGGTACTGACAAACCTAGAAACATAATCGGGGCGAACCGGGATTCGAACCCACAATCATAGGTTTCTGGTGTGCCGAAAGGACGCAACTCTGCACAGCGAATCGGGTCGCCTCGGACGACTGGGCCACCCGTACCCATAAACGCTGCATGACAGTCGCGATGAGAAACCTTGTCCACTCCGCGATAGTGCATGGAAATAAAATGACCAACCGAGGTTGTGTTGGTGGCACGCATACTTGTGCCATAGCGACTGATTTACGACAACCATTGTCTGAAGAATATTTGATTTAAAAGGCTAATTACCCTGTAGCCATGACATGTGCATGTCTCCATAACTTAATTGTCATTATGTATTAGTCGCTAATGCCCGTTGTTAATCCTCACCACCATTTCATTGTATATTGACTGTCAGCCAGCCTGGGCTACTATATCATCACGTCTATATGTCCAATGTCCAGGGCATCGTCATTGTCTCTTTGTCTGTCCATTGTTGTTCGTTTCTACATATGTGTTATTATTACAGTGTTAGTCAAGCTTGGTATTCCGAGCATGGGGTAGGGACGACCTCGAGCAGGATGTGCCGCTCGTTGTTTAACGCCGCACTGAGCAACATTCTAGCTATATGACAGCGGTCTGTAAATAATCGAGTCTGGACCAGACAATCCAGTGATTGACAACATGAGCATCGATCCACGCAATTCGGATCGATGACATGCATCGACGAAGTCAGCAAGCCTGACCACCCGATCCCATAAGTCGCCTTTTACGACAAGCATAGTCGCCCTTTACGGCAAGCATGGGTTGCTGAAGACCTATTCTACCCCGGATCTTCACAGGTCCAATGTTTGTCTTAAGAGGCGACTATGATTTCCGAAAGAGGTGACTAGCGGGATCGGGTGGTCAGGCTTGCTGATTGGTTGATTCATGTCATCGTATCCCAATTGCGTGGATCGATGCTCTTATAGCTGGAATATTGCTGAGTGCTGCGTTAAACACCATACAAACACAACGTGTTAGCTTAATGTGGGAGAACATCCAAAAACCAAAAATCCTAATCAGGGAGAATCAGGAATTCGAAACCACTATCATAGATTTCTGGCACACCTAAGGGAAGCAACTCTGCACAACTGACGACCGGGCCACACTTACCTCTACATGCACAGGTACACACAAACAATATTTGAAACAACTTGAATATCTAAATAGAAGTTTCATACGAATATTTAATAGTTTGGTAGGTATCGTCCTCGCCAAATACACCACAGCATCCCGCAAACAAAGTCCGTGGCTGCATCTATTGAGCCTATTGACAAATCTTAACGCATCATTTGAACGTGGAAGCTTCCATTCCAGACTATGCTTTAAAAAGTATTTTGAATCAGTCATAGATTGTGTTAAACTTTGGAGGTTGCATGGTCAGAAAACATATTCCGCTAACAATGTAACATTTAATATGAATTTTGCCCTTTTCCTCTTTATTTACTACAACGTGTTTGAATCGTTATCTATCGTGTAGTTGTCCAATTTTCGATCATGAACGTTGATACTACCTAATTTCGTTTATCCGACATACTCGTTAATCCGACATAATCATATGCAACCAACAATGTCGGATTAACATTCTTTCCTCATACTCTGATATGTTTCATCATGTTTTTATTTCCAGCAGATCAAATACTGTAACTGAGAACAGAAATTATATTGATAAAATATGAAGACAAATTGATTATCCACTGACGCGAGAAGCCTCGCGGCCTGTTAAGCAGGCTCTGTGTCTACGGTATGTAACTACAACACACGTTTAAGCAGTGAGCTTTGACGAGCCGCCAAGAACCTCATGAATATTGATTAACTCAGTTTAGCTGGGACACAAACCAAGATGGACGGATAACAGATGAATCACAACCTTGTAAACAAGAGCAGTTATCTCCCCCTGCACGTGTTCCTGTTCAGGAAAAATGAGGTAAGTTGTTGTTTGTGAAGATGCGGTAGAGAGATGAGTGGAGATGGGTATTATATTCAACAACACTTCTCCACATCACACGTAGCTTTGCGGAGAAGGTATTCCTGTCAGTATATCACCATGGAGCAAGCATGCTCGCGGTCAGTTGGGTAGATTAAATCTAGATGTGTACTCCCACCATCATCATCATACCCTCTTGCATTCATCACCATTGGTTCAAGATAATCCCCATTTCCAACACAGTTAACCATGCGTGTCAACACATTTGACAAGACGAACGTTGTTGTTTAAGATCAATAACCGCAGTTCCAAAAATCGATATTTGTCACCCGGAATAACAGTCTCGCAGCTACAGCTGTCCCGACACAGGATGGCTCGCATCAGCGACTCAGTTAAGCGGGTAACGGGACATCTAATGTGGGTGGGACTCCTTAATCTATGCAGACTTTTGCTTGAAGGATAAAACATACGCATTGAATTCGCGTTTCAAGAATTGCTTCAAGTCAAGATACTTATGTATGGCGCTGGTCCGGACTGAAACACTTGAAGCTAACTGGTGACTTTGGTACGTGATATGAAGTGGAGGGAGAATATTCAACTCCCAGCAGTTAACGGTAGGAATGTACACCTCGTCAATCACCAATTAAGCTCGGAATTAGCATCGAGTATGTGAAATGAGAGCATAGCCAAGAAACACATATGTTGCATATTTTTTGGTATAAGAATAACATATATCGCGTCTTTTGTTTTAGCGTCAATACGAACTGCGGCGCAAAAGAAAGTAGACAACCATGTTTGATGGTGGCCATAAATGAGTGAGTGAGTGAGTTGGGTTTAACGCCGCTTTTAACAGTATTCCAGTTATATCGCGGCGTGTCAGCTTAATGTGGGAGGAAAGCCCGAAGTGATGCAGGTCTTAGACGTTTACCACTTCGGTGAAACCCACGAGCACGGGTATTGTGCTGACAAACCTAGAAACATATTCGGGGCGAACCGGGATTTGAACCCACAATCATAGGTGTCTGGTGTGCCCAAGGGACGCAACTCTGCACAGCGAATCGCGGCGCCTTAGACGACTGGGCCACCCGTGCCCCCTGGCCATAAATGAAACAGGAAATGGTTATTTGATGGTGATGTACAGTAAAGTACGATTATAACGAACACGCTTATAACCAACTGACGGATATAACGAACTGTTTTTTGTCCCTATCCATTTGCTGTAATTATGCTGTATATGTCCTTATAACGAACTACGGTTATTACGAAATAAATTTAGTGGTCCCTTTTAGTTCGTTATAACCGTAGTTTACTGTATTTGATACGGGTAATAGTTGTGTTTGGACCTTAAGTCTGCAGTGTTCCTGTGACTTATTTCAACCTAGTGACGTTTTGATAACGTTTTGTAATGTTTTGGTCAAAATTAATTTTCAAGAATATACTTTCTTTTACCCCGGCAGTTGATGTACCTTCTTGCGAGTTAGAATATACACTCTTCAAAAAATAAAACGCACAGGTAGATTTTTAGTAAATTTATTGTACCTAATTAAGTCGATATAAATTTTTATTTAATTTAACATTATAGATACAAATATGAAATTTAGAGCTTGATAGTCACATGTAGTGGGAATTCTGCGCCATTCTGCTTCTAACGCGTTGGCCAGTTGTGGGAGTGTCTGCGGCGTGTTCTGGCGCTGACCTACACGTCGATCGAGTTCATCCCAGAGGTGTTCGATTGGGTTTAGATCTGGAGATCTCGACGGCCAGGGCAATACGTTGATGTTGGCATTATGCAGGTAATCTACCGTGACACGAGCTGTGTGCAGTGGAGCATTCTCCTGTTGAAACAGCTCCCTCTGGCGGTCAATAATTGGAAGAAGGTGATGTTGAAGAATTTAATTCATGCGATTTGCTGTCAGATTTCCCTGAACCACAACCAAGTCAGATCTCGTGGTGTAGGATATAGCCCCCACACCATGACACTACCGACACCGAAATTGTCGAATTCACGTATACACAGTGTGGGGCAAAACGCTCTTTTCGACGACGATAAATACGTTGTCGTCCATCTCGCCGGTAAAGAAGAAATCGTGATTCATCGCTAAACCAGACTCGTCTCCAGTTTCTCAAATTCCAAGGCTGTATGGCACCAATGCAAGCGTCGCTGTTGGTGGATCTGTTGCAAAACAGGGACGATAACTGGTCGTCTGGGTCGGATTCCAGCCTCGCGAAGATGGTTCCTGACAGTCTGGTCCGATATCTTCCTCAAACAGGAATGCGTCCTGCAGTCTCCGTAGATATGGCATTCCGATGACGTTGGTGGAACAGTCGAATGTAGCGATCCTGTGTAGGGGTGGTAACTCTTGGTCGGTCGGTTCTCGGACAGTCTGCAGTGGAATTGAACTGTGTGTATCGTTCACAAAGGCGGCAAATGGTGCAGTGGTGGACGTTGAAGTGGCGTTCAAACGAAGACTGCGATTCCCCTCTTTGGATACGTCCTATGGCGATGTTCCGACCTGCAGCGCTGAGTCTCGGCATTTTCAAACTTGAAAAAATGTTAACAATTGAATGACAAATTATTGGTTTATGCTTGCCTTTTTATAGCCACTACCACGAGTTACGAATGCCATAACTTGCACGTGCATTTTGCTTTACTGTTGTGAAAACAGTGCCATTTAAGAAATTGCAAATCGACAATGGCAGCGTTTTGACGCACTGTTTGTCCAATATCACGCCACCAACATTTTCCAATAACATACATCCAATTTATATACCGATGTTTTGTGTAGTCAGGTTCAATGAACTACATAGTACCTGTGCGGTTCTTTTTTTTAGGGGATAGGTCCCGTGGAACATATGCTCGTCGTAAGTGGCTCAGATGATCAGGTTCGGTGCCGCGATTGATAGCGTGTCATAGTTCCCCGGCGGATCATGCTCATAATATCAATTACTGGATTGTCTGGTTCAGATTCGATTATGTACAGGCCACTGTCATATAACTGGAATATGGCTGAGTGTGGCGTTAAACAAAAAAAAACCAAATTTTAGAGTATCACTTGAAATTACATGACAGTGTTTCTTCTACATTTGGCGGCCCGAAAGGGCCTAACTCTGAACTAATTTCGTAAACGTTTTGTTCTGTTTTTCAGAGCGTGTATAATGCGAATCGTGTTTACAGATGAAGAGACAAACTAAAGGTAGACTGGTCAATGCGTTAATACCTTCATTCTGGTCGAACTGTTGTCTGGGGCAACACTGTGAAACCCTAGAGTCTCTGTAAGTTGTTTAGCATCAGGAAGCTGAGGATTGAGGAAGATCAAACGAGGTGTTGCCATGTATCAGCCGAAGTACAATCACCGCATCCCTGCGTACGACAGCAACACGGTGACAGGCAACAAAATGTTTAACGCTAGTTTCAGAAACGGAATAGTCGTTCCACCCAGTGAATCAGGCACTGGTGGGGGCCGGATAGGGCAGCTGGAGACACAAATGGCGGAAGAGCAGTGGGCCAGGATGGAGGCGGAAAACAGAGTTGTCTCCCTTGAGAATGAACTCGCTCTTGTGAAATTAAAGGAAAGAGAGTACAAAGATGCCATCTCTCAGCTGGAGTATGAGCTGAATGAATTACGATGTGGGCGGACGTCCAGGTTGAACAGCGTTGCCGAGGCTCCAGTCCTGCCTCCGCCCCCCGAGTTCAGGACCAAGGCCAAGAGCTGCAGTCAGCTGCTAGCGGTTGACTATTCGACGACGAGCTTTGCCGCAACATCATTGTCCGTCGGCGACATCGACTCGGAGACGGAGCAGGTTTGTACAGAATTATAATTGAGAATTATGATGGGGTGTGACATTAGTAGTTATCATTAAGATAAAGTGTTACATTATAATATTGACGCAAATGAGCCGTCGGAGGTGGATCGCTCCTTTATTCTTTAAGTTTTTATCATAGGATGTTTGTTTGTTGTTTTACGCCGCACTCAGCAAAATTCCAGCTAAATGACGGCGGTCTGTAAACAATCGAGATTGGCCCAGACAATCCAGTGATTGACATCATGAGCATCGATCCACGCAACTGGGATACGATGACATGCATCAACCAAGTCAGCGAGTTTTACGTTTTACGTTAAACGTTCCTGACAAATGTTGGCTATTCTTTTGCGTGTGATTCTGTTGTTGAACAATACTCCCACAAACCGATTGGAACAACGTTTGCCGTGGTATGTGCTATAGTATTGAGAGAGCTTGAGTGAGTGAGTGAGCTTAGGTTTAACGCTGCTCTAAACAGAAGTTCCGGGATATCTACTGTGCTACCAGTGGGCCCATTATGACTAGATCTGGGACGTCTGTCATCCCTTATTCACCTTTGACGGGGCTTCTGATGCAAAGGTTCTAATCTTTACATGTATCTTGAACAACATATCACTATGATACACATCTCTTTACTGCTGGGGACACGGGTGGCCCAGTCTTCTAAGGCGCTGCTATACGCTCTGCAGAGTTGCGTCCCTTGGGCACGCCAGAAACCTATGATTGAGGGTAGGGCTGGGACGAGTCCAAATTTACTACACGGGTACCCACCTCCCTATCACCCGACCCTACCAGGGTACCCACTGAAGATCTCAGGAGATGTCTCAAAATGTCCGATTGGGAATATTTTTAGCATAGCCCTGGCAAAACGTTTATAGATACATGTATTAAACAATCTGGTCATTCATACACTGAAGTTGAATTAAGTTATATCTTTATTCAACCATATGAAAAATCACACAGGGTGCATAGTCAGAAAGAAAGGCGAACATTGGTGACTCGAGGTGTTACCATAGAGTTCTAGATAATTTTTGTCATTAAACAATACATCACGTGACTAACCACGGGTCCGGGTAGTCCTGTGGGTACCCGGGTCCTACTCAGTACCCACCCGTCCCGGGTACCCGAGTTACCCGTCCCAGCCCTAATTGTGGGTTCGAATCCCGGTTCGCCCCGATTATGTTTCTAGGTTTGTCAGCACCATACCCGTGCTCGTGGGTTTCACCGAAGTGGTAAACGTCTGAGACCTGCATCGCTTCAGGCTTTCCTCCCACATTAAGCTGACACGCCGTGATATAACTTGAATACTGTTAAAAGCGGCGTTAAACCCAACTCACTCACTCACTCTCTTGAACCGGAGTAATGACTCCTGACAGGGAATTCCAAAGATTGGCAGAAATATGGGCAAATGTACGAGATAAGAATGTCGTACGTTTGGAGAAAGGAATACAGCTTAAATTGAGAGCTTGATCGGAGAGGACGAGCAGCTGGGGCAACACACGTTGCCGAGGTCAAACAGGCCGGGAACGGCTCCGTGTATACACTGGTAGGTCAGTGATAATAATTCGGAAGTTAGTTCTCTGCCTGATTGATAGTTAGTAACGTGATTTAAGAGGGGTGTAACATGACAATCTTACGCCTTAGCGGCAAATAAGCAAATCAGAAATTACAACTGCTTTAATAGATTTAGAACTACTCGAACTAACAGTTTTGACAAGTTCAAGTTCTTCTCCGACAGGAGGACGATGTGTTTGACTCCACCAGGCGCGGTCACGTGGGTGTCTCCCCCACCAATGTAGCTGCCGGATTCAGTGAACTCTCGTCAAAAGAAACTCCTATTGCGAGATTGTGCGAGACGCAAGAACAGAGGGATAAACTGGCTAATATGCTGGCAAAAGAGGTAATTTTATTTTTATTTTTATAGAATAAGTCTTCTCTTTCAAAGTCTGACAAAGAATATCCAACCATCAAGGTTCTTCTACTACCTCCATGGTTATAAAAATATACGAATTAAAAACTTTAAACATTATATGAGGAGCCTGTTCTTGTTGTGTACATCACTCTCTCGTCCACAGAACTGTTAAAACGGCATCACGTTACTGCAGTAACACTTGAATTTTGGTTTTTGCATATCCCAGAGTACCAAAATGGAATTGCAGAAAAGTAAGGCGGCGTGAAGAGAGAGATAATGAGTGGAATTTAGACACGATAACGATTCTTCTTTTTACTAACACCTAATATTGTTTTTATTTTAATTACGCGATGAACTCTATACCTGTGTAGATCTGCAGTTACCGAGAAGACATCGTACTGGCTAACAAGACCATCTCGGATGTAAACAAGAAGATTCAGCACTTTAACGAGATCAGCTCGCAGTGCCCTCTGCGCCACACTAAAGACAAATCACTTCCTTCACACATCCGGGGATTTTGCTGTGACCTACAACCTTTCCTAGGTAAGAGAAGCCCTGAAAACATAACAGAAAAATTGCCGCCGCGACCGGTACTTCGAACAGTTGCCACCACTGTCGGTACTTCAAACAATTGCTACCACTGTCGGTACTTCAAACAATTGCCACCACGACCGGTACTTCGAACAATTGCTACCACTCTCGGTACTTCGAACAATTGCCACCACTATCAGTTCTCCGAACAATTGCCACCACTACCCATAGTCCGAACAATTGCCACCACTGTCGGTACTTCGAACAATTGCCACCACTATCAGTTCTCCGAACAATTGCCACCACTACCCATAGTCCGAACAATTGCCACCACTGTCGGTACTTCGAACAGTTCCACCACTATCGGTACTTCGAACAATTGTCACCACGACCGGTACTTCGAACAATTGCCACCCCTATCGGTACTTCGAACAATTGCTAACACTCTCGGTACTTCAACAAAACAATTGCCACCACTATCGGTACTTCGAACAATTGCTCGTTTATATATATATATATATATATATATATATTAATGCGGTATTCTTCTGGTGACACAACAAACAAACAATCCATGTCAATGTCTATGTACGTATATTTCAGATGACAGGGTGTGGGAGTTCTCGCAGAGTCTCGTGCCCGACCACGAGACACTCATCCGGCTACGAGAAGACCTTGACTTCTATGAAGACTTCAGCGGTTTGTTCTGGTCGGTCATCAGTGAGTGGAACAGCAACACCGTGGACGGCAGACGCTCCACCATGTTGGGACAGCTCGTACAGGCGTGTGCTGATTGCCAGCTGCACAACCCACTGGGAGGTAAGTAGTAGTTGGTGTTGGTTAGTGGTGGTGTCTTCGCCGATACGGACGTTGGTTGAAGGACATTACTGGTTTGACGTTTGCGACCTCCTTCGTACGTGAACCACCACATTAACACTGCTCGCTGAGATGTGAACAGCTGTTCCTAAATTCTCAAAACCAACACTCGATTTATAAAATGTCTAAGTGATTTTGCCACGTTAAAGTGAGCGAATATGGTTTTACACCGTTTATTGTGATATTCCAGCAATATCACACGGGGAACACCGGAAATGGGCTTCACACAATGTACCCATGTTAGGAATCGAACCTGGGTCTTCGGTGTGACGAGTGAACGCTTTAACCACTAGGCTACCCCACCGCCCCTTACCTGCGTTGAATAGTATTTCAGGTATATCACAGTGTTTCAACGTTTTAGCTTGATATGCGAGGAAAACCTGATGCACATCTTAGAAGTTTTCCATTTAGTGAAACCCACGACCATAAACCTAGAAACAGCCAGGTCGAACCGGGATTCGAACCCACGACCAGAGTTTTTTTACACGCTTAACGGACGTAACTCTGCACAACAAGGTCTGGCGCCTTTGACGGCTGGGCCAACATTAACGTTACTGCATAATGAATGCCTGCGGGTGTTCTACATTACTCGACCTTGTGGACAAGTTCTAAATCTGAAAACGTACAACTATTTCTGGTTTATTGCATATGGCGACGTTTCGATGTAGATTCTGACATCGTTATCACTACAGCTTGCTAACTGTGTAAGAATCTTCATCGAAACGTCGCTATAGGCAATAAACCAGAAGTTGTTATCCATTAAGTTGTACGTTTTCTTACATGCTCACCAACTTCTAGAATGCCAATCAAACAAGGGTCAAATTGAGTATTGCTACCCTCGTCAATAACGATTTTGCTTTTCAACTCCCATTGCCTGCTTAACGAGCTGTTCGATTTCCGACATGGGTACAATGTGTGAAGCCCATTTCTGGTGTCCCTGCCGTGATATTGCTGGAATGTTGCTAAAAGCGGCGTAAAACCAAACTTACTTTACGAGCTGACAGAAGATGGTACTAATGGCAATGCAAAAAGAACCATCACATAGCATCACCCTGTAAGGATTCAGATGTCCCTATTATATACCCAATCTTTGTCGTAAGGGCAACCAAAACTGAGGCTCGGTGGGTCAAAATGTATGACCTGTCCGACATTGTCATAGTACTCCGGTGACGTGGATCATTGTTCATGCCACAAACAATTGATAAGCCTGGCCCAGACTCTCTTTGTTCCCATTCACCCCCTCACCATCACATACAATGAAGGTGTTGATGATACGGTGAGCGTAAACCAAGATTTTGGTTGCAGTGAACGTAATGATTGAGTCTTGGCCTGACTATTTTCAAAAGTCACTTTGTTAAATAAATGATTTGTGAAAACATCATGTGTCATAAACTTGACCAAGATATCTGTGACAAAATCCAAAGACTTGTACATGAAAACTGCTTTTTCTGTTGCTAATGAAACGAATCTTGCAAATGTCAAAGGTCATCCATGACAATTAAACCGTCTTGTGACACTTCGCCAGTTAATACGAACATGTAGAGACCCGTGAAGATCCGGGTAGAATTGGTCTTCAGCAAACCATACTTGCCGTAAAAGGTGACTAAGAAGCGACTAACGGGATCGGGTGGTCAGGCTCGCTGACTTGGTTGATGAATGTCATCGTATCCCAATTGCGTGGATCGATCCTAATGATGTCAATCACTGGATTGTCTGGTCCAGACTCGAATATTTAAAGACCGCCGTCATGTAGCTGGAATGTTGCTGAGTGCGGCGTTAAACAACAAAATAAACAAAATCATGTGCTTGTAGTTGAGGTGCTGCCTGCTGGAGACCGGGCTATCGTGGAGGCGAGCTACCCGATCCTGGTGGAGCACCTGCTGGTGTCCCTCGTCCTCATCTACCTCCGGGACTCGGGACTCCTGTCCTCAACCATCGTCCACTACATCCTGGACGCGGCGTCCGTCTCAGACCAGGTGCTCAGGCTGCTTGACCTGCTGCCCATATTTGGGCCAACTGCTGTGGACATCCTCATTCGGGCACTTAGGAGGTCTGACCAAAGTCATATCGCTGAAGTCATAACTAGGGAGCACCCAGGACGTTTTCAAGGTGAGATCTGTTAACGCAGTTTTGTGAGTGCAAAGTGTGAGTAGCATTATTCGACACCAAGTACATCTTCCCGAGGCAAGAGAGTTAACCGATTATAAAAGTCCAGTTTCTACCCTTGCCGAACTAGGCTGGTATTATGGAGTTACATTTTGGATGGACTAACGAGTCGCATAGTCCATTCAAAATTGCACAACGAAATCGAAATCCATTTCGTAAAATGTGCAGATTTCGGTTGATTACAGGATTTGCAAAGCATGTGCACCGCCAACTCGTTGTCAATTAATAGTTTCCTGATCTTTACATATTTTAATCAACGTGCACGCGTGATTTGATGCACTTCGCGATGTAAGACCCGTTTTGTCACAATATAGATCTTGATTATCGATCAGATTGCCTCGACTGGGCGCCGCCATTTTGTTTGAAGCAAATGCAAGTGATCCGAGAGGTGGAATCTGATTGGTCCATAGGAGTGGCATAGAAGGGACATAACTCGTAATAGCCACTGGTGGCGCTACGATCGAGCCTAGGAATTCCAGCCTAGTTCGGCAAGGGTGGAAACTGGACTTCTAAAGTCAGTTAACTCCCTTGCAGTTCTCGCATCTTTTCGGTGAGACTGTCAAGGAGGGGGGTAAACCATCTTCCCGATACAAGTGAGTTAACTGACTATAAAAGTCCAGTTTCCACCCTTGCCGAACTAGGCTGGTATTATGGAGTTACATTTTGGCTGGACTAACGAGTCTATGCATAGTCCAATCAAAATCGCGCACCGAAATCGAAATCCGGTTCGTAAAGTATCATGCAGATTTCGGTCGACTATAGGATTTGCAAAGCATGTGCACCGCTAACTCGTTGTCAACAGATATTTTCTAAATCTTTTCAAGGTGCTCACGTGATTTGATGCACTTCGCGATGTAAGACCCGTTTTGTCACAATATAGATCTTGATTATCGATCAGATCGTCTCGACTGGGCGCCGCCATTTTGTTTGAAGCAAATGCAAGTGATCCGAGAGGTGGAATCTGATTGGTCCATAGGAGTGGCATAGGAGGGACATAACTCGTAATAGCCACTGGTGGCGCTACGATCGAGCCCAGGAATTCCACCCTAGTTCGGCAAGGGTGGAAACTGGACTCTGAAAGTCGGTAGAACTCTCTTGCCTCGGGAAGATGCATCAAGTATGGCCATCGGGTAGGCATCACACTTTGACCCTTGAAGGGAACGCTTGTGCTAACGTTTTAAACATAAGTTTACCCCGTAGTCATTTGCAAAGAAAGAAGAGACTACGGTGCACTTAATATGAACATTTGTCTTCACAGTTTACTTCAGACTGATATAAAGTATACCGTATTCGACGTAATAAGCGCCCAGGGCGCTCTCAAAATTAGAAATAAGCGGCTCTTATTAGAATATTATTTTGGTGAAAAAAAACAGAGTTGAAAGATAAATTTCCTGGTTTAAGCTGACAGCCTGAAATGTTTATCTACGACAGATATATTTTTCCAGAATTTAATTGTCCTTGATAAAGGGTGCATATAACACACGAGTCAAAAAATAAGTCTTGTGTACATTGATCAATCGGAAGGGGTGCCAATTGGGATTGTTCACTAGCCAATATATTAGCCAATATCGCCTTGGGCGCTTATTAGAGCGGGGGCTTATTACGTCGAATACGGTAGTTACTTCCCGAGCTACGTTCCACAAAGCGATCTCTATACTATGACTGTCGTAAGAGTGTTAAGGAATGAGAGTTATTTTCCACACTGTTTTGCACTCTTCACTCGCTCCAACGCGCCTCACGTTACACAACGCATTCTTGCCTTGAGTGAGTGAGTTAAAATTTAACTTCGCATCGGCATTGTTTCAGCCATAGAGCATCCTTCTTGCCTTGAAAAGAAAATGTTGAGTTACAACAACAGTGACGACCCAGCCCTCAACGCAAGTCGTATTTGTCACATGTAAATTGAACGAGTCTAGCATAATTAGAAGCCATAAAATGAAGCCAATAATGAATTTGTTGAATACTTCCAGATACTCCGGACAGCCCACCCCCGCAACCACGTCGTGTGACGCTACGGACGCCGGCGATGAGGTCACCACGAGTTGAGATGTCAATCAAAATGTTCCCGCAACAAACAATCGAGACGAAATCCAAGAAGAATTTCTTTCGGCGGCCCAAGTGGCTATTCAGATCCGGCAAATATCAATTCAACAAAAAGTGACAGATCAAATGAAGCTTATAGTGATAATACAGTTGCAGTATTGTGTCATACTCACAAACTGACCCAAGACTTGTTTCTCTGGTGACCTTTGTTTCAACATCCTCACTGGAACACTCAGTAGTCGGCAATCTTAGAGTTCCCTTCACCGCAATTTTAAGAGGAACAAAGGCGGATCCTGGGGGGGGGGGGGTCCAGAGGGTCCGGCCACACCCTTTCGAAAATCAACTGTATTCTGTTTCAGGCAGTAACACTGACTGTAGGGGAAATTTATATTTGGGACCCCTCCCTATTAAAATTGCTGGATTCGCCCTTGGGGGTAATTAAAGTGTGAGAAGAAAACTATCGTTGAATTCAATTCGTTACCCCTGCACACCTGAGCAGGCGGAGGCGGTTGGGTAGCCCAGTGGTTAAAGCGTTCGCTTGTTACGCCGAAGGCCCGGGTTCGATTCCCCACATTGGTACCATGTGGTAAACCCATTTCTGGTGTCCCCGCCGTGATATTGATGGAATTTGGCATAAAGTGGCGTAAAACTTCGCTCACTCACTCCAAGCACGCATTGTTTATCCGTAGGAGTTGTTTTATGCCGCAGTCCAATTATATGACGGCGATTTGTCGTTTTATACAACGACTGAAATCTGGCCATGCAGGCCATCAGGTTGATTGCACGAGCAACGCATAAGGCCATGGGAGCGCAGCCGGGTCACAGGTCAAGTGGGTCACTTGGCCTGTTGCCTCCACTCTCCTACCCAGAGTTCCATGCGGCCGGCAGCCAGCTAGCATAGTACCTGTGCCACAGGCCAGCGCCATGTGACGATTCGTCACATCTTTCACAGTCCATTCAAGATATTGCATATGCTTTTCATCCGTTTCATGTTTGACAAGTCTACACATTTTCATAAACAAATGTCAAAGAATGGTTAACTTTCATTGAGAAAGTATGCAAATACGTAAAAATCTACTTGTTTTTGCGTAGTTATCCTATGTTTACATTGGTTGTACGGCTCCACGTGCTGTCATCGAAGCCCAAGCGACACGGTCACTTTGATGCATAAATATATATTGTCATGCAACTCACTGTCGCAGTTGTAGTAGCATGTCTATATAGTTATGCAAAACAATATGTAAAGCGCCCCCAAATACTTGCATTAGTCCGTTCTATACTGATTTCTGAAAAAGCGCGTTTGTTTACAAACAAGAGAAAAGTTCGGTCACGTGATATGCAAATTAGCCTGTGGCAGTGGCGTTATGCCGAGTCACCACTGCGACGGAGTGTGTGTTGCCTCATGAAACGTTGGTCACTGATAACTGTCCGGGGGCCGCTACGTAAGTATACTTCTCAGAGTCAATATTGACACGCTGGTCCAACAATAAAAGGCAGCTAACCATTAAAGCAGAGAGAAAGAATCTAATGACCCATCAAGTCTTTTTGTACTCTGAGAATCCCTCAACCACACAATTTACAGTTCTTACATACCAGCTTGCATGGAGTACACTTTCCTTCTCCATATATAAAGACGGAAAACACCCTATTGTTATGTTTTAAACGAAATTACAGAAGCTCACCTTTATTAAGTGATGTTAAGCTTGAGTGGTGAGGATGTCTTACTATGCTACAGTGAGCTTAATTCAACAGCATAATTTGGTTTATTAGTATTGGGTTATTAGCTTAGTATTGAAGCGTAAAACACTTTGGCCTTTTTCAGAAGTTGTAGATGGAATGTAAACTTTATTTAATGATTGACTGTGTATTTGTTTCGGATTATTGAGTTATGAATCGAAAAACCGATGTGTAAACTGTATGAATCCGCAGTAATAAAAGTAGTGCGACTCGGTGGGCGTGGCTTAATTTTGTACATCAACCAGGCTGTTTTTACATACATTGGGAAATGAATGCAATAACACGTGACCAATTCAGCTAATCAGAATGTAGGAATTTCAGTGAACACAACGAAAATTTAATTAATATTAACGGTCGGTCCCTAAGTTTACTGAAGGTAAGTTAGCAAGTTATGCTAAAGAGATATAGGGTCAAAAGTGTCGCGAGTCACTGTCTGTCAAGAGTTGCGCTCCTTGAGCGTGCCAGGATCATACGATCGATGGTTCGAATCCCAAATTCGCTTTAACTGATTCTAGGTTTGTCAGCACCATACCGTGCTCGTGGATTTCGTGTTAAAGGTCACATCTGCTCCCACATTAAGCCGACACGCCGTGATACAACCATCTTCCCGAGACAAGATTTCGATTTCGTTGCGCGATTTTGATTGGACTATGCAGAGACTCGTTAGTCCAGCCAAACTGTAACTCCATAATAGCAGCCTAGTTCGGCAAGGGTGGAAACTGGACTTTTATAATAGTCAGTTAACTCCCTTGCCTCGGGAAGATGCGATACAACTGAAATACTGTTAATAGCGGCGTTAAACCCGTCTCACTCTTGCAAACATTCGCGTAAATCTCTTAGGTCATACGTGTAATACTTTTACATACGATAATATTTTGTCCGTTACAATTTTACCTTCAGCTGACTGCGCCTTTGATACAGAAGTCCGGCGTTTCTCATACATACCACATTCCTTTTCGAAAGGACAGTTGTTCCCTTGTTTCACTCGGTGTGTTCATGGCCCTGATCTATTTATTTGTGTATTTCCCGGCCATAAAAAATATTCTGTACTTCGAAACATCTTCCGTTTTTCTATTTTGTTTGAGGGAGGCACGGGTGGCCCAGTCGTCCGCGATTCACTCAGCAGAGTTGCGTCCCTTGGAGTGTGGGTTCGAATCCCGATTGTTTCTAGGTTTGTCAGCACCTTCCCGTGCTTGTGGGTTTCACCGAAGAGGTAAACGTCTGAGAACTGCATCACTTCGGTCTTTCACATTAAGCTGACACGCCGCGATATAACTGGAATACTGTTGAAAGCGGCGTTAAACCCAACTCACTCACTCACTATTTTGTTGGAGGTGGTATGTATATGGAGGGATGTACTCAACGAACTTGGCGATAACATTCCACTTCATCCTACCGGGGCTTGGGTTCCCAGCACATTAATCTATCGAAATAACACTTTTGTACCAGTTCGTGCATTAATCTATCGACATACACTTTTGTACCAGTTCGTACATTAATCTATCGAAATAGCACTTTTGTACCAGTTCGTACATTAATCTATCGAAATAGCACTTCTGTACCAGTTCGTACATTAATCTATCGAAATAACACTTTTGTACCAGTTCGTACATTAATCTATCGAAATAACACTTTTGTACCAGTTCGCACATTAATCTATCGAAATACACTTTTGTACCAGTTCGTACATTAATCTATCGAAATAACACTTTTGTACCAGTTCGTACATTAATCTATCGAAATACACTTTTGTACCAGTTCGTACATTAATCTATCGAAATAACACTTTTGTACCAGTTCGTACATTAATCTATCGAAATACACTTTTGTACCAGTTCGTACATTAATCTATCGAAATACACTTTTGTACCAGTTCGTACATTAATCTATCGAAATAACACTTTTGTACCAGTTCGTACTGCGCATAAATAAATAAATAAATAAATAAATCCAATTACTTTCAATTAACCTGCGTTTTTGTATGCATTAAATGAAAAACTCAAATGTATAAAAACAGCAGCGTAAATACCCAATGAAGCTTTTTCAGAATGCGTTCAAAGGAGCTAATTTCCGAAACACAATTACGAGCTAATTAACTTAGCCTATATATTTAGAACAGTTATACATGTATACATCTCATAAACGATCGGGCCTGGGAATTCCAGCTTAGTTCGGCAAGGGTGGAAACTGGACTTTTACAGTGAGTGAACTCCCTTGCCTCGGGAAGATGTGATATAACTGGAATAAAAAGCGGCGTTAAACCCAACTCACTCACTCACTGTTTTGTTTGTACGTGGTATGTATATGGAGGACTGTACTCAACGAACTTGGCGATAACATTCCCTTCAGCACTACTGATCGGCCTACTCTAGTTCAACTTTAGTTCCCAGTACCTTAATCTATCGAAATAACACTTTTGTATCAGTTTGCATGTACTGCGCCTAGCAATATTATGGCAGAGCTACCGATAAAATCCGAAACACAATTATAAGCTTATTTACTTTCCGAGTCAAGCCTATATATTTAGAACCGTTATATACATCTAAAACATTATTTCATTTTTTTGAATTTTCAAATGTTCACTGATTTTAGAAAAAAACAAAAACAAAAAGAGTGATGAAAAGATGAGTGAAAAAATATTGGTTACCCAATGAAAAAGTAAATAACCCAATTAAAAGAGAAACCCTCGAGTAAAAACTCAATTGCTCTAAAGGTATCTGGAGCTCTATAATGAGAACCTTCTTTAACGGTGAAGAGCCGTGTGGTACACGAAGGTAGCGTAATAAATGTGTTCCTAGCCACACTTTGTCCCCGTCTGGTTAAACTGTAGGATCCACTTCTCTCGCTCAAACATGACTGTTGTAATGAAGCTTGGAAAACACCAAGTAATTTCTATGCAACCACACGGAAGGCCGCGTGTAACGGTGTCCCCGTTCCCCTGGAATATTCAAGGTACCGTATTTCCTCTATTAGATGCCCGGGCTTCTATTTATTTCGGACAAGCCTTTGATCCGGCGTCAATTAGAGGCAAGGCGTCTATTGGAGGCCCGGCTTCTATTAATACCCCAATTTCACTATGACCACGAATGTCCCGAAAGGGAGTCCTCATTATGTAATTTAGGTCCCAAAAAGGGATCATTAATTGTATCAATTGATCGACCCGGCGTCTATTAGAGGCCCGGCTTCTATTTTTTGCACTGAACAATTGACCCGGCTTCTATTAGAGGCCGGCCGGCGTCGATTAGAGTCCCTCCCGGCGTCTAACAGAGGAAATACGGTAATCATATTCTCAAGCAAATCACTGTACGAGAGATGCCTGCAGGATCTGGTATCAAAGCTAAAATTCATGCACTACATTCAGTGGAATTGAGATGAACTGTATTTTATGTTGATCCGTTCCACTAAGGCATATTTTACTGTAAATACGGACAGAAAACATCTGATGCTGTGGACAAGAAGATTTATTTACTTCCCCATACTGCTTACATAATGACTCACTCACTCTATCAGACACAGCATACTTGTGCACTGTGCAGATGCCCTCCTGTCACATCCATCATCAGTTTTAACCAATGGGGATTTCGGTTGAGAACATCGATCCAGCAATCTATGCTTGTCGTAATAGACAACTAAATGGATCGGGTGATCGGTATGACTTTGTTGATTGCCTGTCATCGTATTCCAATGGCGGGGATCGATGCGCATAATGTTATTGATTTTGACACTTGATTGTGTGGCCCAGGTCGCAATCATATATATCTCGAATATTGCGGAGTGCGACCTTGACATGACTACCAAACGAACGAACGAACGAACGAACAGCTGTTCTTGCATTCGTCACCACTCGCCCCTTTCCGTAACCTGCTATTCGGCTTGTCCCGGAATAACACGAGTTGGTCACGAATGCTGTTCTTGATGTATAAATATTTCAATGATGCTACACAGGTCGTCTTTCATGCTTCAAGCACACGCATCCGTCAACTCATCACAATGTAAGCTTGCAGCTTCTAAGTCAACGGTATTACATCCAGGAACCACACTAGTGCATGCTGTGACGGTCTGATGGTCAAACTCCCATGAACTTAGTGTGTTTTCCCTGAGCCAACAAGGTCCCACAGTCTTTCTTCAAGATGTCCACCGTCAGGAATGCCAGCGTCTTGCCCACCCTCAGGGTGCGAGCGTCGATCAGTATGGGCTCGCCCGTGGGTGCCGCTTTCAGAAATCTACAAATGACACCATACTAAAGTATTCGTGATATTTGACATCTAAGTAAGAGTTTTCAATATTTGGTATTGAATAATAACGATCTGTGTTGGTAATAGATAATAGATTCACTCACGAAACGTTCAGGTCGACAGTGACACCTGGTTTCTTCTCGCCGGTAGTCATCACCGCCCACGTGGACACGGCGTCCACCAGCGTGGCTGCCACGCCCCCGTGCAGTGACCCCCGGGGATTTGACAGCTCGGGAGACACGACCAGTTCACACACACAGCGTCCCTCCTCGCCATCCACCACGCGGATCTGGGACGAACAAGTGTGCGCATATTACGAAATTTGACAAAAAAAAGCTTACCAAGTCAAAGAAGAAAGGACCCGTGAAGATCCGGGGTAGAATAGGTCTTCAGCAACCAATGCTTGCCGTTAAAGGCGACTATGCTTGTCGTAAGAGGGCGACTAACGGTATTGGGTGGTCAGGCTCGATGACTTGGTTGATGCATGTCATCGATCCCAATTGCGTGGATCGATGATCATCATGTCAATCACTGGATTGTCTGGTCCAGACTCGATTATTTACAGATCGCCGTCATATAGCTGGAATATTGCTGAGTGCGGCGTTAAACAACAAACATACAAAGAAGAACGGGAAAGATATTATTTCCACAGACAATAACCCTTACAAGATTAGTGATTTAATCAATATGTACGCCTCGAGTCAATCTGTACAATCATCATAAATGTATCTGATTGCAGCAATTCAACCTTTGAGCACATGATGTCAATAGTATAAGGTTTAATATTTAATATGCCGACTATGCTAGTCGTAAAAGGCGACTAACGGAATCGGGTGGTCAGACTCGCTGACTTAAGTTGATGCATGTCATTGTATCCCAATTGCGTGGATCGATGATCATGATGTCAATCACTGGATTGTCTGGTCCAGACTCGATTATGTACAGACCGTCGTCATGTACCTGGAATTTTGCTGAGTGTGGCGTTAAACAACAAACCAACAAAATATTTAATATGCAAGCCCTGGTAAGTCTATCTTTAGAATCGCAGTGTGTCGAACTCTGATGTTCGCGGTTTAGCATATACGTCTAATGCCAACAACACCATTATTGTTGTTTCGGTATCTCACCTGCTTCAATACAGACTCGAACCCCGTCGCGGCCACACGATTAGCGACAAGTTGCCGGAGCACTTGCAACACAGGTCGCGCCGTGGAACTCATAGTTGTGATTGTCAAGGGAAGTAACTCTATTTTCCTTATGACCCGACATATTTTCACAAAACCAACGGTAGCGCGCACGTTCTTTGATTATCAAAAGAGAGAGGCCTCGAAGTTGGGAGCATTCACATTACTACACAAACTTCAAAGAACCATTCCGATTCTTCAATGTTATATTTTAGATTTGTCTCATTCTAGGACCACTTTAATCACCTCACCACACATCAGCTCTACAAGAGACAAGGCACCAGATCGCAAGCTCGATTCATTAGTCACAGTCCTACCTACTATACAGACAAGTGGCCCGGTCTAACCTGTTGGACCCGTCCTTACACAGAATCCAAGAAACATTCATAGAAAGATATGAATCACATGGAATCCAATCAAAAACTGATGTCGAAGTTGCATAAGCATGAATTAATGCTCAGAATTCCCTCAAATCCAAGTGAATACATCTCTTATAATGACAATCTCAGATGACCATCCTGCTCAGGTGTCTGTGGCTGGCGACCTGCTGGCAGTATACTCCAATAACAGCAACCTCGAGTGGCATCTGGACTGCCTGATACTCTGATGATTGGAGCTGTGTCGGATTGTGGGTTATAGTCTATTAGAATTGCTCCCCAGCAAACTACGCTTGTCTAGCTTGGTGAGTTAGTTCATGCATGGCATCGTACCCCAATTGTTGCTCACAACATCAATCACTGGAATGTTGTCCTGACACAATTATTTTCAGGCCGCCATCATTCGTATATATATATATATCTGCCATCATTCATTCATATATATGGAGAGAGAGAGAGTGGAGTGAGTGAGTTGAGTTTAACGCCTTTTAACAGTATTCCAGTTATACTGAACCAAATTAAAAACTTCACAATCCTAAAATTTTAACATTTTGACCAGTTATCATTGTGGGCCCTTATTGTGTATATAAACAGTAATGGCCACGTAATGTCTTCAGATAACACCCGTTTTTGTGCAGGTGAATCGATCAAAATCATGTGCACAGCACTATAGTGGCAAAAGTTGTTTTTCACGTGCAACTGGTCACGTGGCTGTAATACTCGTTAGCAGTCATTAACAAAAAAACAAAAACACAAGAAAACAAAAGTCTTTACGGCCATTTGTCATGCCACGCCTTTCAAATGTGCAAGTGAACGTGCCATCGGCATGTTGCAGACGGGAACGTCCGTAGCTGAAGTCGCAAGGACGATGGGTTGTAGTCGACGGACTGTTTATGATTAACAGACGCGTCTACAGCAAACGGGTACCACCGCTGATCGCCCTCGGTCAGGTCGATAATGTGTGACGTCACATGCAGGGGATCGTCAGATTGTCTTACGTCACTTCCGACATCGACTTTTGACGGCTACATCAACCAGAAATGAACTGTTTAGGGGTAGACTGAATGCGCAAACTGTTCGAAACCATCTGAGAACTGCTCACCTTCAAGCACGACGGCCATACTGTGGGCCGATTCTGACTCAATTACACAGACGTCAACGTCAATTGTGGGCACAGACACACTTACGATGGACTCAGAGGAATTGGAATCAAGTCGTCTTCAGTGATGAATCGCGATTTAATCATCGATTTGCTGATGGTAGGGCGAGAGTGTGGAGGCGCCGTCATGAACGTTACGCCCAGTATTATGTACATGAAGTTACGGAAGTGTCATGGTGTGGGGTGCTTTCTGTGGCACTGCACATTCCAGGCTTCTTGTCACCGGTGGCAACCTCAATGCTGCTGCTTACCACGACCAGGTACTGGCACCAGAACTTCTGCCTTTTATGGCAGCACATGGACCTGAGTTGATCTTCCAACACGACACTGCCAGACCCCACACAGCAATTTTGACAAGGAATTTCCTTCAGAATGCGGGAGTCAACGTCATGGACTGGCCGTCAAGGTCTCCCGACCTCAATCCCATCCAACACGTCTGGGATGCTCTTGGCAGAAGTCTGCGCACTCTCCAGAACTAACCACAGAATTTGCAAGATCTTGGCACCATTTTGCAGCAACAATGGCGTCGTCTTCCCAATCATGTGTTCACAAGCATCACAAGGTCCATGCGGAGGTGTTGTGTGGCAGTTGTCAACGCACATGGTTGCCATATACGCTACTGAACTTGTGTGCCATCAGATTCTCGTGCTTGGGACTTATGATTTAAACTGTTGATGTTATTACCAAATACCGTAGGTGCTTGGAACAAATTATGGTTACCACCGTTAATTAAAATCCTTCTTCAGACATTAATGATTAAAAATTACCTTCTCTGATACATTTGTCCGTTGTATATCATATATCGGATTACTTTTAAAAATGTGAAGTTTTTAATTTGACTCAGTATATATTGCAGCATGTCAGCTTAATGTGGGAGGAAAGCCCAAAGTGATGCAGGTCTCAGAGACGTTTACTACGAGCACGGGTATGGTGCTGACAAACCTAGAAACATAATCTGGGCGAACCGGGATTCGAAACCACAATCATAGGTTTCTGGCGTACCCAAAGGACGCAACTCTGCACAGCGAATCACGGCGCCTTAGACCCGTGCCACAGAGAGAGAGATCAATTACCAATTACCAACAAAAAATACATTTTTGTTAATTATTTATTATGACAAAAATTGTACACATGATGGACGGAATGTGAAAGTCTGTACAGGAATCTACTGCTGTCAACCATGTACAGCACTTCCGTCAACGTGTAGTTTGTGTACCGACACAAAGTGGTCGTAGCCAGACTCGATGACAACCCTCATACACTGAGCTCGCTTGTTGTTTATTGGGGACTCCTCGTTTTGAAGCTGGTGATCTGTCGACTCCAACTCTGAAATACAAAATAACAAGCATATTAAGATGACTTTAAATTGAAATAAACAATACTTGGTCAACAATAAGTCATACAATGAAACATAATTTCCACACATGCAGTCACACACACACACACACACACATATATATATATATATATATGATGTTACAGGGATGGTTTGGTGTTTATGATATTATGGTTGAACTACAAATTAATCTTTGGAAAGAATACAAATTGTCAAAAAGACCACTTCTAGCTAGACTTTATCCTAATTTGACAAACAGCACACACTCCTAACACAATAAGCAGCAGCCATTATTTAATCTATCCTGTTATAATGTTCTTCATAATGTAAACTTCTTATAAATCTACATGACAAATTGTATACTGTAACCATGGTAACTGGTTTACATACATCAAGAAATTGAGGCAATCAGCTGTTTTATGCTATTTTGTAAGTAGCAACCTTGACCTTCAAAGTCAGCCAATCATATGGCAGAAACATCACCTAACTATACATGTGATACTTTTCAAGTTCTTCCTTTTTTCAAGTGATAGACAACTGGATTTACACACCCAATTTCTGTCAACTGTTTTAGTTTCCAAATTATAAACATAGTTCATTGTCAGTAGGATCTCATGAAAATTCTCTAAACTGTCAAATGATTTCCGAGGAAAGGGGTTGGCACAAAGGCCGTATTCTTTACTTAGATTTGCTGCCATGACGGCCATGTTGAATATTTTACAATAAAGTCTACTTTCTTTTAGGGACATGTAGGACAAGTTCTGAGAATACTCTGTTTTCTAACTTTCTCAGTTTCATCGAACTGATTTTTCAGTCCAACAAATTCATTTTATGGTTTTCATTATTAACCTCTCATAATTTGAAACGGATGTGTCAAATTTTTGTTGTCTCAAACTTATTGTTTTCCCAAATAACAAGTGTAAGTACAAAAGAGCCCTGATAAGTTCAACTGTAAAATATGTGCATCACCATGAAGGTGAAACTAGAAATTCATTATTTCATTTGTTATCTCAATTTTGATCACTAAAGACGCTATTTCTTATTTAACATAAACTTTTCCACATCAAATCTAATATAGTTTACATATGACATCCCGGGTAGAGAATAGGTCTTCGGCAACACATGTTTGTTGTAAGAGGCGTCTAAAGGGATCAGGTGGTCAGGCTAACTGACTTGGTTAATGCATGTCATCGTATGCCAATTGCGTAGATCGATGCTCATAATATCAATCACTGTATTGTCTGGTCCAGACTTGATTATTTACAGACCGCCGTCATATAGCTGGAATATTGCTGAGTGCGGCGTTAAACAACAAACAAACAAATACATGTGACATCACTCTTTTGGTCTTGTGAATGACATTGCCTTGATTGAGAAACAGTTTTCAGGTGTGTCAAACATTCAAATAAGTCAAACTTTCTCTCAAATCCCTTCAAGCTCAACATAAAGAATGACCGATGAAAACCCATGACATACGGTCACATTGACCAATGACCATGCAGGGTCAACATCTCATACTCCACTTCAACAACCAGTCCAATTTCAAAAAGCCAAATATGATTTGAAAACATAACTCTATTTCATCAAATACCATAAAATTGTATACAAACCCTTCTCAAGGATTACTTCAAACTTCTCGGGAGATTCTGATTCAGTAGTTTCAATGATTATCTTTTTGACTGAAATATACATCAATAGACACATCAACTCTATTTGCAAACACATTTCAAATGAAATACACAAAAGAACATCTTCTACATCACATACTACAGTATAATGACATTAAGTACACAATAAGCATTTCACTCCGAACACAAGAAGAATGTATTCCTGTAATGTCAGTACTGGTATTGACAATACACCCAGGCTGGTTGGTTGGTTTGTTGTTTAACGCAGCACTCAGCAATATTCCAGCTATATGACGGCGGTCTGTAAATAATAGAGTCTGGACCAGACAATCCAGTGATTGATAACATGAGCATTGATCCACGCAATTGGGATCGATGACATGCACCAACCAAGTCAGCGAGCCTGACCACCAGATCCCGTTAGTCGCCTCTTACGACAAGCACAGTCGCCTTTTACGACAAGCAGAGTCGCCTTTTACAACAAGCATGGGTTGCTGAAGACCTATTCTACCCCGGATCTTCACGGGTCCAATACATCCAGGTGGACTGGGGAAACTGTTTGACAGAAGAAAACATTCATTGTTGCCAAGGGTACAGACTGCATAAAAATTTTGTGAAAATAATCTTTTTTTTTCACATAGCCTAAAACAGTTTTACTTGATAAGCAAAATAACTACAAACAACATGGACACCTGGGTGCAGCTTCAAACTTCACTTCAGCAAAACAACACCGATTCAATCTGTCGAAAACGGCTACCTTAATGTCAAGCAAAAACGGCATCTTCTTTTCATAATAACGAACAAAATGATTTATGTACTATATTTATGCTTGTAAATGTTCTCTACTACCTGTTTCTTTACCAAAAACATAAAACAATCAATTGCTCTAATACAACACAGTTAAGCTTGTAGCTGTATTGTAACAACAGTGTCATTCACTATCAATGAAAAGCATCTTATTAATTACAGGGTACAGTTATACACATTAGTTGTAACAATATTAATTTATAATACATTACCTCAACTAGCAGATTTATCATACTTCTAAGGCTTAAAAAAAAAGGAATTGGTTCTCAGGCAATAGCTTTAATAAATAGTGTGCGGGCAGTGTGTTTTTCTTTTCTTTGTTGTTCAAACTTGTATGTAACCAAATAAGGAGTTGTGTAACCAAATACAATCAACCTGGGAAAGGGCCTCCCTACATAAATGTATTCCTTGAGTAAATTACTTGATTACAGTATTTGACTACTGTTGGAGTTGGAATATTTAAGGATTTTTTACAATTTTTTTTGCGGGCGGTGCCTGAGAACTAAGATATATTTTTATTTTTTTATTTTATTGTAAACATGTTTCCTTTATTGTAAATACTTTTACAATATAAAATAATCACATAGTTACTTCTTACAGTCGCCTTCATCGTCTAAGCTTCTAAAAGCTGATTCAAAAATGCTTTATACAGAAACTCCATATGTCCACTGGTCGCATTCATCACTTTGATACAGCATGTTGATTTTTCCTGACTAGCTTCTCATAATACAACACATTGACATGATCAGTTTCAGGTTGGCATACAGTTAAATCGAATAAAGGTAATTAAAACTCCAAATATGTGATGTTTTCACATTAAGTTTAGTTACGCCTCCCAATCAGAGTCGGAAAGTAAATTGGACTTAAGGCTATTTTCTAATGTAAACATGTCTTAAGGCGATTACTATATCACACTTATTTGTGTCTGGATGTTAACCTGTTAGTTTAATATAATTCTGAAGGTTGTTTTTTAACAAAAAAAAGTAAAATATATATGGTGCCATTTTAATCTCGCAATTGTAGCTGTTTTCGCTTTGAGCGAGGTTCTGTTTTTGCCAATTGGTGACATTTTGCTGAGGTGTCATTTTACCTAAAATACTGGACACCTTATGTGATATTTGCATCCATTACACTCACCATTGAAACTGGAGAAGCTAAGCCTTGTCATATTCATGACTGATGGAAATTTCACTATGAATTCCTGAGGGAACATTCCTGTTGTTGTCCAAAATGTTTCTGGATTCCTGACGAAGAAATAAAATCAATATTTGTAGCATACGTTTTTTTAATAACATTTAGGAATAAGGTTTGTTGAACCCCTACTTGTTGCGTAAGAATAATAAAGCCCTCTAAATATTACAAGTGTATCTTTCAAAGAAGTATTATGAATTTAAAGAGAATCAATCGGTATAATGTGTCAAAAAATGTATTCCATTACCAAAGCACTTCACGATTCGATCATGACGTAGAATATTGAACACCACCCTGATAAACTTTCAGTTTGTGTATTCATGGCTATCTTAATGCAGTGTTTTTACCAATGGAGCATATAAAATGTTCCAAGTGCGATGTCGTACTATCCGGCATCCACTGTATTAGCGACCAGTGGATGTTGATTAGTAAAGTGCCTAGAGACGGTTTCGCAGCTAAATCATTCCCACTTTATTTTGTTTAATGAGCAGAAAAACATTTTTTCTAATTAATCATAGTTACCCGTCAATGACATTTTCTGGAGGATGTTTGTCATCACTTGACGAAGCTAACAGAATCTGTGCCCCAGCGTTTCCCAGTGCGACATCAAACATGTTGTAAACACAAGCACCAAGATTACTTTCAGTCGGTGACAGTCGCTTGTAAACACAGGACGTGAGAATTCTGGAATGTCTCTTTCTGCGCATGTTCAAGATGCAAACTGTTTTCCTTAGAACACTTGTTCTTAAGATAATGTATTAATAAGATTCATTACTATTTCAGAAACGTATGTTCAGTTCAGGTTATGTTTATTATTAATAAAGTTCTACCGTGAATTTAACTGTTGTATTGTTATCAACCGCGTTAGCTTTGCATGTGTGCGTAATCTTTTCATCGATGAATAAGGTAAGGCGTATAGCAAATAGTCTAATAGTCTAAGACCGCGGGAGATATAACAACACTTCGTCGAGAGCATTTGACAGCGCAGACCCCATGAGAAGCAAAAAGAGTTGGCTTCTTTGCAAATGACATTAATTATCAACAATGCAAAAGAAGCTTTGTTCAAGAGCAAATAGAAGAGAAAATTATGACGCACCTCAAAACGATGAAACCACTGAAGTTGAAACTGTCAAATCCTTGATGGAGCTTTGTGTCATATTTGTTGCTAACAACCTTCATTTTGTTGACTCGTTCTTGGGCTTTCCAGATATAATTGGTGAAAGAATTTTTACAACTGCACTTTCTCTTGATAAATTCTCAGTCAACAATTCAAGGCTTGAAGCAAACGTGAGCCCATTTAGTTCTGCTTATGGAAGTATTGTTATTGACAGTCTCTCTCTGTCAGGTCAACACCTTGTCATAAACAATTACCTGGAAACAATATGTCTTTTCACTGACTTGAGTAAACTTGATCTTTCATGTTGTGGTCTTGGCGATGACCATGAGTTGCTGCAGCATTTCTCACAACTACACAGGTGATTGTTACTCTTTAAAAGTCGACAATTTGGGAAATAGTGCCAACCGAAATAGTCTAACCTTGCTTATGATGTCTCCCCAATTGTCATGCACCACACCGAGTTTGTCAGATAGCTTGAAATCACATAGGTCATATTTGAGGTGAATGCAATAATCACAACCATCTAGATTTCAGATCTGCACCTTGATGCATACAAACTGAAAATAAGACAGATAACTCACTCACTCACCCATACCCAGAATAATCTTGATAAACAGTTTCAGAATTTACATGTCTAAACTAGTGTTGCTGTTTTGGTCATCAGCAAGTGCTGAATGACAGACTTGTGAGTAATTGAGTAAGTTAAGTTTTAAGTGCCATTTCTCCTTTTGTGAATATCAAGGATAGAATTAATCTTTATCGGCCCACTACAGTTGCACTAATGAGATCAGATGGTTACTGGCATGGTGTCACAATTGTGTGGATCAATGCTCATGGTGTCAATCACTGGATTGTCAGGCCCAAACTGGATTATTTACAGACAGCTGTCATATTACTGGAATACTGCTGAGTACAGCAATAATCAACAAGCAAACAAAACAATTCTATCAATGTCTATCATCTGTTCCAGACCTAACTGGGGAGATCATACACAATAGTATATAGAGACAACATATGATTTGTTTCTACTGTACCGGTACTCTCAAGGAAGCAACTGTGATCATGTTATTACTTTCAAGAATTACTTGACTGCCAAGCAATTGTTGTTCTTGACACAAGTTATGAAATATATGGTTATGTCTGACATGAAATTCTGTCTAATCCAACATCTATCCAATCTAACTATTTCCTGGTCCTTCAGAATAGACAGTCTACTGTATCTTAATATTTCTGCTCAACACAATATTCAAATGTAACCTACTAACCCACTTCCATATAAATGTATACCTGCTATGACTTCTATTCTAACAATCGTTTGACCTTGGATGTCCACTCACCACTGCCTTGTTTACTGCCTTATATATGTGTTGTAGATCAAATGAAGTAGAATCTAAGAAACTATGAAAACAATTACAGTATTACATGATATAATAAGCGCCCCGCTCTAATAAGCGCCTACGGCGATATTTGCAAATGTATTGGCTAATGAACAATCCCAATTAGCACCCCTTCCAATTGATCAATGTACACAAGACTTATTTATTTGTGTATTGTACGCACTCGTGTGTTATATCCACCCTTAATTATGGGCAATTAAATTCTGGAAAAATATATCTGTCGTATATAAACATATCAGGCTGTCAGCATAACCACGAAATTTACGATCTTTCAACTCTGTTTTTTTTTTCACCATAATAATATTCCAATAAGAGACTCTTATTTCTAATTTTGAGAGCAACCTGGGCACTTATTATGTCAAATACGGTATTTCAAAATCACACTGGGATTTTGGAGTGAAAAAATTCAAAGTAGAAAATCAAATTATGTCCTGTAACAGTCATCGATTATACAAACAAAAATGATGTTTTGATTTTGGATTGTGATCAAGGTTTTGACAATCTAAATTTATTTCAGCTTACAAACCCTAAATCTTCGATGCAATGCCATGACAGACAATGGTATGCGGAAGCTAACGGCGCCAGTTCGGATGTTCAAGCAAGGTCTGCAGATGCTCAGGAATATAGACATATCAGGTGATGAAATGACTTTGACGACAAACATTAATACAACACTTATTGATAACATGGTTGATTGTGACCTTGGTCATTTCTGAAAACAAGACAAACAAATTTACAGTGATGCTGTCACACGATTTGCAGGCCGTTCTTGTTAACCTAGAGACAATGTATATTGATAGGCAAAGGTAACTAACATGTTCTGTTTTATCACATTGGGAAGTTCTGGGCAGCACATGACACAAAACTTATCTCTTTTTCTTTGCAAAATGAAAATGAAATGGTGTTTAAGTGGGTTTAAGATGGACCCCCCCCCCTAGGTTTTAAAAAACTTTTATTTATTCTTTAGAAAAACGCATTACCACAAAATTCAAAAATAATGTTTGTGTTCTTTGTAGAAGTTATGGTGAAATATCTGGATATTTTGATATCCGATTATGGATCAGTATGATTTCCTATTGGAGCTCAATACACATACAGACCCATGAAAATCCGGGGTAGAATAGGTCTTTAACAACCCATGCTTGCCGTAAAAGGCGACTGGGCTTGTCGTAAGAGGTGACTTACGGGATCGGGCGGTCAGACTCGCTGACTTGGTTGATGCATGTCATCAATCCCTATTGCGTGGATTGATGCTCATGTTATCAATCACTGGATTGTCTGGTCCAGACCCGATTATTTACAGACTGCCGTCATATAGCTGGAACATTGCTGAGTGCGGCGTAAAACAACAAACAAACCATGATTGATTAACTGTATGGCAGAACTGCATGGTCCAGAGCTCTTTTGAGTAGTATATGTACTTCATATTAACATGATTATTACTATATTCTCTTTTAAAAAAACATGAGGATGAATTTGCTTTGCCTTTGATAATGTCTGAGTATACATACTGACTACTTTGAAGGGGCAGTGGGGTAGCCTAGTGGTTAAGCGTTCGCTTGTCATGCTGACCCAGGTTCAATTCCTCACATCGGTACAATGTGTGAAGCCCACTTCTGGTGTTCCCTGCCGTGATATTGCTGGAATATTGCTAAAAGTGGCGTAAAACCATACTCACTCACTTTTGAACGTGAATATATACATTTTGTATCTTTGAACACAGTCAGTGTGTGCGCCATTATCAAATGTTCTACAATGGAACAGGAGTATGTGATAATTTAATCACTTGATTAAGACCTATTTTGTGACTTTAATGTCCTGATTCCATAGGTTTATGATAATTCTAAAAATTACAGCCAGATTAATAGGCATAACTGTCAGACATTTTGTCTGGTCACCGGCAGGCTTACCATGACCTGTGGCTAACCGTCTACCACTAACATTGCATTATCAACAGAAAACTTCCAGTGATTGTGAGAATCATGCATTGTTTGAGACATGGGCTTCTACTTTCTGGGGGACACGGGTGGTCCAGTCGTCTAAGGCGCCGCGATTCGCTGTGCAGAGTTGCGTCCATTGGGCACGCCAGAAACCTATGATTGTCGGTTCAAATCCCGGTTAGCCCCGATTATGTTTCTAGGTTTGTCAACACCATACCCGTGCTCGTGGGTTTCACCGAAGTGGTAAACGTCAGAGACCTGCATCACTTGGGGCTTTCCTCCCACTTTAAGCTGACACGCCGTGATATAACTGGAATACTGTTAAAAGCGGCGTTAAACCCAACTCACTCACTCACTCGACTTTCTGTTTTCTCATTATTCAGGGAATCAGCTGACGGAAAGAGGAGTGAAGTACCTGTCAAGTCTTCCTGTGCTTCAAATCATACATCTGTCTGAAAACAAAATTAAAGTGAGTATCAGTTATTTCTTTTCTTGGTTTCATACCAATAAATCTGTCTCCAATAGAATGTGACTGCTGGCACTTGGCCAAATATGCGACTCAATATGAATGCGACACCCCCTCCTCTCAAGCATCAGTTGATTTATATCTAAAGAAAATGTCCTCTGTCGGGTTTACAGGAGAATCCTCACCTTAATCCAACTTTACATTAATCCAATCACACACCAAATGGCACCGCTTATTAGCGCTGAATAGAGTACTTCCGCTAAAACAATACGTGCGTGCTGGTTTCGTGTCGCAAAGACACTGTGTTGCGTGGGTTGCGTCTGTCTGGACTTGCAGGTGTGATCAGTGATGACATAGATGAGTAGAACTCTTGTCTTGACCCCAGCAGTGACAATTCACAGGGTGTAATTAGTGTTGGAATGACATTGTTTAAATACTTGTTACAAGTGCTCCTCAAAAAAAAGTCATGTGGAATACATAGTTGTTTGTTTTCAGCGTATGTCTAAGTTGGTATTTCCGCTATCCAAAGTGTCATATTGTTAATATAATTGCGATGTTTAATAAAGCGAGCAAAGACCACTCGCATTTTTCGCATTTAATTTACACTCGCGTTAATTTCAAGATTCACAGTATTCTGTGCCTGTATAGGGGAGAAATGAATGGCAATCTCAAGCAGTCCCCCATGTTGTTTCTGGGTTTGTCAGTATCATAATTATAATCATTTTGCCACAGTGCCAAAGCTCCATTCAACATCCAAGCTTACATGAATTGACGGTTGTCAGTAGAGAGAGAGAGATAATAGTTTATTTTCGTGTCACATGTTCTTTTACATTATTTTAGTCAGCATTCCTTGATTAAATTAAAACATAAGAGGGGTGTCAGTAAGCATGCACTCAATAACCATTCTCAGCTCCCTGGGGAGTATACAACCCAAGCTGCCTGTTAGGTGCTAGAAGGTAAACAACCACATTGCCATCTCATCCTACCGGGTACCCATTCACTGCTCTCTCTTGCCCAAGGAGACACCACATGTGGTACATGTGCTTCAGTGTGGGGCAGGATCGAAGTCCTAGAAATTCTCAGGAGCCAAACTTGGGAAACGTAACCCATGTTGATCACAGGTTTATCTTTGTATCCAGAGGTTTTTTTTAATAAACATCTCTATAGATCATACCATGAAGATCTGGGGTGGAATAGGTCTCCAGCAACCCATGCTTGCTATAAAAGGCGACTGTGCTTGTCGTAAGAGGTGACTAACAGGGTCGGGTGGTCAGGCTCGCTGACTTGGTAGATGAATGTAATTGTATCCCAACTGCGTAGATCGATGCTCATGATGCCAATTGATTATTTTCAGACCATCATCATATAGCTGAAACATTGCTGAGTGTGATGTTGAACAACAAACAAACATAATGGGTGTCATACAGAAGATGAAACAAATAGCGTTACCTTGTAGTCAACTGAAAAGTTCAGTTGCATGAAAAGTTCACATCTTCCCGAAGCAATTGACTTAACTGACTATAAAAGTCCAGTTTCCTCTCTTGCTGAACTAGGCTGGAATTTCTGGGATCGATCATAGCGCCACCAGTGGCTATTACGAGTTATGTCCCGTCTTACTTTACGCAGTGCTTCAAGTCACATGAGCACCTAGATTAAAAACATGAAAAGATTCGGAAAATATCTGTTAACGCTAAGTTGTCAGTACACATGCTTTGCAAAAAGTGCAATCAATCGTAATCTGCACGACAGTTTTTTCGAACCAGATGTTGATTTTGTTACGAGATTCTGATTGGACTATGCATAGACTCGTTATTCCAGCTAAAATATAACTCCATAATTTTAGTCTAGTTTGCCTAGAATGGAAATTGGACTTTTGAAGTCAGTTATCTCCCTTGCCTCGGGACGATGAAAGGCTCAAAACTATTGTGACATACATGTTGACATTTACGTATATTTATTGCAAATCACACAATGTTCAGAATTACTTGGAAAGTATTCAAGACAACATTTATTTTATCATTCTATTAATATGTTTAAAATATCACATAATGTAGGCTGTTTTTTTTTTCATGTATTATCTGTCAGAATATCTTAAGCACAGTTCTCCTCCAGAACAAGTAGGAAACATACAATAACAGGGATTAATCTTGACCTTTCAGAGGACAATAATCAAGCCCCAAATCTGAAGCAAATGTTTCTACAAAGTCCCCAAAATAGAACATAACATTCTGCAGAGGCAAGCCATGACAGCCATTACTGTATTCGACGTAATAAGCACCTAGGGAGCTCTCAAAATTAGAAATAGGGGGCTCTTATTAGATTATAATTTTGGTGAAAGGGTTGAAAAATCGTAAATTTCATGGTTTATGCTGACACCCAGAAATGATACAAAAGAAAAGTCTGTGCGTATTATACACAACAGATATATTTTTCAAGAATTTAATTGTCCGTAATTAAGGGTGCATATAACACACAAGTGCGTATTATACACGAATAAATAAGTCTTGTGTACATGGATCAATCGGAGGGGTGCTAATTGGGATTGTTCACAAGCCAATATATCAGCAAATATTGCCGTGGGCGTTTATTACGAATATGGTAAGCATGCGAGCTGGACTAAACAAAAAGAACCAATTGGTTGTCAGGCAAGAAGTTTAGAAGAAATTTGATCATTTGGAGAGCGTGATATTTTCACCTATTACTCTCATCATGGCCCTTGTTTTTCACTCCAGTTTAAACATTTCAGAACTACAGCCTGTTGAGAGAGCAGAGGTTTTATTTATCCAGTGAGATGGAGGCATTGTGCCGACAGGTGTTTGACATAGAGACACATGGCTGGGCTGCCCCGGTAGTGCAGGCATGGACTGCACAAGCTCAGAAACCTCCACACAAGACAAAGAAATCATCATTTTGTGAGTTATCAATACTTGTCATTTTGGCCTGTGAGGGAAAGTACATGTAGCCTGTTCCACCACAGTGATCAGTATTGTACAACATTACAACAGAGCAAGTCAAGTAATCAAGTTTGGCCCAACACTCCAAATCAATTTTTTTTATTCAAAACCCAATTACTTTCAATTAACTTGCGTACGGAAACACATGCATTAAATGAAAAACTCAAATGTATAAAAACAGCTCGCGTAAATACCCATGAAGCTTCTTCAGCATGTGTACAAAGGAGCTGATTTCCGAAACACAATTACAAGTTAATATACTTTCCTAGTCAAACCTATAGATGTCAAACAGTTATATACATCTAAAACATTATTTCATTTTTTTAACATCTTAAAATGTTCACTAATTTTGGGAAAAAACAAATAGACTGATGACTAGATGAGTGAAAAAATATTGGTTACCCAATGAAAAATGTAATAACCCAATTAAAATAGAAACCCTAGAGTAAAATCTCAATTGCTCAATAAGTTATCTGGAGCTCTGATATTAAGTGACGTCAGTTCTTATAGATACATTTGTTAACACTATGATGACTTCACAGACTGCAGGGGGCACGGGTGGCCCAGTCGTCTAAGGCGCCGCTATTCGCTGTTGCAGAGATGCGTCCCTTGGGCACGCCAGAAACCTATGATTGTGGGTTGGAATCCTGGTTCTGCGCGCATATGTTTCTAGGTTTGTCAGCACCATACCCGTGCTCGTGGGTTTTACCGAAGTGGTAAACATCTGTGACCTCATCACTTCCTGCTTTCCTCCCACATTAAGCTGACACGCCGAGATATAACTGGAATACTGTTAAAAGCTGCGTTAAACTCAACTCACTCACTCACAGACTGCACCTTTAATGACTGACACAAAATTAACTGTAGACAATACAAAAGTAGTGTCATCATTCAGAACAGCAATGTGTTAGCGGTCATGACCCATAGCTTTTTTGTGTTTTTTGAAACATAAAAGCAACAAAAAAAACTTTGTTAGCAAATCAGATGGCAAGAAACCCTTAACTACAGCCTCTGAGAAATTGCAATGTTACATCAATTGTGGCAAAATAGTGTATTACATTTTCGGACTTTTTGTTCCATTAGATCCCCATTTTGTAGTCTGGGACCCCTGCTATTAAAGGCTTTGAGTCCCCAGAACCCCCAAAACGAACAAGGAGACGAATTCTGACCCCTCAAAACCTGGTGAATTTGAAATGCATATACTATGAATCCTTTAATAGCTTTGCTTGTTGCAGTGTCTACTGGTGTTGCATTTAATTGAATTTTGAAAAAAGAAAATGAAACATGTTTTACCTTACCTGACGCAACACAGTGCTTTAGCTTCCCTACCTATTACAGACAGTACTGGAACAGAGAGACAGTTGAATCAGACTATAGCCTGTGCCCCGATACCCACAAGTTATCCGCCTTGGCCTGTAATTCCTCATATTCTTCTCGGTCTGCCTTCCAAGAGGCATGGGGGGCACTGGTGGCCCAGTTGTCTGAGGCTCCGCGATACGCTGTGCAGAGTTGTGCCCCTTGAGCACGTCAGAAACCTATGATTGTGGGTTCGAGTCCCGGTTCGCGCCGATTATGTTTCTAGGTTTGTCAGCACCATACCTCTGCTCGTGTGTTTCACAGAAGTGGTACCAGGTCTGAGACCTGCATCACTTTGGGCTTTATGGAATACTGTTAAAAGCGGCGTTAAACCAACTCACTCACACTCCCAAGAGGCATGTGTTTTGGAACAGTCATCTCACCTGAAGTTTCTTATCAGTTTTTGATGTTTTCTGGTGGTGTTACAGCCATATATGCTTTCCTGAATATTTATATCCACTCACTTGAGAAAGGACAATTCCAGGCCCTCCTCCTCCGTTGCCAACATCTTCTCTGCCGTTGGAGTCAGACTTTGGAGACCTCCTGTATGTCAATGCCGTTTCCGTAACCTTACAATCACCGTTCGCCTGCTCAACGTATCGCCTCATCCACCTCTGGCAACCTGGCATTAGGTGCCTCGGGTCCTCGCTTTCTCCCCGTTCTTCAGACGTTCAGCATTGGGATCAGTCTTCCCCTCTACTGTTTAGCAGCACCAGTATGCCGTCTCCCCTGATCGTCGCCACCCTACTCGTCCCCACTCGGAATGACGAACAGGATTTCTTCCCCAATTATGATGAGTCGTCCCCTGAAAGGAGACTTACACCAGCTGATTAGCCCGTCTGGTAAGAGGATCATCTCCCCTGTGTTTCAACTGGGGAAGGTGAAGCACAGGGTCTCGGATTCGGGGGATGTTCTCCTCCCCTGGGACCAGCTAGTTGCCAATGTTTCCCGTTCTCTAGATGCTGACTTTAGTGCCTTGGCTGTTGAACCTTCTATTCAGATCTCGCAGTTCCGGAAGACATTACATTACCCTTTCCACTCTATGGATTTTGCTGATGCCTCACCACCCGTGGATGAGGATCCTATGCCACAGGTTCTGCCTACAGTTTCGTGACATGCCTCCCCTCACTACCAATGTTGACAGAATGTGGTGGAAGCCCTGGATGGCTCAAACATCACGCCTGGGTTTTACTTGCCTGTCTTCCTGGTGCCTAAGAAGGGTTCCTCCAAGATGCGGATGATTCACCATCTGGTACTATTCAATCAACACTACCTCGCTCTTCTGCTGCATTTCCAGATGCTCTCCCTCTGTATACTTCGCCACTTGATCCAGCCGATGGATCACCTCATCAGTCTGGACCTGCAGGATGCCTACTGTTACATGGCAGTGTATTTCATTGTCAAACAATGATTATAACTGTAGTACATTGGCTGAGATTCAGTAGAAGCTCAGTGCATTGTATTGGGACAATAATTAGTTGTCAGGAAAGTAGTACTATTTAATGTAATGAGGAAGTTACTATATTTAGATGCTAGTGTGAAGTGTAAACTTCCGGAATAGCATAGATGGATGTAAAGCGTTATGGAAACGTGGAGTATTCTGTGATGTTCTTGTGACACTAGACTGGTCTGGCACTGTGTGGAAAGTTCTTGAAGCTAGTTGGACAATATAAGTGGAGGGGGCATGTGCCTGTCTCATCTCACATTTCATGACATCAAGACAAGCTTCAATGTGAGGATCACTCATCACCCCTGAAGCTTGACCGCTGCCGCCGCTTGGTGAATATATTATTATCCCAGACTTTTGCTCTCACCGCTGTCTTTTTGTATTTGATACTGCCCACTGCCATCATGTTATTTACTGCCATTGAATATTGTACCACCACTCTATTGTGTACTGACATTGAATATTGTACTACCACTCCATTGTGTACCATTGTGTAAATACAGTGCAGTAATTTGTATTGATTGTAAACTTAGTTAATTTTGTAATACATTTGTTGATTGTATGCCAATTGTTGGTTGTTTGTTGGTTTCACAATCAGTGCTTTTACGTACAGATTTCTGGGTTAACTATTTGGGAATCGACCCATAACACTACCTACATGTTCCCATTCAAACAGCTCATTGTTGATTCCTCCTGGGCCGTCACTTCCAGTGTGTCTGAGTGGGGTATTAATGTTAAACTGAGACATGGTATCTCAGTGAGCTAGCACTATAAAATCAGCATAAGTCCGGACTAGTATAAGCATGTTCCTTCCTGTTTCTAGTCGTGTCTCCGCGGAGGTGACGCAAGGTCTCTCCCCTTGGCTTCGATCACCTATACTTTGCACTACGGACTTGCCGCCTCCGTCGGCCACTGGCTATAGTCTGTTTCAACTGTCTCTCTGTTCCAATACTGTCTGTTTGTAAAAGGTGGAGAAGCTAAAGTACTGTGTAGGATCAGGTAAGTATAAAAACATTGCATTTATTCGGAAATGCTCATAATCTTAAAATCTTTAACAGAACAAAGACTATATAACAGCCTTAGACTGATAATGTACAAAGTTTCATGGAGAAGTTTCATAACAGAACCGAGGTAAAATTATGATTGCTTCCATTCAATTCAAGTCTTAATTTATAAAATTTGTATAAAAACAAAATAATTCTGGGATTCATAAATAGCAAAAGGCACATCTACACTGTGGTAAATGTGTTTACAGAGTTTCGTAAAGATAAAAAATCAAAAATAATTTTTGAGTTCTTCTCCGGAAATGAAACCCACTGCTTTCATTCATTTCGGGGACTAAGTCCAAATATATAAAATTCATATGAAATAACAGAAAAATTCAGGGGAATCATAACAGGCAAAAGGCACATCTACATTTTATGGTGAATGTGTGTACCAAGTTTCATAAAGATGTCTCTAATAGTTTTCGAGTCCTGCTCAGGAAATGAAACCCACTGCTTCCATTCAGTTCAGAGACAAAGTCAAAATTTCAAAAATTTATATAAAATATTTTTAAAATGCAGGAGAACCCTAAATATCAAAATGCACATCTACACCATATGGTAAATGTGTGTACCAAGTTTTGTAAAGTTATCTCTTATGGCTTTCGATGTTTTACTCCGGAAATGAAACATGACAGACGTAGCCCATTTCTATATCCCCTGCAAACTTCGTTGGGGTTTGGGGAAATTAACCCAGGCTATGTTAACAATATATTGAAAACGATTTCTAAAGAAAAGCTGTTGATAGTTTGATTATTCTTTATTTTTTGACAGATCGCTCACAGAACAATGTCGAGTCCAAGCCATCCCCCGTCCTTCCTCCGCCCCCCATATACTCTCGTGTGCTCATATCGGACTCACTGCGTCCAGGCAACACAGGAGAACACACTCCTCGCCAGTCCTCGCACACATCAGCAGCAACACTGGACTCCACCAGTAGTACCATGTCTGGAGACAAGCCTCGCACATTGGCTGTGGTGGAGGTACAAAATGACCCCGAGGAAGAGGATCTGATGAAAATGTATGGTGGTTACTGTTCATCAACAAAGCGAGAAACCCTGTCGAGTGTGTTGTCTGGCTGCTTGTGATCGTCTGTTGGCTGCAGAGCCTGTTTACCCCCCTCTGGACAGTCTCACCGAAAGGATGCTAGACCTGCAACTATTGTAATTGATACACTGAAGCATGGATTTCTTTGTTGCATCTTATTAGATGAGGGGGTACGCCAGAAACCTATCATTGTGGATTCGAACCCCGGTTCGCCCAGATTTTGTTTCTAGGTTTGTCAGCACCATACCCATGCTCGTGGGTTTCACCGAAGTCATAAACATCTGAGATCTGCATCACTTCGGGCTTTGCTCCCACATTAAAGGGGCACTGATCTAAAGCAATTCCCCAGGACTGGTTGTTGCCTTTGTTGTTATTTTTTTCCGTGAGTACCCGGATGATATAGCAGAAACCTAGACTGGCTCGCGACCTGTGCTGCGCAATTCATAGGCGCATTTGTCACTTTTATTGATAGTATAAGGGCGTATGGTCACATCTATCAACAAAATGAAATACAGTTTTGGAAATAATAAGGAAATGTAGTTATCTTTGTCGGTAGCATCGGTAATGGTGACGAACTTTTGATAAGTCACTTGCTTGATAATTGTGCGATTTTCGTTTACACTATTTTGACACACAAAATACATATTTCTTCTGAACATTGCTTATTTTATCGTGTTTATATTTTTTACAGTCAAAATATTCAAAATTTTCACTTAGGAAATTTATATTATAAGCCTGAATATTCAGTTATTTTACAAATTGACTGGAAAATATGTCCATCTGTATATTGGGGCGGTCGGGTAGCCTAGTGGTTAAAGCGTTAGCTCGTCACGCCGAAAACCCGGGTTCGATTCCTGACATGGGTACAATGTGTGAAGCCCATTCCTGGTTCCCCCCGCCGTGATATTGCTGGAATATTGTTAAAAGCGGCGTAAAACCATACTCACTCACTCACTCACTCCATCTGTATTATTATGATAACGAATCTCCGAGAGACTGAAAATGTTGCGATGAAAAGTACATTTCTATATTGTTTGGCTTCTAATCCTACATAATAATCTATTGTGATGTTTATAGGCCCTTTTGATTGTCTTAATCAGTTTTAGTCAATCTGTTAAAGAAATGGACAGATTTTTCAGTCAAAATGACTGAAATATTTACACATTTTATAAATTGACTGTAATATATACACGCTTACAAAGGAAAAGACTTGTGAAAACGTGTATCGCGCATCGAAGAATTTCCCAACCAAGACGTAGAGGAACAGGAATGAATCTGTCCAATGCTATAGCAAATGAAGGAAAACAAAATGCAAATATCATAATTACAACCTACCAAATTTATGTGTATAATTTTAGGCACCTTTTTTTTCGAGGAATGTATCCGTGAATATCCACACAAAGGAACAATATCCCACACGTCTGCAGCTGTACAAAGAAACTTATTCGATGTCACATGTCTCTGTAACAATCAAATATTTTTTTAAATATATATCGTTTCAGGATATTATAACCCTGGGTCGTGGGTTCTACTATTTAACGTCCGAGGACGCCCGGGAAAGTCCGGGAGGTTTCATCATCCTTCAAAGCCTACGTTACGAATACCTCGTCAGTTCGAATAAAATAAAATCGTATTTGCTCGCAGATTCACCATTTAAAAAGAATAGGGGTGTATGTAATTTTCTTACAGCTATATGTTATTTTGTATAATTAATACAAGAACACAATTATTAATTAGTATCATTCTCCTAGGTGCTCCCTGGCATTCCCCTGACGTTTCCGGACGCCCCCGGGCGTTATTTAGTAGGACTGGTGTTCGTTTCTCAACTGTTGCTTAGATTTTTTCAGGTGTTTCACATAGGTGTCATGTCTCAAAGGTCGGCTGAGAAAGCCCACGTGACAACTATTCTCATAACGTCCACGGTTCCTAAAAAAAATCCATTGAGTTAGATAACAATGAGCAATCAATCAATATATTATCAGTTAACCCTTTGAACAAAGTATGTTGTTTTTACATCGGCACTTCACGCCATGACATGAGTGTATTCCCTTTGTTTTAGTAAACCTAGACATGTAAACACTCACTTTTGACATATCCACTGTGCAAGATAACAGTGATTAATAAATCAATGTATTTTCTGTTAATCCTTTGATGACTAGGAACGATCCGTTGATTTACAAAAAAGTAAATCAACTGATCATTCATCTCTTGCTGGGCTGACACGTGTATATTACATAACACACATTTCACCTCACTTGAAACCTGGATTTAGATTGAACAAGTATTTGTCACAAAGTGACGAAATTTCCCCCGACGCCTTATGCGATGTGGCTTTTTTCCAAATATTTTATTCCTTTTGAATAATATTATTTTCTGTGTTAGATACCTCTATGGAACTATTTGTCGTACCATTAGAAAAAATTACCAAAATTCCTGCAAATCAAATCTGCTCATGGCTGCTCATATAGAGACATGTCTGATCATCAAACATGAAGAAATCCAGAAATTAGTTCTTGAGATATTGCGGCAACACCGTTTTCCAACTCCAAAAGCAGATTTGCTTGCTGTGACCTTGAAAATGGGGTCAAGGTAACCAAAACCGACTGGTGTCTGCGGAGTCTGTATATCCACCATAGTTCCAAATATGAAGACAATCCAGTGTTTAGTTCTTGAGATATCGCGGCAACACCGTTTTCCAACTCCAAAAGCAGAATTGCCTGCTGTGACCTTGAAAATGGGGTCAAGGTCACCAAAACCGACTGGTGTCTGTGGAGTCTGTATATACACCATAGTTCCAAATATGAAGACAATCCAGTGTTTAGTTCTTGAGATATCCCGGCAACAAACAGGTGGGACGGACGGACGGTCGTGAATACTATGTCCCCCGCTCCGCGCTTTCACTCTTTTATTATTGAACTATAACAATCATTTAACTATTTCCAAATGACGACATCCGATGAACTTCTTTTTGTATGTTTGTTAAGGCCGAAGAAATTAATTAACATGCGCCCTTTGTCGAAATCTTTATAGATCACGGTTAACCAATCAGTGTTCAAAAATGAGTAAAACAATTGCCTCCAAGTTTATTCAGCTTTCTTTGCAGAAGGTAGCCCAATCTCTTGTCACGCTCAGTTGCGTATCATCCGGGTACTCACGAGGAAAAAACAATAACAAAGGTAACCACCAGTCCCGGGGAATTGCTTTAGATCAGTGCCCCTTTAAGCCGACATGCCATGATATAACTGGAATACTGTTAAAGGCAGCGTTAAACGCAACTCACTCACTTTATAGATGAAGCCGAAACACAGAATCTGTGATTTTATATTAGTGAAGTTTAAAAGCCAATTGTCCATGCTTGCCCTATCTTGAGAGAACAAATGGTAGTAGTACAGTAGTCACTTTTGCAGCTGACAATGTCCTTCTCAGTGACATTACGGCCACCATGGTTTAGTGGTAGAGCGGAAGGTCGGGTTTGATCCCAGGCCACGTCATACCAAAAGACATTAAAAGTACTTGTGCTCGGCATAAAGGGGTCGGGGTTGGAGTCAGTATACTGTGAGTTGGTTAAACATGTTGAACTGTGGCGTGGTATCTCACTATTAAAATCGGCATTTGTCCGGACTAGTACCCATTCATCGCTATTGAAGTGCAATAATCTTGGACCAATCGTTAAACCCCCATTTCACCTCACCTTTCAGTGATACAAATGGTTTCTTATAGGAAACATTATTTTCATTTAAAGTAGTAAGGGACCGCCTCCCTGGTCTAGTGGTAGAGCGTCCACCCAGGAGCGCGGAAGGTCCGATCCCCGGCCGCATCATACCAAAAGACATTAAAAGATGGTACTTGTTGTTGTTACCCTGTCTGGCGCTCGGCATTAAGGGGCTTAAACAAGGACTGGTCGGCTCGGAGTCGGTATACTATGTCTGAGTGGGGTATTCATGTTAAACTGCGGCATGGTATCTCAGTGAGCTAGCACTATAAATCGGCATCAGTCTGGACAAGCAGCCACACACACACACACGTAGGTCGCTATATAAGTGCAATAATCTTGGACCCAATTTCACCTCACCTAAAGTAGATAGCCGACTGTATTATCTACATATTTGTGTGTTGAAACCCTTATACAGGCCAACCAACACATTTGCGATGTGTACAAATGTCAGCTGGTGTGCAGCAAAATACAACAAAGCTCATTCAAAATTATAGACAATTTATTCAAATAAATCAAAATTGGCCATGACATTTCATTAACTATAACAGTTGTACATTCAGTTGAGCATGCAAATCATCCGCAATGGCATTAATATTCCCTCCCTCCAATACAACTTACGCTACAGCTCCCTAAGAAGTATTTAATCTACCTTTCATTGTGCTCCTGAATACTGTTAGTGGTAATTACCACCCAACAAAGCATCCAGCTGCAAGCACCCGCTCCTTGTGGAATGAATAAACTTGAGCAGAGGCAATCTCACAAGATTCTAAATGATGCACGATTAACACTAATTTTTGCATAAATGTTTATTCTTCATATTTGCTTCATATTCATCCATTTAACTCGCAAAATTTGAAAAAAGTAGGACTTTGAGGAAAAGCTTCTCTTTATGACATTGCCATATAACATACTTACCCAGACATTGATTGACACACAAACATTTCCTACATTTCACCTCAGCTAGAGCAAGAAATTGACTGACCTATCTCAGTCCCCTCCTCAACATTATGTTGCATGTGATATACGAAAATATGAACCTTTTTTAAATGTCTGTCTGATCTATTTTAATTATGCAAAAATAGCTACCTAGGCTACTGCACTACAAACATACTACAATATACACATTGTAAATCCCTCCCCTCATGTTCAAAAATTGTTGAAACCAAAAACTCTGGTTCCACCTTTTTCCAGTATGTATGCACTCAACTCTCCTATCAATGCTCACTCTATCAACCTCTTGTTTTCCTGATTCCATCTAGAAGGTTACTGATAGCAGTCTTTGCTACTCAAAAGAAGTTGAAGAACACCCAATTCTTTCATATTATAGATTATCTGTCATGACAGATATAATATGGTAATATGAAAGAATTGGGTGTTCTTTTGAGTTGTATACATGGATTTGCGAAAATCACATATTCAAGTTGTTTGTGAAAACAAATGACAAAATTCTGATTCATATCAAATGACAATTCACTGGGATCACTAATAGTTTTCTCTACAAGATGATGCAACTCATACCTATCCAGCAACCTATGTCTATGTAAGAGTGAGTGAGTGAGTTGTGTTTAACGCTGCTTTTAACAGTATTCCAGTCATATCACGGCGTGTCAGCTTAATGTGGGAGGAAAGCCCGAAGTGATGCAGGTCTCAGACGTTTACCACTTTGGTGAAACCCACGAGCACGGGTATGGTGCTGACAAACCTTGAAACATAATCTGGGAGAACCGGGATTCAAACCCACAATCATTGGTTTCTTGCGTGCCCAAGGGACGCAACTCTGCCCCCTGTCTATGTAAGAAGGGTTTCAGTGTGTCCTCAGCTGAGACCAAAAGATACCTGTGCAGCACTTAGTACTTGTGCACTCAAACCAAACTATTTTGTAATGTAATGCCCCACTCAGCAATATTCCAGCTATAGGACGTCAGTCTGTAAATAATCAAGTCTTGACCGAAAATCCAGTGATTGACATCATGAGCATTGATCTACACAATCGGGATACATGCATCAATCAAGTCAGACCACCAGATCCTGTTTGTCGCCTCTTACGTCAAGCATGGGTTGTTGAAGACTCGACACCAAAGAATGACGGGTTTTGCACCAATTGAACTTTTAAAAGATCTTAGGAGTGCACTCAAGAAGACTTTATCAAAATCTGAAATTACATATACACAAGTCGACCAGTAGGAATAACAGTAGTGAACACACTAAAGATGACCTTATTCACTGCACTGACAATTCCATTGTATCCGATGTGAATGTTTTTACATTCTTCCGGTATGCCCTTTTGTGAATAGTGTCTACACCCACAGCGTCACTCAACAACGTACTAGAGTCCTCTGCATTATTGTCAACTAAAACTTCGAGATCTGAAACTTGAGAACTATTAAGGCCACAGTAAAACCATATATTGAGGCAGCAACAACTGATGTGAGTTCACGCTCTCACCACTGCTGATGGGAACTGTAAACCAGCCATGTATGAGAAGACTGAATGAAGCTGACCATGAACACAGAACCCAAAACAATAAAACCATTCACCCATTCCCTGTACTTCCCAAACAACCCCTTCCCACAAACAAACAGTAACAACATCTGCTGATGAGAGGGACTACATGTCAACAACTTAATCAGTTCTGGAGGAGAGCAGGGTAATACACAAATGACACATGCCCATTCTTCAACCTGCACTAAGACTATCAAAGCTAAAAAAATAATTGTCTTGGTTCTTAGGCACCGCCTGCATCATCATAAAGTCTGCTGCATGTTTCGTTTTTATTTCCATATTTAAAAAAAATTAAAAATCCTAATGTGATCCAATATAGCACAGTTACCTCCCTTTACTGCACATCTCGTGTTATGGTCATGGCGGCAATTGGAGTTCGCTTGTTTATGTTCTTGTTCCCTGGTTGATGGAACACACAACTGTTCCGCACCCGCACTATATTTTCAAAAGCCATTGCCTGAGAACCAATTCTTTTATAATTTTTAAGCCTAACACAAATTTCAGCAGAACCCAGTTCAGCTGTAGTGCTAAGATAGCATGGGCACTTTCCACCAAGTCATATTTTGGCTACGGCTGTCATAAATCCATGTTACAATGTTACAGAATGAGAGCTATATGAAGGGATAATAGCACTAAAATTACCACGAGTCTGCTACAAAGTGGGACTTACAGCACTCTAAGTTAGCTGTGAGGGGTGAGGCCCAATGATCAATTCCACAATGCCATCTTAGTGCTAAGGTGATCGTAACTCCCTCAGTTTAACATAGGTTTGCAATCATCATAGTGCTAAGATCACATTGTGGAACAGGATCTGGGCTCATTTCACTAAGTGGTCTTAGAACTTTGACTAACATAACTCCTATACGTTAATACAAACTCAGCACTATGACAGCTTTGTGAAACAGGCCCCAGACAGTAATTGCAAAGACTGAGTTTGTCCCCAGGTGATACTTGCGGCAGTTAGTAGTCAGTGGCTGGGACATCATACACGACCCCACCAACCCGTCAGTGACAGTCAGGTTGCCATTAGCTGGTTACTACAATTTAATATAAGTGCGTGAGTATTGTTTTACGCCACTTTTAGCAATATTCCAGCAATATCACGGCGGTGGAGACACCAGAAATGGGCTTCTCACATTGTACCCCCGTCGGGAGTCGAACCCAGGCGTGACCGAATGCTTTAACCACTAGGCTACCTTACCGCCCCTTTAATATAAGTACTATGGCACTCCATCATGGACTTATCCAAACACTAACTTTCAACGAGTGAAATTTGGAGTTAGAAACTAGGCACAATTTAACAATGGTGTATACACTGCCTAGATAAGTAAGAGCTGCAAAAAGGTTAACTGCAGAATTACAATCAGAACAATCATTTCCCAATAGTAAACTTCAAATTTGGTTGCTTTTTTAGGTAACTCCGCCAATAATCACGAAAATGTTTCAGTCACTAGAACTGAGAATAGAAAAACAATTTATTTCATTAATTCAATTCATGATAATGCTCCGTGATTAGATAAATAAGGTATTCAGGAAAACGATTATCTTCAATGTCTAAATTCATCTGAGCACCGCATGCTTGAAAAAATATGACCCAACAAAACCAACACTAAAGGACATATCAAACCCAATATTCCTGATCAAAACAGGAAATCACTTGATGTGACTTTGGCACTCCTAGACAGATTTTATATACTTCCTATGTATCTAAACTTTTCAGTATGTTTCTGGTCTATCTGGATCATTTTCTGTTATTGTATTCAAAGAAACAGTAAAGTTTGACTGTGGAGTCACCTAAAATGTCTCCGTAAACTTAATACTTTTTCCAGAGTTTTGTCCTTTCCAAGACAATGACTACTACCTCAACAAGCTTCTTTAATAATTTCAAAAACATAACAAGGAGAGGCCCCTGCAGCCAACAATTGACCATATATTGGGATGTGAAAGATTTTGAGGGATGGATTAATTCATCTGTAGGCGACAGCTTTGTCAGCATCTGAAAAACAGATAGGTCAACATTTGACTTGTAAGCAATACTTTGAGTACGGCGATAAGTAACGGTAATAACATAAAAATAATAAATGATTTATGTCTGTGTGGGTTGTTTGAAGAAGTTACTTTATTTTGAGGAAGAGAAATGTGAATTTAATGAAAATTTTAGGACTTCAAATATTCTATCATTTAATACTAATACTAGAAAATCTCTTTGAGTTCATAATCTCTGAGACTTTCTCCTATTCCAAACCTCTACCGACTTGACTTCTTCCTGTCTCGAGACCTTGACCTGGGTGACCTGGAGCGTGACCTTGAAGAGGATTTTGACCTTCTGTTCCTTTTCGTGTATTTAGTCTTGGATGGTGAGTTGGATCTGTGAAAAGAAAGACATAAATCTACACTGGAATACTTAACATGCTATCCAAGATCAAATAGCTTTTAAATCAGAAGGAACATTGCAGAAGGATCTAAGTGTCATACCAAGTACAGTCAAGTCCCGTTAATCCGGCAAGGTTGGTTGCATATGATTATGTCGGATTATAACGAGTATTAAGGATAAACAAAATTAAATAGTATCAACGTTTGTGATCGAAAATTGGACAACTACACGATAGATAACGATACAAACACGTAACAATACAATAAAAATGAAGTATTCATATTGTTCATAGTTCACAAAAGGTTGTTCTGATGTGACCTGTAATGGGATGTCCTCGGCGATAGTGAGTACTTGTATCTGATTTTAATGACATTGAGGTAATCTTAGCATGTGATTAATCCTGTTTTCTTTTTTTAAAGCATTAATTGTTTATTGTTAAGGAAGTTTATCTCTGCAGCAGTTGTAATATGCAGCTTCCAGCTCGCATCAAAACACGGGCTGTGTACTCGCGGGCAGATGATCACGGAGTACGCTGATCACTGTGTCAGATTAACAAGACTGATTAACAAGTGATTTCGGCAATTCGTTACAATTTAGGTGTGTCGGAGTCGGAGTGCGAGACTGTCGGATTAACGGGTCTAAATAGCACTGATTTAATCGGTTCCCATCATTAGTATCGGATTAACGAGATTTGACTAATTCAAAACATATTCCCTTTGAAAATTTTATAACGGACATAATGGATTGTGCAAGCATATAACAGGTTCAAAGGCATGTTTCCCTGGCCTTGTTAGAAAAAGCGCTTTGTGGGACAACTGCCATTAAGACAATTGAATAGTACGATAAATTAGACTAGTATCGGTAACATGAGTGGGTTTTTTTATATATAATTTGTATGGTTTTTTTACCTTAAAGTTTTGATGTCTACACAAATGTAATTATAAAACAGGAAGCAGTATCTAAATGAGCCAATTAGGCCTGATTATCCATCCCTTTCAATGGATAGCCCTCAACAGTAGTTGGTTCCTAGCCAATGTTATTTTTTAAGTAACGAGCAACACTGCTTCCAATAATCATCCTCTCCTCTCACAACATGAAGGTTTTAAAAAAATAATTGAAAATTGATTACATCCTACTTTCAAGAATGTGTTCATCCTACTGTGAATAATAGTCACACAAAATAAATTGGGGGTGGGAATAGTCCTAGTTGTAGTAAATACATTGGGTGGAAGTTGTCACAGGTGGTAAATGTCCAAGGTAGCAATTGTCCTCGACCCGGCAGAGTGATCTTCTCGTATCTCTAGTGTAAGTATGGGAGTTGTACCAGGTGTGCGAAGACCAAATTGTGGAATGATGCTCTTATTCTCATCAAAGTACACCTTGCGTATTCCAAGGTCAATTTATTTTTGCATTGAACACAGCTAATGCTAATCTGTAACTTCTGTAACTTGAATTATAACATTGATATGCAGACATACTTAGACTGGATAGATATGATTATTACTGACATGCATGAAACAGTGCTATGTGATAGACAACAAAACTGTTCTACCCTGTGAACCGTGAAAAGAAAGTTTACCACCCAAACCAAATGGCAAAATTAATACATTTACTTTGACATGAATCTCACTTATGAAAACCAAAAGTAAAAAAAGTGTTCATTGCTATGGCTAAGGAACATGCATAAATTCTGTCATGTTAACAAACATGTGAACACACAAGAATGTAAACGAGATGATTTTGATATTGACCTTTGACCGTTTACCCTGGTTACCAGTTACCATGGTTACCTGGACCTAGAATAGCTTCTCTTCAACTTTTTGCCATCTTCTGATCTTGACCTAGAACCAGACCTTGACCTTGACCTTGACCCTGACGATGAACTTGATCGAGATGATGATCTAGACCCTGAAGAATAACTTGAAGATGACCTTGACCTTGATGAAGACCTTGACCTAGCATTTGTCTTTTCATCCTGGGACTTATCTTGTGTACCATTTTTCTGCTCTTTCTGTTCCTCACTCTCATCATCACTGGCATCCAAGTCGTACTTCGAAAGGTCAACATCATCCTCATCTTCATCTTCATCATCCTCCTCATCATCTTCGTCATCATCCTAGAAAACAGACAGTACAAGCCCTAATGAATTACCACCATCTACAAAAATTCCATAAATATCAAACAGTAAAATGATTGTCAATAGGCCATTCATAAAGCGCACAACTCAACACTATGTATGCCAGTCAAAGCACTCATTTTTACCATTCCAATCAACAGAACACAGCAAATCCCACTGCATTTCCAGATCACTGGTGAGTATACAATCAAAGCTGCCTGTGTAACCAGAGAAGGTTTTGCAAGAGTAGCTAAAATCTTGAGTCAAGTGTTACATCCAATAAAGAATATTCTAGCAATATCATGGTGAGATCAAAAGACTAATTATCTTACAGTGGATCCTTGTGGGTAATCAAACCTGGGTCTTCAGCTTGACAAATGAACCCCTTAACCCCTGGGCTACCCCACAACCCTGCACGCCCTGAAAGATATCCTAAGTTCACTGAGTACACAGTGAACACAGTATACAAGCACCAGTTGACATTGTCACTCAAGGAATGGGGGCACGGGTGGCCCAGTCATCTAAGGCACCGCGATTTGCTTTTAAGAGTTGCATCCCTTAGGCACGCCAGAAACCTATGATTGTTGGTTCGAATCCTGGTTTGCCCTGATTATGTTCCTAAGTTTGTCAGCACCATACCCATGCTTGTGGGCTCCACCGAAGTGGTAAACGTCTGAGACCTGCATCACTTGGGGCTTTCCTCCCACATTAAACTGACATGCCGTGATATAACTGGAATACTGTTAAAAGCGGCATTTAACCCAATTCCCTCACTCACTCACTCCAGGAATTATGCAATACCTTGTTCTCTGCATCTCCCCCTCCTCTCTCGCCCTGCTTCACCGGATTGTCTGTCGAGATCTTGCGCACAGCAAATTTCTTCTTCCTTCCAAACTAAAGAAAACACCAGTATTAATATCCTCAACAAGGAGATGTGTGAATTGTCCTTGACAAGTCTTAGGTTTCTCCTTAAGCTTTAGCTTATGTTGTTTGTAGGGCTGGGATGAGTGCGAATTTATTACCCGGGTACCCACCGCCCTAGGTCTCAGGAGATAGGTACAAAATTTCCAATTAGGCATTTTGTTTTACCATAGCCCTGACAAATCATATGAAGATACATGTATTAAGCAATCTGGTCATGCATACACTGAAGTTGACTAAGTTATATCTTTATTCAACCATATGAAAAGTCAGAAGGAATGGGTGCATAGTCAGAAAGAAATGTGAACATTAGTTACTTGTAGTGTAACCATAGAGTTCTATATACTTTTTGTCATTAAACAATATATCACATGAGTAACCACAGGTCTGGGTAGTCCTGTGGGTACCCGGATCCGACTCAGTACCCACCTGACCGGGTACCTGAGTTACCCCTCCCTGCCCTAGTTGTTTGTCCTTGATAACACTGCTATCCCTCTGGGTGGGCTCACCTCATCATATTCCTCCTCGGAGTCTTCTTCTCTCTGTACATACTCCACCACTTCATCCCTCTCCATGTAGCCACCACCAAACCCTGTGAAGCAGGAACAGTTCACTGATTGTGGTTTGCTTCTTATATAGATATAGGACAGCAGTGTGTAGATAATTAAGTCTGGACCAGACAATCCAGTACTTGACATCATGAGCACTAATTTATGCAATTGAGACACCAAGTCATTCTTTACTTTTCTTTGTTTGTTGTTTAAGCCACACTCAGTAACATCAAGCACTATTTCGGCGGTCAGTAAATAATCGAGTCTGGACCAGACAATCCAGTACTTGACATCATGAGCACTAATTTATGAAATTGGGACCCCAAGTCTTTCTTTATTTTTCTTTGTTTGTTGTTTAAGCCACACTCAGCAATATCCAGCTATTTTTCTGCGGTCTGTAAATAATCAAGTCTGGACCAGACAATCCAGTAATTGACATCACAAGCATCAATCAACACAACTGGGATACGATGACATGCATCAACCTGATCCCATTAGTCGCCTCCTCTGGCAAGCATAAGCAACTTTTATGGCAAGCATTGGTTTGACTTCACAATCCTGTTAGTTGCCTTTTCGACCAGCATGGGTTGCTGAAGACTAATCAATTCTAATCTGGATCTACAAGGGGGCAATTCCATTTAAATTCCTGCAATGTAAAGTGTGTGTCCTGTTCTACTACTAACTATTCACTGCACTGCAGATATAAATATGCGTTAACTTCCAGTTCTCCAAAGCCAATCTTAGGCGTTCATCAAAGAGTGAGTGAGTGAGTATGGTTTTACGCCGCTTTTAGCAATATTCCAGCAATATCACGGCGGGGGCCACCAGAAATGGGCTTCACACATAGTACCCATGTCGGGAATCAAACCCGGGTCTTCGGCGTGACGAGCGAACGCTTTAACCACTAGGCTACCCGACTGCCCCCTTCTTCAAAGACACTATGTAGTAATGACTGAACCATTTTAAACCTTTGGTCTCACAGTGAGTATTGTTTTATATATCACAGCCGGGGACACCAGAAATGGGCTTCAGACACTGTACCCATGTGGGGAATCGAACCCGGTTCTTCGGCGTGACACAGCCCCCTTGGTCACACAGTGAGTATGGCTTTATGCTGCTTTTTGGTATATTCCAGTAATATCACAGCGGGGGACACAAGATACAGCAGCTGTACTGGATGTTCCCTGTGTTAACCTACCAGTCCTCTGTTCAACCTTGCCATACTTGGGGGAGTTACACATGTTGCAGCTCATTCGTCTCGCCCAGTTTACATTACCACAACTGAAAGCAAACAATCAGATTACAACAACGTCAGCTGTCACAACTGCTAATTGCATTTTTCTTGAATTAGAGTGAGTGACTATCGTTTTACGCCGCTTTTAGCAATTTTCCAGCAATCACAGCGGGGGACACCAGAAATGGGCTTCACACATTGCACCCATGTCGGAAATCGAACCCGGATCTTCGGCGTGACGAGCGAATGCTTTTACCACTAGGCTACCCGACCGCCCCTCTTGAATTAGAAGATACTTACAACAGCCTTATAATCATAATATCACTGCACCTTGAATTTGAATACTGAAGTGATAAATTAGTTACCGAACCACATTCTGGTCATCAGGAAACCATTCGCACCATCCGCATCATCATAAAGTCTGCCGCACATTTTGTTTTTATTTCCATTTTCAAAAAATATTAAAATCCTAATACTTATACACAATGCACAAAAAAAATTGAAAATGGAAACAAAAACCAAACATGCAATGAACTTTATGATGATGTGGGCATGCCTGAGAACCAAGACTATTATTTTTTTTAGCCTATGATAGACATACAGTTTATTTGTATACATGGCCAAAAGTACATGTATAATTGTACAAGTTACAGCGCAACCTTGACATTTTAGTTTCAGAAAATGTAGAGCAGGTTCACAAGATGAATTTCATAATTTATTCAGATTGGCTTCTTAGCCCTCATACGAAATATGCGGTGTAATAACACGGATAACTTAAATAACATGTTCGCATGATCGGTTTTGAGCATATCATATCAGATAGAATGTGCTCATATACTGTAAATCATGAAATTAATGCGGAAAATGCAATTTTATCACCTCCTGACATTACTATAGAGATGCATCTGGACATATTGGAGTATAGTGTCATGTCAGGTTCACTGCACAAGCACGAAACAATCACACATATAACCATGATAATTGAGTTAGTATGGTTTTACTCTGCTTTGAGCAATATTCCAGCAATATCATGGCGAGGGGACACCAGAAATGGACTTCACACATTGTACCCATGTCGGGAATCGAACGTGGGTCTTCGGCGTTCTAACCAAGTTAACAAAGTTCACAATAAACAAGGTACTTGAACACTAGATTTTAGTAAAATCTAAATGTTTTTTACATTTGTATACTTATCCTGCATTACTCCTTAATGCATTCACTGCTTACCTTACGACAACAAGAAGGACAGCGCAGCTGTGAAGGTCCTCGGTCAAGACATAAAGTTGTTGTTCTGAAGTCCCACTTTTACTGACTACCGCCGCTGTCCTGTGACCTTGATGAGACCTAAAGTCATCTTCTTCACATCAAATATGTTAAGTCTTGGTTGTCAGCCATCTCAACAGCATTTTCAACAACAGTATGTCTGTGCTGGAAAAATGTTATGTAGTATGATGAGTACGTAATCATCCTTGAGACCTGCCTCTGCCACACTCACTGGGAACAGTGGTCTTCCTTGAGAGATGCCCGTCTAAGCTTATAATTGCCTGACCTGCCAGTCCCCTGGGATAGACTAAAAGAGACGTGCGCAGTGTCATTCCAAGTGTTTTGGGGAACTTGGCATGAGTGTCTGCAATCTGTTCATTGAACAGGGAGGTAGATGACAAAGGGCAAAGCAGTCTGCGCTTGAAATCACAGTCCAAGTTAGAAAGCGCTGAAGTCTGCGTGTGACGGTAATCTCCGCGAGAGCAGCCTCAAGATGAATTTTCATGTGGTCAATTTGACGCTGTAGGAAAATCACCATAGTTTGGAAATGATCTAATCGGATAGGGTTATCCTCTGATAGATCCTGATCCACTGCATGCAATGACAATGTTGTTGGCTTAAATGACAGAGCAAATGTAAACTTGGAGAAGTCCCTCTTATTTACCCCATTACCAGGGGGGCGCCACTGACACGCGATGGTCTGCTACCAAATCTGGTACCTGTGCTAAGCCAGCGATCTGCTCTGGCGCGTCGTGCCTCCTCTATCAGAAGGCTTTGATGACCCTCCTGGATAATGAGTCATGTGCAGATGTCCCCGTACGCGCTGGCATACTAGTGCTGCCCAGCAATGTATGATGTACCAGAAAGCACATTAGGCATTTGGTATGATGTACCAGAAAGCACATTAGGCATTTGGTATAGGCGCTCCGTGCAGGTCTATGAGACAATGCTCATCAGTGATGACTGGATCATTGTAAAGGCGCTTGGTCCATTGTCCAATTAGCATTCTGGAACGCCATGTTGACGCCTGAGCATGCATCTGCTGTGCTGGATATGTTGGAACAGCGCTAAGCTGATCGTGCGTCGCCTGCATAACATTGAATGCTGATGTCATTGTAGAGGCACTTGGGTAGTAGTCAGGCGCTGCGCTCGGCACAGATAACTGAGACACAATGCTCATTGGTATTGACTGGATCATGGCTTGCGTCTGCGCTACCCCCATCAAAGCGCCTTGAGACGCTGGCGCCAGGGTTGCAGATTTAGCAGATCTGGATGTCTCAGGCGGTTGAAAATTAGGAGCAGTTACAATACTCACAAAATCCTCCGGTATTGTTGATTTCAGCAGAGCAAGCACTTCTGCAGACACAGTTACAGGCGTCATATTACCCGCCGATGATAACTTCTTTATGGTAATGATCGAACCATGTCTTCGCTATTCAGCGATTGTGACATTCTTATCGTCTCAGGACGGGATTGCTGCAAGATATATATGTGAGTTACCTGCCTATATATTGTAAAACTCGTTGGAGAGAGATTAACACAAAATTACAGTTAGAATTTGGCGAGCACATCTGTGTGCATGCCGAACAACGTGGATAAAGTTCTCCAGGCGATTTGTTCCCACGACCTATAAATACAGCGCGCAAGGATAAGGTACACAATTATAGAATTGTTGATGAAACAGTATTGGAAGAATGCCATAGAATTGAACAATAATCTATTGGCAAAAATATGAGTTGAAAGTGTATACAATATTTTTATAAACGCAACTATTTACATCTGCGTACAAGCCAACACCAATGTGGATGATAAACTTTGGATTATTTTTTCCAAGACAATTAGTACAATGAGCAAGCATAACTAACCCAAATAAAGAATTTATTATGAAGCGGTACTGAAATACTGGAAGAATTGATAATAATCTTTCGGCAAACATATTTTTAACGAGTTGTAAGTGTATAAAATAATTTATATATATGCAACTCACTGTCACGCCAAAGCTAGTAGTATTTAAGAGCACAAGAATATGTTATACATACAAAGCTGAGAATTGTAAACAATTTGACTACCTTGGCAGGCAAACAATTGTAACAATTCAAAATGGCGGCGAACAACAAATATGTGGTGGGAAAAAAGACAAGAGTCTTTTCACGCCTAATTAATTCACATAAAACTACACAACATGGTGAAAGTAATATGAAAAGAATACATCATCCATTGCAGATCAGTTTTAGAATTGTTGACGAAAACTGAAGGTCTAAATTAATCCAAAAGGAGAGCTCCGCTGGGACATGTTCTTGCTGTAGTGCAACAAGCAGTGACCGAAGAAGATGACCTAAGGTGTCATCAAGGTCACAGGACAGCGGCGGTGGTCAGTAAAAGTGGGACTTCAGAACAACAGCTTTATTGCTTTTGGAGCATGTACAATTTTCATTGGTGACCTGCCGTATCTCATTTGAATATGCGTTATTTGGAATTTCCTGCTTATTTTATGGAAGTTAGAAAATGCTAGGTTAGAACAGTTGACGTCTGTGGAGATAACAAAGGATATTATTCAACCGTACTGCTATTACGTGTTTCAACATTCTACACTTACCCCATTGTGTGTCATGGAATCCTAAATTCTGGTTCGGTGTTATCGTTTGGTGATCGGTTATCGCTTGCTCATAGCGCATTAATTTCACGACGCATATTAGGCCGGGGAGGGTGGATGAATTAATTTGGGGACGCACTAACTGCATAATTCACAGTATATGACATCCTTTGAAAGGACTTGTTCCCAGGTAGCTATGTAGGGTCATCATTGTTGTTTTGAATTAATATATCAAACAATTGTAAACAGTAGTCTGTAACAGTAAACTCATTTGATCCACAGGTATAAAAATTTGCAACATTTTTCAACATTCTACACTTTACCTTTTACACTGCCAGTCATCAGCACTGAAGAGGCCATGACTTTTCTCTGCCATGGCCTTTCCAATCTCTTGTCCTCCCTTCTTAAAAGTAGCACCATCTTTCTTTTCTGGAACAAATTTCAATAGGCGATTTGAATCGTTTTACATTTATACATCTATAACAAACTTCAGTTCTCCTTGAGGATTTTCAGTGGGATGCATTCTCAGATAACCGTCACAAAGTCTAATCTCAAATATCTTTCTAATTTCAAACTAGTCGGAAGTGAGCTGACATTTAACTGAATTTGTCTCCCCTTGTAAATGGTCAGAGAAAGTAGTGTCGATCTCATTTAAAAATCAGATTTTAGTGCTTGTAACTGTTACACAAAGATTTGAGTAGATTCCATTATAGGTCACGTCAGAACATCCTTTCATCCGACCAATTAGCGCTGTTTACGAGATTGAGAAAGTGAACTGCAGTCATGAGCAGCAGAACTGATTCTGAATGCCGGTCAAAATATTTGAAACGGAACTGACTTTCTGCAGCCCGTGAGAAGTACTGCCATCTCAGCTTTTTATTAGACATTCCAGAATTTTATTTTGTTCAGTTTTCGAATTATGAATCAAGAACTCTGTCAAAATATTTGTAAAGCATAGTCATATTCTGGTGCCATAACACTCAAGAAAGCTGCTTCTCATTGGCTAACTTCAACTTCCAGGTAGTCATTTCATTGGCCGATGAAAGATCCTGTAAGGTCATTCTGACGTGACACGTAGTGAATGTCCTCAGATCTTTGTGTCGCCATAGAGACAATGAAGATCTGACTTTAATGAGATTTGATTAGTGCGTGTGTTTCTTGTTAATAATCGAGTCTGGACTAGACAATCAGGTGTTTGTACTGTTTGTGATGACCCACTCTGCCGTGGTACAAGGACACACAATCAACCAAATCACCAAGCCTGACCACCCAACGCCTTCTATGATCAGCAGAGTTTGCTGGGGACCAATCTGGACAGTGAGTGAGTTGGGTTTAACGCCGCTTTTAACATTATTCTAGTCATATCACGGCGTGTCTGCTTAATGTGGGAGGAAAGCCCAAAGTGATGCAGGTCACAGACGTTTACCACTTGGGTGAGACCCACGAGCACTGGTATGGCGCTGACAAACCTAGAAACATAATCGGGGTGAACCGGGATTCGAACCCACAATCATAGGTTTCTGGCGTGCCCAAGGGACGTAACTCTGCACAGCAAATTGCGGTGCCTTAGACGACTGGGCCACCCGTGCCCCCCCCCCCCCCCCCCCCCCCCCACCAATCTGGACAGAGGCTACAACACTGCACATACCATTTTTACTTTTCCCACACTTATTGCAGGACGATCTTCTTGCAAAATTGACGTTTCCACATCTACAACAAACAAAACATGAATTTAATTATGTATTAATCAAATTATCTCTTCTCTACTATTGTGAACACATAAAATTGAACATAATATGTCAGCAGAGTTTCGTTTAACGCCGCTTTCAACAGTAATCCAGTTATATCATGGCGTGTCAGCTTAATATGGGAGGAAAGCAGGTCTCAGACATTTTCCACTTTGGTGAAATCCACAAGCACAGGTATGGTGCCGACAAACCTAGAAATATAATCGGTGTGAACCAGGACCTAAACCCATAGGTCCCAAAGGGACATAACTCTGCACAGCAAATTGCGTTGCCTTCGCCGACTGGAATATGCCACTACCTAATGTATTGATACATAGGTGAGGTGAGGTGAAATTGGGTTTAACGTCGCGTCCAAGATTATTGCACTTATATAGCGACGTGCATGCACGTGTATGTGTGTGTGTGGCTGCTTGTACTAGTCCGGACTGATGCCGATTTATAGTGCTAGCTCACTGAGATACCATGCCGCAGTTTAACATGAATACCCCACTCAGACACAGTATACTGACTCCGAGCCGACCAGTCCTTGTTTTAGCCCCTTAATGCCGAGCGCCAGACAGGGTAACAACAAGTACAATCTTTTAACGTCTTTTTGTATGACGCGGCCCGGGATCGAACCCTGGACCTTCCGCTCTCCGGGCGGACGCTCTACCACAAGACCACGGAGGCGGTCATTTGATACATAGTCACGATACAAATTTTAATACAGGTGAGGTGAAATTGGGTTAAACGTCGCGTCCAAGATTATTGCACTTATATAGCGACGTGCATGCACGTGTGTGTGTGTGTGGCTGCTTGTACTAGTCCGGACTGATGCCGATTCATAGTGCTAGCCCACTGAGATACCATGCCGCAGTTTAACATGAATACACCACTCAAGACACAGTATACTGACTCCAAGCCGACCAGTTCTTGTTTTAGCCCCTTAATGCCGAGCGCCAGACAGGGTAACAACAGCGAACCCCAGACCTTCCGCTCTCCGGGCGGATGCTCTACCACTAGACCACGGAGGCGGTCAATTTTTATAATACAGAGATCAGAATGGTTAATTTCTTTCTATGACCGTAAGCAACAGAACCCCAAGTTGTTGTCAGGCAAGATTATTGCAAAACTTTGTAAATATTACCGTTTTTACTCCATACAGAACTAAAACATAGGTAAATGTATTGTATCATCAGCGGTGTAAATCAGCAATGAGTTGATACCCCTATGATTTCTGACCACTCTAAATACTCATGTCAGTGATGCCTTTTCCCTTAAATCTTATAAGTCTACAATTTAGTTTTCATTTGAAGTAATTGTTTTCTCAAAAAGATTTCATCCATGAATGAAAGGGAAAATGCCTAAATGAATCTCAAAATCTGTTGATACTGCCAAACAAACATTGAACATATCTGAAATTGACAGTCTTATATAATAAGGATTAGGATTGATTATCAACATTTTCTGATAATTTATAGGGACAAAGCTTTGATGGTTCTGAGTGTTATTAAATCATGCATGAAATAATTTCCAAGTTTGACATCATACCTTCAGTTCATGCATGACTCAATTCTCAAAACAATACAGCTCCGCACAGAAAAGGTGACAACCCAAGCACTGCCCAGAAGAACTGGCTTTGTCTAATAAAAACATGCCAAAGTGAAGAGTGAGTGTGTGGGTGAGTTGGGTTTAACGCTGCTCTTAACAGTATTCCAGTCATATCACGGTGTGTCTGCTTAATGTGGGAGGAAAGCCCGAAGTGATGCAGGTCTCAGACTTTTACCACTTCGGTGAAACCACGAGCACGGGTATGGTGCTGACAAACCTAGAAACATAATTTTGGCGAACCGGGATTCAAACCCACAATCCTAGGTTTCTGGCGTGCCCAAGGGACACAACTCTGCACAGAGAATCGCGGCGCCTTAGATGACTGGGCCACCCGAGCCCCCCCAAAGTGAAGAGGAACCTTGTGTAGCTTTCTTACAGATGAGTTACAAAATAATAATTGCCAGCTTGATTGGATTAGAACTCAGTGTTTATTAATTCAATTTAAATGCCTGGGTTGTATGAAGCCAATCACTTTGCAGAACACTCTCTTACCAAGAGTCCCGTGCGACCAGATTAGAACCTCTGTCATATTGTCCATTCACCATTTGGCAAGTTTTTCATCTATTTAACTTTCATGTGAATACCTCTTTATATTTGCATATTTATCCTTTGTCTACATTGGTTGTTTGGCTCCATGCGTTGTCATCGAAGCCCATGGAGAGCCAGCGATACAAGCTCATTGATATATTAAGCTGTATTGTCATGCACCTCACTGTCACCGTTGCATTAGCATAGCTACACAATTATGCAAAGAAATATGAAAGTGCCCCGAAAGGATGGATTAAGCCTGTCTGTCTGATTTCAGAATAAGTCTGTTTACAGATAAGAGAAAAGTCTGGTTATGTGAGCCAACACCAACAGTGTGGTCACCGAAACAGAAACTTCTCTCAAGGAATAAGGCGAGCAGGGCCGATTAAACTCAGGGGTTGTCAATGTTTGCAATCAAAGCTACAGAACGATCGAGATACTGGCCGTTTAATACCCAATTCTGCAGTCATTCCTGTGTCATCACCTGGTTTGACAAATGTTGAGAAAACTGCTGTCTTTTGAATTAATTTTTGCTATCATTTCCATCAATATTCTTAACCAACAAGGGGCTACTTACTATTGTTGCCCTTCGCTTTTGGTTTACTGTTTTGCAGTTAGACCTCATGATTGATTTTCTACAGAAGAGTTACAACAGAGTGACACGACTCAGGGATACACACATCCACTAGTCAGAGACTTGTGAAAATCCTTAGAGAGTAGTTGTTTTCTCCAAAAACATGTTTGGTCCTTCTATTTACATAAAGTTTACCACGAGTCCGAAATGACAAGCTGACTTTTTGGACTTGACCAGTGGTCTACCGATGTTAGTCCGACAAGCCCAACTTTTCATATTTGGTTACGACTTCCAACAATGCTCGCAGGTGCTTAAGCAAGCAATCAAAAACACAGAGAAGATAAGCTATGGACATACTAGACTACGACCATTTTTCAAGCAGTATTCGCTTTATAACCATGCGGGAAAGGCGCATTGTCTAGACTAGGCCTAATCCAAAATACACGTTCTGTTCAAATCGAAGTCATAAACGCTACAGGCATCATTTTACTATAGTTAAAAGGATAAGAGATTGATTTCCTTCATGCCCCACAAAGCGTTAAAACTGAAATAACTGTTTTACTTAGGATCGGGGCAAATCCAGTCCCCCTCGTTGGGTTTAAAGCGCCCACCACCAGACATCGTTCACAATAATTACGATTGTTGGCCGCGAGATGGCGTCGTTTCGAGAATATGAGAACAATATAAAAACGAAATTGGCGTGTGGGATGATAATGCTTTTTCAGAGATTTCGATGAATATTCACACCGTGTATAGCATTTAAGGCTTAAAAAGTCCTAATGAGGATTTGACGAAACTAAATCCATGATCAAAAGTAAATATTTTTATAATGTTATTGATAATTGTAATTGTGAACTTCATATTTCGTATAACACTCCGCCTTTTATATGCACCCACAGTCAATAAAACTCTCGACACACTTTTGGTGTACGCTAGGTCTGCGACCGATACTTTTAACCGCTGTGAAGAGCTTTAATAGCCATCTTTCCGATAGAGGGCACTCTTCACAAAATGGAGTCCAATAGTAACGGCAACGATTCGGCCAACCTTAGAAAACGCCACCAACACAACAACGTGAATCAACACGAGCGAAATTTCAGTTATGAAGAATCTAAGCAACGAGCTAAGCATGGCACATCAAAAATATACCTTAGTGGACCTCTCCTCATATTGCTTTCCCTGCTTTTCTATTCATCTAGCGTTATTCTTGTTCACGTTCGGATGAACTCGTTTCCAACACCACTTTTGGCAAATAATCACAGTGATCAACATTTTACAGAAGAGAGAGCAAGGAAACATCTCGATGATATAACCGGATTTGGTCCTCGTGTTGCAGGCAGTTACGCAAATATTCAGGCTGAAAAATACATTTTTTCAGAACTCAACAAAATCAACCAAGTGCGAAATCATGTGCACGACATACAGGTTGACATCCAAAATGTTACTGGGTCATTTGTGTTGGATTTTATTGGTGTTGGCGAATTTACCAGTGTCTACAGCAATCTGAGGAATGTTATTGCGATGCTGTCACCTGCAGAGAAAATTGGAGATCACAGCATCTTGATCAATTGTCACTATGATACTGTTACAGATAGCCCAGGTATGTTTAACATTTTTGCATTCCTTATTTCTCATCGAAATTATTCGTCGAATTAATAAACATGTGATTAAGAAATGTGGTCCTTGTGCTACAGAACAACTAGTAGTAATGGCAGTTTGTTGATATTCCGTAGACATTTTTGTACAAAAAGGTCAACTATTGTATATAAAATTGAGTTTTGGAGGTGTGGAAGCACCCATCATTCTACAAATTTGCTAAAACAGCAAAGGATTCGTTAAATGTCCTGATGTATGTCTTAGTGGTGAATCCTAGTCATGAAGCAGAACTACTATTGCCTGGCAAAAACGGCACCTCATATTTATTTTACCTTGGTACTGAAAAACTTGAAATAAAACTCACAAACTTGCAGACACAAATAATTGTAAAATGTTAAAACAGGTTTACATTTGAAACTAGCCTCTACTCCAATTTACTCGCCGACTCTGATTGAGAGGTGCAACTGAACTTTTGGTGAAAACATTTTAGTCTTTGAAGTAAAATAAATGAATTAAACCAGAGACTATTTACCGATATCGGTATATGGTCTCTGATTAAACCCACATGGTCACAAATTATTGTGAAATGTTGATCGCCTTAAACTTGTTAAAACAAGTTTACATTAGAAATTAGCCTCTATTCCAATTGATTGGGAGGCACAACTAAACTTACTGTGAAAACATCACATGCTTTGATTACCTTTACTCAAATAAACTCAAAGTCAAGCTGATACTGAGTCTGGCGGAAATGTCAAGAAATTGGACTACAGGTATACTATATATTTAATATGTATTTTAGTAAGTAGGAAGTAAATAGTAATTTTTTAGATATTTCATATAATTATAACCCCCCTTTCCTGACTGCAGCCAACATCACAGACTGAAAGACTGTGTGCCCGCCTGAGGAAAACATATATACTACAAAATAAGACATTTTCGCCGACAATCAGTAGCCATTTTTCACCAAATGAGGTGCCGGTTTAGCCTGCACCCATTAAATATCCTAATGTATGTCTCAGTGCCGAATTCTAGTCATGAAACAGAATGCAGCTGCGTGATATCTTCATAAATTGTAAATATAAATTGAGATTTGAAAAAAAAAAATCATATTGTTTTGACTGCTTATTTCTTAGTTTATATAAAGTCACATAACCACAGGTCTGGATAGTTGAAACAGGACCTGGGTTGTGTTGCAGTAATCACTCGGGTCACCTGCCATAGTCATAGTAGTGTGTGTATTTAATGACAACTAGATATTTTAACTGTAAGCATGGTAAATAGGTTGTTTAAAACAAACTAAGTATTATGTTTAACTGTCCAAGCATTTGGTACTATTTGTAAGGGTGTAGGTGAACTTGTAACCAAATAATTTGTATCCATGGAGAATTTGGGGACACCCCCAACTCGTAGACAAAATTCACGGTGAACTTGTAGACAAAAACAAAATTGGGAAATCTTAAAATTTAAATGCCAATAAATATAACATGGTGCTCAGTGATAGAAACAAACGTTTTTAGTCCCTAGTCCTTATATTTAAATGATCACGTATAGCAAAAACCTTTAAAATGGCAAATTTCTATTGGTCCTTAAGTACCCTAACTACTGGGCAGTTTGGCAAGGATTATGGGACGAGTGCCAATTTCTATCATCACTGCTGCCTCTAATGAAAGCTGTCACGCAAAAGTGCATGCTGTCTCTCTCTTACTTCTTTTTCGCATATGTGATGCAGTTCACCATTTCAAATTGAATTATATGCCAGTTCTGACAGTTATCTTTCATAGAGACAGATACAGAAGTTATAAGCCGAACAATGGTATGGTAACTTCCTTCTCCACTCACCACTTACCGAAAGATCCACAAATCCTTTTCACTTTCGATATGTCATGTATACTTCCTGTATTATTCATGTTATTTATTTATAAAAGCATTTCTAAAGGATCCTGCAATATTCCACCAAGTATTAATAATATTGATAAAAGTAATGATGGTAATTATGTTTCAGCATGTTCAGTTCGAATTTTGAAAAATATGTCTATGAATTCACTGTAAATTATGTCAAAGAATTGTCGGTGTCTACAAATTCACTGCATCCTTTTTTATGATCTAATCATGCTGATAATAATCATGGACAGTTTTGCTGTTATTAATTTTGTTATTTAACAATAATTTGACTGGCCTACTACTCATGCTACGGAAGCTGATTGTGTATGTGCAGATTATGTATTGTCTCCCCAAATTATGTACCATAATCACTCCGTGCCAAAATGACTACACTTAGTTTCAACAACAAAGGCAAATTACCCACTGATGTAGTGGAATAGTCTAGGAGTAGGGATTAAGAGCAAATAGATGCATTAGTGAAGGACAAACTAACTCTATTTCTGAAAGATGGTCAGCTGAGCGAACATATCTAAACAGAGCAGCCAAAGAAATTCCTTCAATTTCTAAAAAATCAAATCATATTATCTACGAAAATACAGATCTTATCAATACATAAAGTTAAAACAGAAGTCTTATCGATACTAGACATCCGAATAGATATATGTACCCTCCTCACACCTGCTTGTCGTAAGAGGCATCTAACAGGATAGGGTGGTCAGACTCGCTGACTTGGTTGATGCATGTCCTCGTATCCCAGTTGCGTGGATCGATGCTCATGATATCAATCACCAGATTGTCTGTTCCAGACTCGATTATTTACAGACCGCCGTCATATATGGCTTGAATATTGCTGAGTGTAGCGTTAAACAAACAAACACAAGTAGATGCAGGCCAGCCCAAATTGCTGAAAGGCAGAAGCTGACCTCTTGAAGCTCTCAATACTACAGTTGAACCCATTCAGCAGCGTGTGTTGCTGGCTGTGCCACTGCTCTCAAATATAATAGACATGTGAATAGCATAAGGACAGCCTTAAGAAAAACTTACAATAACTGTCTACCAAGTAGGCTTTAGATACCATTTGAACATGTTGAATCAGGTATGGCATGCGGTCATATTTTCTTCATAATGTTTTCATTTTTTTCTTCATTTGATTATAATTTTTTATTTGTTGATGAAAAGGAAACACTCAAGATCCATTCTAAAAATTAGCAACTTTCACGTTAATAATTATAAACAAAAACAATCTTGATCGTTACATCATCGATTGTAGGAAAACAGACACGTCATATAGCTGGAATATTGCTGAGTGCAGCGTTAAACAACAAACAAAACAAACTGAAATTAATCTCACATTTATCGAGTTTGTAAATTATTTTGAATTTTAGATTTACGATCGTGTCGTTGTTTGCCAAAAAATTCAACTCAGTAAATTTAAGATATCACCTGACTCTATTTTAATCATTCAGTATTTTTATATTTGTTTGTTGAAAGACAAGTCCACTTTAGGATAAAGGGAAAAGGCAGGGAATTAGCTGCAACTCGATCATAAACTTTGTTGTTTTAGACGATGTAGACAGTAGTTATATTAGACCACCTCCGTAGTCTTGTTGTAGAGCATCACCCGGAGAGCGGAAGGTCCCGGGTTCGATCCACGGCCATGTCATACCAAAAGACATTAAAAGATAGTACTTGTTGCCAGGCGCTCGGCACTAAGGTGCTAAAACAAGGACTAGTCGACTTGGAGTCAGTATACTGTGTCTGAGTGGGGTATTCATGTTAAAACTAAGGCATGGTATCTCAGTGGGCTAGCACTATAAAATCGACACCAGTCTTGACTAGTACAAGAAGCCACACACTCAGACGCAACGTTAAACACCATTTCATCTCACCAGTAGTTATTTTGCCATGTAGTTATTTTGGGAGGATACAGATAACCTCAGTTCTACACAGAATGCTTTTGTCATCGTGGTCATATGTTGGAATCTAACAATGGATGCAGTGAAGACCATCTTCCTGAGTCAAGGGAGTTAACTGACTAAAAAGTCCAGTTTCCACCCTTGCTGAACTGGACTGGTATTATAGAGTTACATTTTGGCTGGACTAATGAGTCTAGTCCAATCAAAATTGCGCAACGAAATTGAAATCAGGAAACTGTCATGCAGATTTCGGGGATTGCATGATTTACAAAGCATATTTTCCAAATCTGTTCATGTTTTTATGGTGCTCACGAGATTTGATGCACTTCGCGATGTAAGACCCGTTTTATCACAATATTGATCTTGATTATCGATCAGATCGTCTTGACTGGGCGGCGTCTTTTTGTATAATTTAGTATAAATCGAATGTTGTGACTTCATGTTGATGGTAAATAAATGCATGTTAAATAGTTGTTTGTTGTCTATTGATACACACATACATGCATACAGTTTTCGCTACCTTTTATGCCAGTTTGGTGAGGTTTTGATGGTTAGTTCTGGTGCTGTTTTGTCCTGATCCTGAGCAAATTGCTGTCATTTAGTACAATCAACAGGAACAACAACAGGAAACTCATAGCTGATGGTATCCTTGTACAGGACAAGTAGATATTTCCTCTCATGACAGTCTGTAACTTTAGCCACTGGCACTTGCCCGAAGCCGGAGTCTAGTACAATGTTTCTTTGGCCTTGAAAGTTAAGCTAATAAGTCCTTATATTGTCACTAAGAAGTAAAATAATCTCAAAATGATTCCAAGTGACAAGTTGGAGGTTTTAGTTTCAAAGGTTATTGACACAGTCTGTCTTAAACTAAGTTAAAGTGAAGTTAATCAGTAGTCGACTTGTATTAGCTGTGACAACCGTGCAGTGTTTGATATTGATGCTGACAGGTTTGATATCGTCTTGTCGCTACACAGAGCTACGGGCTGTTCTGTTGTGTTTTCCTGATAGATCCTGGTCCACTAAGTATGTTTCAGCAAAGTGCTTGTGTCGTGATCTAACATGTCTAACGGCAAATACAACATGATTTACTTCCTAAGACAATATCCTTCAAATATAAGTATATTAGGGCTTGGACGGGTAACTCGGGTACTCAGGTCGGGTGGGTACTGAGCAGGACCCGGGTACTCACAGGACTGCCCAGACCCATGGTTAGTCACGTGATAAATTGTTTAATGACGAAACTTATTTAAAACTCTATGGGCACACTACAAGTCACTAATGTTCCCATTTCTTTCTGACTATGCACGCATTCCTTCTGACTTTTATATGTTTGAAAAAAAGATAAAACTTCATGCAGTAAACTTCAGTGTATGCATGACCAGATCGTTTTATACGTGTATCTAAATACATTTTGCCAGGGCTATGGTCAAACTTTTCTCAAACCGACAGTTTGTACCTATCTTTTGAGACCTATAGCGGGTTCCTGGGTAGGCTTGGGTAATAGCGGGGTGGGTACCCGGGTAGTAAATATTGACTTGTCCCAGCCCGGGTTTGATTAATCAAATCAATTTTAGATTATTAGCTAACTTGACCCCATTGATAATGTCATTTTGGGCCATTTCTTAGCCCTTTGTGCATGTATCATTATAACATTTTATTTGTGACTTTCAAAATGATGCGTTATACATATTTTTGCATATTTTGATTTTTCCGCCATGACCATCATGTTTTTTTTGTAATATAATTTATCTAGGGTTAGTATTACATGTTCTTCTATTCCAGCAATGTTCCCTCATAAATATTCTGACAGAATTCTGATTGGGCATCAAACAATGCATAGTCATAATGATACTGTTAATTTCTCCTCTTGCCTTGATTGCTCAGCCCATTCTGCATATATCATATTGACATTTGAGATACAGTAATTATTAGGGCTGTTACAATTCACTCACGTATTCGGTGAATCGAACCGTATCCATTCAAGAATTGAATTCGTTATTCGTGGCCACTAGAATCTAATATTTATGAGTATGCAATTATGTGCATTTACATACCCTGTACCTAAAAATATCCATACGAACATGTTATATGCATAGATGTCTTCCAAAGACAACACTCTCATAATATTTAATTTGACAGTATTGTGGTCACTGGTCATTGTCGCATTTGTGCAGGTACTAGTTCCTGGATAAGTGCAGTATATAAATGTATAATATATTAATAATCAACAAACCATGTCTAATAATTGATGTTGTTATTGTTTCACTGAATATAACGAATAATACATCAACTGCTGACTTGTTATTGTATTACTGAATTGCCATTCGTATTCGTTACCCTATATTCGTGATAAGAATCGTATACGTCTCATAGTGTATATGTTGCCGCCCTAGTAATTATGATGTATGACAATGACAGTGTTCGAAATAAGTGTTTGTCCGTAGGCCCATGGCATGTAGATCTCGTTTTGGGCCTGTAGTTTCACAGTTGTATGGGTCCTGAAACATGTTAAACATGCTAAAGCCTGCAGTAAATTTTCATGGTTGATTGTTTTTTAAATGAGGACCTGAAGAGTTTAATCAGTGCCTGCAGCTTCTGTGTGTCCTGATGTCAGCCTGGCTTTTTGTTAATTTCAAACACTGCAATGACACATTATTTGTTTTGTATTGTCACAACTTCAACATTTGACTATTGGGTACAGCTGTGACTGCCAAACGTGCTGAACCAGTCTTCTAGATTTTCATTAGCAGACTAATGGCCACACAACAAATGTCTAGAGCACTGCAGGAGTGGAATAGGATTTTATATATTGGAATATATTGCAATTCAATATTCCAGGCAATAAACGTCCTTGTACAATTAGAATACATTTCACCATGTTGACAGTTTTCATTATGATCTAACAGCTGACTTTGATGTACAGTGTGAAAGTGATGTGAAAATTCCACATGTTGGTTATTAGTGATGGGTATTGCAACTGCAATTTATTGCAATAGTGATTCATGCATTGCAATAAGTACCACACTATATTAAATGCGTACTTTCATCTGTAATTTGTAATGAAATTTGTTGGATGTTGCTATGGTCACAATACATGCATAATAGACATGTTATATACAGGAACTGGTCGTAAATTGTTCGCTTTTTCGATCGCAGGAAAATGTTGCGAATTTCTTAATTTCAATTTTAGTTTTTTAAATTTTCAAATAGGAAGATGAAAGGTATGATTTTGAAAAACGCAATATATTTGCCATTCTTATTGTAGTAAGTATTCATTAGTATTTGATATCCTGGTATATCAGAATACCAGTATTATTGCTCCCCTCTATTGGTTATCTCTGCAAGTTTGGTCGGGAAATGCTTGCAGCCTTGTTCCTCTTACATCATGGCAAGGTGAATGAAAACTGGCTTACAAAATTTTGTCATGTTCATGATATTTGCTAACCAATATTCATATTGGAATAAAAACATGATTTTGTCCACAGTTAGGAAATCTTTGAACATTTCATTTATCAAATCATGAAAGTTCAGATTTGTTTAACATGGTATAAAATGAAATAATATGAACTAGATAGTTAGGCCTGTTTCTATATCATTCATGCCTAATGCCCGGTAATCATGGTAATGGCCCTTTTATCAGTGTAATACAAGTCACCTTTTCAGAACTGAAACATTAGTTTTAATTCTCCAAATTCAGAAATTTTGAATTTGAATTTGAAAATCAAATGGTTGCTCCCTTCACAAATCTGATTCAAACATTCTCTAAAGCCATGTTAGGAATTATTAAGTGGAATGTCAATTTGACATGGCCTTGTGCCCATATAAAGTCCTAGACATTGTTATTAGTGAAAAGGCATGTGAAAAACAGGGACTGTGTAATTAGGATTTGACTAAAATATGAGCAAAGAGACAAAGAAGTGTTGTTTGAGCAACTTATATTGAAATGGCCGAAGCAGCTCCCATTCTTCATTTGAATATATAATCATGTTAACAGCAGTTGGGGTTAATTTGTAGAACAGATATATAACACAGTGTGACAATTCGGATTTTCTCATCTGAGAGGCTGTATTTTTATGATGGCCTTAAGTATATAAGGTTGCCGTCAGCTTCATCCTACTGTCTATAATAATGTAGGGTATATTTGTTGCACTAATGAAGATCCAGGTAAGAACAGGTCTTCAGCAACCCATGCTTGCCGTAAAAGGCAACTATGCTTGTCGTAATAATAACTACAGATTTATATAGCGCTGGTTTCCAGTTCGAAGAACTGCTCAAAAGCGCTTCATTTGAGTCTGCACAAAAAAGACACATTACACAGCTAGGAAAACACAAAGCCTCAATACTCCAAGAAAGATTTGGTGAAAAGATAGGTTTTGAGTCTTGATCGGAACAAAGTAGGACTGTCAATGTTCCTGATATCCAATTGCAGCCTATTCCATAGCTCAGGGGCAACTTTGGCAAAACTCCGACCTCCAAAAGTCACCGTTCTAACACTAGGCACAGAGAGTAGGGACTGGCAGCTGTAGTTATTATTATTATTATTATTATTATTAAAAGGTAAGAGGCGACTAGCAGGATCGGGTGGTCAGGCTCGCTGACTTGGTTGATGCATGACATCATATCCTAATTGTGTGGCTTGATGCTCATAATATCAATTATTGGATTGTCTGGTCCAGACTCAGTTATTTACAGACCGGTGTCATATAGCTGGAATATTGCTGCATGCAGTGTTAAACAAAAACAACATTGTTGCACTTATAATGATATAAGTAAATATTTATCTGTACATGTTTTTTGTGAAAATATCCAATTAATGGTAAGTCCCGAAAGGATGTGTAAGATTGCATGGCAGTAGATGAGTAAGCTAAGAAGTTACTACACATGCTTCAGGTGCAAGTGATGATGCAGTCAGCTGTACACTGATGCTGGAGATCCTCAGGGCCTTGTCGCAGAGGAGAACACCACTCATGCATAACATCATCTTCCTCTTCAATGGTGCTGAAGAAAACATCCTACAGGTACACTGGAAATTTGTCTCCTTCCTTTTTTGTTTTATTCATGTTTTGTTTCAGTCTGCATGCGTGATTGTTGACATGATGCTATTGATACCCCTCTTCTAAGTGTTGGTTGATGAAGCTGAAAACTAAAGCATCAAACTGGGCCACTGAACACAATAAACAAGGTGTAAATGTTTTATTTATTAAAGTCACTTCCTGAATTAACATGCCTGAACATGGCCAAAAGGAAAAGCCCCTTTGATCGTGTGCATTCTGCATTGGAATTATTGCCAATCGCATGACTTCTCAATACTCTTTAGACAATGTTATAAAAATTCAATATGCCCCACCAACAGTGTACAACTCTATTAATGTCCTGAATGCCCCTCTGTCTTTGTGTATCCTCCAGTAAAGTGTATAACTGACCCTCTCACCCTGTACGTTCGTGAGTATCTGTTGGGCTTGTTCAGTCACACATGACCCAGCCATTGTGGTGGAATCATTGTAACCATGGTAACAGTACCATGGATTACAAGTATTGTTGTATGTTTGTTTCTGAAAATGAGTATCAAGGACTCAATTGACATGGAGTGACAATGGTGGAGTCATCTGTTAAATAAACACTTTTATGCACGATTGTTTAACATGTATTAAACATATTGGCAGAATTTCATTTTTAAGTTTAGATGAAACTGTACATTCAACATGCTCTGTGTGGTACATTCGCTTTGACATGACTGTTATGATCAGGGCAGTACCTGTTGAAGCATGTTAACAAACCATTAAGGCAGGAACATGCTCAGACTGCAACAACCATTCAGGTATGACCGTTATTTAACATGCTTAAGCCATTCAGTGTGCTGAAGATAATGGCCCACTGATACTGTGAGGATCTGCATTATGTATCATGTGCTTGAAAGCTCTTTAACCAAAAACACACATTTATGACGTAAGGGCAGTTAGTGTTCCTTTGTAGTCCATCCAGTTCATACAGAGTTATGTTTGTTTACGCTTCCCAGTACAGGGTCCTGTTTTGTTTTGTTTTTAATTCAGTGTAACCTTAGGCTTCGAGGATGTTATACCCTTCTACCTTGGCCACTTATTCTTTCCACTCTTGGTTCTCGGGGGGTGATGTAGCTATTTATTCATAAGCCATGTACTGTTGATCCATTCCATTTATTTAGGTATAAGAACGCTTTATTATTGTGGTCCTCAGGAAGGGAGAGGGAGTGCGTGAGAGAGACACAGCCTTATATCAATATTAACAAATCAGAGAGAGAGAGAGACTTTGTTTGTGAGTGTCCCTTAGTCTTATTTCAATATTAAAAGTCTCCACATACAGTTTGTACTAAACGTAATGAAACTCGACATTCCTTCCCAAGACAACTCAACCTATCCTACGTTCATTGATTACCAAACTCATCCTCCCTAATGCGACCCACTGTCTGACCTGAAGTTCATCAGTCAATCAATAAATAGAAAGAAAAATATGTATTATGACATCCTCGTGTAACCATGTCGAAGTTAATTATCAACATTCCGACCATAAACTGTATCTCCCTATGGTTTTTCGGACCATACAATTATTCCCATCCCTTACTCTCACTGGTCTTTGACTCATCAAGTTGCAATCAGCCTTCCTATTTTAATTAATATTTTGATATCTGGCACACAATATGACCACAAGAAGTTAACTATTACCATGCTTATGCGACCCGTGAAGATTCCGGGGTAGAATAGGTCTTCAGCAACCCATGCTTGCCGTAAAAGGCGACTATGCTTGTCATAAAAGGCGACTAGTGGGATTGGGTGGTCAGGCTCGCTGACTTGGTTGATGCATGTCATCTTATCCTAATTGTGTGGATCGATGCTCATGTTATTAATCACTTGATTGTCTGGTCCAGACTCGATTATTTACAAACCGCTGTCATATAGCTGGAATATTGCTGAGTGCGGAGTTAAACAACAAACCAACCAACCAACCATGCTTACACAATTCCTTCTATGCTCAGTCAACCCTAGTATAGACATGTTTTGAGTGTATAGTTGTCCTTGTGATTAGGAACAACTACAAATTTGCTGATGCTGCATAAAACAATATTCACTCACCCACTAGCTGCATCTTCATTGGTCAGGCCCGAATCCACAGATCAAGTGTTCGAATCTCAGATTCATCCTGATTGTGATCCGTGGTCAGGTAGCACCATAGCCACACTCATGGGTTTCATCAAAGTAGTAAACATGTCTGCATCAGTTTTGGTTTTTTTCCTCATTGCGGCTGTGATATTACCATAATAACTCACCCGTGAAGATTCGGGGTAGAATAGGTCTTCAGCAACCCATGCTTGCCGTAAAAGGAGACTACACTTGTCGTAAGCGGCTACTAACAGGATCTGTTTGTCAGGCTCGGTGACTTGGTTAATGCATGTCATTGAACCCAATTGCGTGGATCGATGCTCATGATATTAATCACTGGATTGTCTGGTCCAGACTCGATTATTTACAGACCGCCGTCATATAGCTGGAATATAACTGAGTGCAGTGTTAAACAGAAAGACAGATAGACAGACAAATCATAATAACAGGATCCCTGTCCATATCAGCACAACGTCCTTTACTTACAGTCCAAGCTTTGTTTTCAGGCAAGTCATGGATTCATCACCCAACACAGATGGGCAGACAAAATCCGAGCATTTGTCAATCTGGACTCGGCAGGAGCTGGTGGCTGGGAGCTGGTCTTCCAAACAGGTAGCCATCGACTCAGATAGGCACATTATATCTCTTTTACATGGTAGAGTCCCAGTCACATACAATTTTGGAATTAAAAAAATCTAAATAATTTTTTCCTGTACAAACTTGGAATATTCTCATTATTGAATATTTTAAAAAAAATATGAAGGTTCTTTTAGCTCTATATGCACATTTGTAGCTGACTGATATTCAGTCTGACCACAGCTAACTAGTTACAGACATGTGTTTCTTAGCTTGGCCACTGCTAATTGCCAGTGTTGGCAGGGTTGGGTTTTGTCAGTTGTTTGTCCTCCGGGGGTATCAGATAATTGTTAAAGTCCCTTGTCTGATAACAACTATGCAAGTCACAAGAGGAGATTAACGGGATCGGGTGGTCAGACTCGCTGACTTGGTTGATGCATGTCATCGTATCCCAACATGCTCATGATGTCAATCATTGGACTGTCTGGTCAGGACTTGCTTATTTTTAGACCATCATCGTTTAGCTTGAATATTGCTGCATGCGGAGTTAAACAACAACAACAAAAATGGCAGTTAACTTATCTGAGAGAGGGTTTTGATATTTTGGTGCCCTCCCTTTTAGAAATGCTGGATCCACCCTAGATTAGAAGCCCCACAACTTCAATACTGGTGCTCTGACCTTCCATTTATAGGAAAAAGGTCATAGAATTGCTGCTGCTTAAAATGAGACGCAAGTTTTCAACTCGTTAATAAACATAATGGATGCTATCAGACTCGGAACCATGCTGTAATACACCTGTTGATACCCGGGAAGCCTACTCTCGCTGATACCTCAGGTGCCTAAATCCATAGGAACCCTACACCTGCTGATTTCCAGGAACCCTACACCCACCGATACCTAGGAACCTTAAACCCACTGATACCCGGGCCTCACACCTGCTGATTTCCAGGAAACCTACACCCACCGATACCCTTGAACCCTACACCCACCCATACCCGGGAACCCTACACCTGCTGATTTCCAGGAACCCTACACCCACCGATACCCTTGAACCCTACACCCACCAATACCCAGGAACCCTACACCCACCAATACCCAGGAACCCTACACCCACCAATACCCAGGAACCCTACACCCACCCATACCCAGGAACCCTACACCCACCCATACCCAGGAACCCTACACCTGCTGATTTCCAAGAACCCTACACCCATCGATACCCAGGAACCCTACAACTACCGATACCCAGAAACCCTACACCTGCTGATTTCCAGGAACCCTACACCCACCGATACCCAGGAACCTTAAACCCACTAATACCCAGGATCCCTACACCCACCGATACCCAGGAACCCTACACCTGCTGATTTCCAGGAACCCTACATCCACTGATACCCAGGAACCCTACGCCCACCAATACCCAGGAACCCTACACCCACCAATACCCAGGAACCCTACACCCACCAATACCCAGGAACCCTACGCCCACCAATACCCCGGAACCCTACACCCACCGATACCCTTCAACCCTACATGCACTGATACCCGGGAACCCTACACCCACCGATACCCAGGAACCCTACACCCACCGATACCCTTCAACCCTACATGCACTGATACCCAGGAACCCTACGCCCTCCAATACCCAGGAACCCTACATCCACTAATACCCAGGAACCTTAAACCCACTGATACCCAGGAACCCTACACCCACCGATACCCAGGAACCCTACACCTGCTGATTTCCAGGAACCCTACATCCACTGATACCTAGGAACCCTACGCCCACCAATACCCAGGAACCCTACACCCACCAATACCCAGGAACCCTACACCCACCAATACCCAGGAACCCTACACCCACCGACACCCTTCAACCCTACATGCACTGATACCCGGGAACCCTACACCCACCGATACCCAGGAACCCTACACCCACCGATACCCTTCAACCCTACATGCACTGATATCCAGGAACCCTACGGACACCAATACCCAGGAACCCTACATCCACTGATACCCAGGAACCCTACGCCCACCAATACCCAGGAACCCTACACCTACCAATACCCAGGAACCCTACACCCACCGATACCCTTCAACCCTACATGCACTGATACCCGGGAACCCTACACCTGCTGATTTCCAGGAACCCTACACCTACCAATATCCAGGAACCCTACACCCACCCATACCCAGGAACCCTACACCTGCTGATTTCCAGGAACCCTACACCTACCAATATCCAGGAACCCTACACCTATCAATACTCGGTAGATAGGGAGTCAAAAACAACCCACACCTGTCACCACGGGCCGTCTGACCAGCATCAGTTAACAAAACCTGTATGTTCAAAACTCTGTGAGCTAACTTGTTTCTGGACACCCTGTGATGTTGTCAGACTGGGGACCCTACACCTGCCTGTACCAGGTTGACAGGATCCGATGACAAATCATCAGCATCAACACGGGCAGTCTGACCCTCCGTCAATTATCACTGGCTCAGCTAACAATTGCAGCAGCAAGAGCGTAACAAATTAGTGTTGATCTGACTATCTATTACCACACAAAGCACACAGGCTTGTCCTAAGAGAGACAGTCAGTCATACAGACCCAGAAACAGCTGTATCCAATACCGCCTATGCAAATCTGTAATAGTCTAGATTACTGCATTTCTCAAAATGAAGAGTCCATGGGCTCCTTTTTCTTATATTTTATTAAGATAACTTAACAACTGTTTTTCTGTAAAATATTTCATTTCTGAGATGAGATGCTAGTGTAAAGAGTACAGCTCAGAGATATGATATATCCCCTTTCGATCCCCCTCCCTCCCCATCCCCATCCAGAATTGTCTGTAGCAGTCCCTGTACCTCATGCCTACTACTATCAAGGCAGTAACAATGTGTGGCCTGGTTGAAACAATGCTTGTGTCATCATAAACTCAAGGCCTGGATCACTGCTCATGATGCTGGTTTGCCTGGCCGTGGAGCAAATTTAACAGGCTGCCATGATATGTGGGTAGTGAGTGAGTGAGTGAGCGTGTCAGCTTAATGTGGGAGGAAAGCCCGAAGTGATGCAGGTCTCAGACGTTTACCACTTCGGTGAAACCCAAGAGCACGGGTATGGTGCTGACAAACCTAGAAACATAATTTGGGAGAACCGGTATTCGAACCCACAATCATAGGTTTCTGGGGTGCCCAAGGGACGCAACTCTGCACAGCGAATCTCGGCACCTTACACGACTGGGCATCAGCCCTACGGTTTTATCCCAAGGATGAAGGTTATAGATCTGATAAAAACCTGAGGGGAAGTGTTTTATCTAACTTATAAACCAAAAAGAGAAACTTAAAACATACTTTCCATGAACCGAAGGAAACAGGCATAAAATATCTGTTGCTGGGGTACAGTACTTGAAAAAGACATTCTTAAAAGCATTGTGATTTATCGTCACCTCTGAAGCCTAGTATTACACACACTGGGCTACAGATACGAAGGTTGTGTGTTCGATCTGCAGAAATTTAAAGAAAACATTTGTAATTATGATTTTACATTTCATTACATTGTGTTAAAATGCAAAATAAATTTCTAGCGAGAAACATTCATAATATAACAATATGAACAGAAGTTGTATTTATAAAATCCTGGGGATATTACAACATCCCAGTTTATGAGATTTAACCCGACTGGAGAACGAGAGGATGACATCACTTGCGGTTCAAATGTTGACTGACGAATAAAAATCACCCTCACTCCAAGTGTATTACCCTATATTGTGCTCCTGTTTCATTTAAGGAAATTGATCAGAATCAATTAGTTTTTAAATTACCATCACTTGGTGTCCAGCTCTTGTGTCTGTGTAACCATGGTTACCCTGCTGCAGGTCCAGAGCATCCGTGGCTGGTGAGAGCATACGCCGACTCGGCCAAGTACCCCTGTGGGTCAGCAGTTTGTCAGGAGATCTTCCAGAGCGGACTCGTCCCGTCGGACACTGACTTCCGAGTGTTTCGGGATTACGGCAACCTCCCAGGTGAGTGGGCGGCAACCATGGCTGCAGTTGGATAGTAATGTCCAAACTCTACAGAAGACTGAATTTTAAACCAATTTATTTAGTACGTTTTACATTACTCCTTCACATTAAATGCTTATGTAAATAAAATTATATGAGAATTTACAGATTTTTGCAAATTGTGCACACTGGTTTTTCCATTTTTGTTCTATAAATGCAGACAAATAGTGAAGTCAATTCCTATAGATAGATTACGGCTGGGACGAGTCCAAATTTACTACCTCACCCCCCTATTACCAGACCCTACCCAGGTACCCGCTGTAGGTCGCAAGAGGTAGGTACAAACTGTCCGATTGGGAAAAGTTTGACCGTAGCTCTGGTAGAATGTGTTTAGATACACGTATAAAATGATCTGGTGTATACACTGAAGTTGACTGAAGTTTTATTTTTATTCAAACATATGAAAGTCAGAAGGAATGGGCGTAGAAGTCAGGAAGAACTGCGAACATCAGTGACATGCAGTTTAAACATAGAGTTTTAGATACTTTTTGTCATTAAACAATATATCACGTGACTAACCACAGGCCCGGGTAGTCCTGTGGGTACCCGGGTCCTCCTCAGTACCCACCCGACCCGAGTACCAGAGTTACCCGTCCCAGCCCTAAAATAGATACACATCAACAATAATAACTTCACTGACTGCTTTTTTGATCACCTACACAGAAAAAATCTGTAAACGACAATACTTAATCAGTGACATTATTCAGCTCAGTAATGCAACACAAGCCCCGCCCATTCTATTGTCAGCCAATCAGGAAACAATAATCCATTAGTGCATGTAGTGGGTGTGGCCTAATTCTTTCTTTCGGTTTATGAAAACATAGATGCAACAGAATTTGCTTTCTTAGCCAAATCATTGAATAACTTACAATTTTTATATTTTTTATATTTTCTGATAATTTTAATAGAAATAGACATATATTCGAAACACTATTTATTGTATTATGCAAGTCTTGTCATCTTCAAAAAAAATGTTTAAGAAATTGTCTCACCAATGTATCTTTAGAAACTGAAAATGGAGGTCGTACCAAACACACAATTGTTATAAGTTGAAAGTGTTATTCTCATCCACATGTACATATATGTACTGTATGTAACTTGGATAATGATTTGTAAGGTTTTCCTCATTTTTTGAATGATTCATAACCTGTAGGCCAAAATGTGCCCATATCATGCCTTGACCTACAGATTTTATTAGACTGTTTTCCTGTGAGCAGCTTTAAATGATTTCTGTGGCTATAGTGGATCAAATTTTGTATTGTCTTTTGTATGTTGATGTCTGTTGGTTTATAGCCACAGGAATCGGAAATAATTTGAGGTTTGCCATGTCTGTTGAAATTTCAAACAAGTGTAAGTCTAGTTAAGATTAACCCAACCAAATGATTTACATCTTCATGATATTGTATCATAGTACTCTTTCAAGTATGATTGTGTAATTTGATACTACATTGAAAACAAAACCGACCCGTGAAGATCCTAGTAGCATAAGTCTTCACATCCCATGCTTCCCGTAAAAGGCGACTATGCTTGTTGTAACTAACGGGATCTGGTGGTCAGGCTCGCTGACTTGGTTGATGCATGTTATTGATCCCAATTGCGTGGATCGATGCTCATGATATCAATCACTGGATTGTCTGGTCCAGACTCGATTATTTACAGACCGCCATCATATAGCTGGAATATTGCTGTGTGCGGCTTTAAAAAACAAACAAACAAACAAACAAACAAACGAAATCAAAACCATCTTTCCTGATAAACAGTCACAAATTCAAGTCAACATGGTCAAGTGTTCATGTTATGTTAGGACAACACCAATACATTATCAGTCTTTATTATGGACTTGATATCTTAAAGTAAGATTGTTTATCTGTATGAATGTGTAAACCATCTATCTACTTAATAGGATTGTTTCATCTGTATTGAGGAATGTATCGAGACCTTATCAGAGGGTGATTTTCAGCCCCGAGTCCGAAGCAAATGTCACTGAATATTCCCAAATTAGATGTCCCTGGTTATGCTGTTATAGTTACAACTAATGTTATGGCTTAGTAGAGGTGACTTGCATATCACTGACTACAGGACCACTACAGAGAAAGAGGTTTTAAGACTTAGTTTTATGGGATTGAACATGTTGAATGCAATGTTAAAATTCTAAAATTCCTCTAAATTTAGGTAAATAAGAACATTAAATAAATGACAAATGTTATACATGTATTATGGATAACACTTTCTGAGTGAAGTACAGATTCTAGGGAGAGGGGGTTGAGTCCTTTCCGACCTGAGATTCGAACCCACACCGCCAGAGTGAGGCACCTAACCGCCAGTACACCAAGTCAGCGATCTAACCCACTCAGCCACCGAGGCTTCCACAAAATCTGTACTTTACTAGGAAAGTGTTATCCCAAATATAACATTTATTACGTTTGACCACTTTCTAAATGGCATTGTGTGAACAAAATACCAATGTTTCCCAATTTGCCTGCCAAGGGGACTTTGGAATCCCGGAAAATGCCTGCTACTACATGTAGTGCACTAGGTTAGCTAACCTGGATTATTCTCTTTCCTCAAAATGAGGGGGGCACAGGTGGCCCAGTCGTCTAAGGCGCCGCGATTCGCTGTGCAGAGTTGCGTCCCTTGGGCACTCCAGAAACCTATGATTGTGGTTTCGAATCCCAGTTCGCCCCGATTATGTTTCTAGGTTTGTCAGCACCATACCCGTGCTCGTGGGTTTCACCGAAGTGGTAAACGTCTGGGACCTGCATCACTTCAGGCTTTCCTCCCACATTAAGCTGACACGCCGTGATATAACTGGAATACTGTTAAAAGTGGCGTTAAACCCAACTCACTCACTCACTCCTCAAAATGAGTATCGCCACTACCAGGTAAGCATTGAGGCCAGGTACTGTATGTAATAAAGTATTAGTTATACATGCCACTAAGTTTATCAGGTAATGCTGTTATAACTTGTTTTTCCCTCAACCATTGTTTGTTGTTTGCCAGGCCTTGATATTGCCCATGTGAAGAATGGCTATGTGTACCACACCAAGTATGACCGGCCCGACATGGTGCAGCCGGGGTGCCTGCAGAGAGGAGGTAATATCAGCAGCAGCAGCATTCAGGGCATCATTCAGCTCAAAACTGATGGGAAATTGGGTTTAAAGCCTTTCAAAGATTATTGCATTTATATAGCCACCATTCATCTCAAAAGTGGGGTTTGGGACCGGTCATTTTTTACAGGTTGTTAGAGGTTTTTGATTGCTCTTATGTACTGAAAATAAATTAGCCTTCTACTACTTGTCAATTTTTTTATGACCCTCCCTGAAAAGACAAATTACAAAAGCACTATTAATTTAATATGAAATGTCCGTTTTGTGAAGACAACCCCCCCGATTCTCCTGAAAGTCTGCTTCAGGTCAACTATTGTAAAAGTTGTTTGAGGGATTTTATGATTTTTAAATGTGTCCTTATGCCAGGCGTTTTATATTTTTCGGATTACGGACCTGCCGAATGTATAAATCAGACTTCCATTTTTTTCCCCACCGATAGCCGCGTAGTCATTTATTTTATTGGTTATCATCACCTTTTAGTAAAAAACATATGAATTTACCGTTTTCAACTTGTAAAGAGATACATAATTGATCTTTGTTGATCTCGAAGCCGAACATGAATAGCCTCACTTGACAATTGTCCATGTTGTAAGTGGTAGAATTTTTATTGTTACAAGGGTCTTTATCATCACAAATGGCAGTCTTTTGACCACAGAATATGTTCATAAAGTATGCCAGAGGCATTCAGCATTACAAAAAATGCATCTGGCTTTTTTTTCCCCCTCCTCCAACCCCAGACTTTGGGCTAAAAAATCCGTAATCCTAAAAATAAAAAAAGCCTGACCCTACATGTTATAAGTATTCGGCAAGTCAATGTTTGGGGTTCACGTGAGTCTCTTTCCAGGGGAGAATCTGCAAGCACTTTTGGTAACCTTGGCAACGAGTAAACAAGTGATTGACCCTGGTGAAGATAAACATGGGAACATGGTCTTCTTCGACTTCATTGGCTACTTCATGATATCCTATCCTCAGCGAGTCGGCGTTCTCATCAACTGGAGCATCGTTGCAGTTGTCCTTCTCTCAATTTTCAGAAAAATCACTGCAGACTCTGACAGTAAGGCTTCAGTACAAAGAGGACTGTGGTCTGTTTTTAGCAGATCTATAAATGGATTAAACTGATTTGGGTATATCATGTAAATTTGATATTAAATGAATGCGGCTATGGGTATATTTGGTATAATCAATGTGTACCTAACAATCCAGATTCGTTTTTAGTATCTATACGCCAAAGACTTGAGGATATCTACTTACAAAAAAATGGTCGGCACCTCGAAAACTTTAACATTGGGTATTCCGAACGATAGTTACATGTTTAACGACTGAATCCTTACAATCTAGACCATCTATTAGCCATTCCAGAATGTTTTTTTGTTCAGGTTTCAAATTTGCAATCGAGAATTTGTCAAAATATGTTTCGAAGCGTAGTTGCCAATTTGAAATTAGTGCCGTATAGCACGAGAAAGCTGCCTTCTGATTGGTCATTCCATTGGTCGGTCAAAGTTAGCGCAAGGTCGGTCTGACATGACCTGTAATGGGATGTCCTCAGATCTTTGTTTAGCGGTAACGAGAACTAAGATCTGATTTTAAAGAGATTGCTCTCTCTTTGATCCTACAACACAGAACCCAATTTTATTTTATTTCATTTCTTGATATGTTATTACTGCATTTTCTATTCAATGTACGTAAAGTATGTCCAAGTAGAAATCAGATTTCATTTATTTTTCATTGAGTGGCACTGGGTCCCCTCTCCATCATGTCCGGGGTAGAATAGGTCTTCAACAACCCATGTTTGCCGTAAAAGGCGACTACTTGTATACTTGTCCTAAGAGGCGGCTAACGGGATCGGGTGGTCAGGCTCGCTGACTTGGTTGATGCATGTCATTGAACCCAATTGCAAGGATCGATGCTCATGATATTAATCACTGGATTGTCTGGTCCAGACTCGATTATTTACAGACCACCGTCATATAGCTGGAATATTGCTGTGTGCGGCTTTAAACAACAAACCAACCAACCAACCAACCAACTCCATCATGTCTGCAATTGTTTGAGGAGGTTTACTGGTCGATTTCAGGTCCTGGAATTGTGACCTATGCTGTTCAAATCAGTGGTGCAGTAATAAGTATAATGTTGACGTGGGTTGCTGTGGTTACAAGTGCTGTGACGGTGGCGCTGCTGCTGAACATGGTTGGCCATGAGATGTCCTGGTACTCCAACATCCATAATATCAGCTGGCTCTTCATCTTGCCGGGAGTGACGTGTGGCCTTGGGGTCAACCTCTTCCTCAAGGAAACAGTGTACAGAGTAAGTCATGGGACAGAGCATGTTCAGTGACGAAGCCAGGACGAATGGTTCATCTGTTTATGAAGTGATATATTGTGCTGACTGATCTTAAATAGGACTGGATAACAAGATTGATGGTCGGAATTATCCTCGATTGGAAGAAATATTTACGATTATTGATATGAAAATAGTATTATCGATAATACCTTACACAAACCATTGTGATGAAATACAGTTTAAATTTACCGAAACAGACTTGCTATTGTCAACCATGTCAATTGCCAAAGATGGAAGCAACTGTTTTTTGTTATCTTAAATGTCCACAAAGTAATCAATGCATAAATGTGTTGCACCTCACCAGTGGTGTGAAGTATGTTGATTTCTTTCGGACTTTTTCGCATTTTTGCTCAAAGTTACTTCTCCGATATTTATCCATAATTGATCAATATTTTGTTAACGATTATTAATCTCTATGATCTATATCGATAGCCAGCCCTAATCTTGACATATGGGGCTAAAATATGGGGGCATACAGTTCATGATAAGTAAAAAATGATCCACAGAAAATTTTGTAAATTTATTTTGGAATAGGGTATATGCCATCAAATTGTGTTGCTTAGGGAGAAACTGGAAGATGTCAATTATAGGGTGTCTGTGTCACTAAGTGTGTAAAGTACTGTCTCGGTCTGCTAAGAGTTGTACCAACTAGTTACACATATCAATGCCACGCTGTTGTGATCTGTGGCCAATAGAAATCAGCCAAATTGGGCATGACCTATTAAAAGTTTATTATTTAACTTTAGCTTTGGCTATGTGTGGGGCGCACAAGAAGTCGGTGATAATGCTTTGTTTACATTGCCCTTTCAGCAAAGAATTAGTGATTGTGCAACAAAGGTTTGGCCAGCCATGCTACATGGTAATACATTAACCCCTGTAGATCTGGGGTAGAATAGGTCTTCAGCAAACCATGCTTGCCGTACTAGGCGACTATGCTTGTCGTAAAAGGCGACTATGCTTGTCGTAAAAGGGGACTAACGGGATCGGGTGGTCAGGCTCGCTGACTTGGTTGATGCATGTCATTGATCCCAGTTTCGTGGATCGATGCTCATGTTATTAATCACTGGATTGTCTGACCCAGACTTGATTATTTACAGACCGCCGTCATATAGCTGCGACGTTAAACAACAAACCAACCAAGTTACTTTGGGATTGTGAATATTATTTACTCCAGGTTGAATCATGTGCTTACAGAAGAATTATCACTGAATTTAGAAGTGGATGTAATAATCTAGGTATTTAGTTCAAAGGGGTATGAGATTATTGATGAAGATGTTTTATGTAAAAGATGTAGGGTACCTGAGGATGAATATCATATTCTGTATAACTGTTTTATATAAGGCTTAAAAAAAATAAAATGACTTTTGAAAATATAGTGTGGGCAGTCAGTGGTTTTTAGTTTTTTTATGCTTGTTCAAACTGGTATTTAACCAAATAAACAGTCGTGTACCATCAACCTGGGAAAGGGCCTCCCTACATAAACTTGCATACAAACTCCTATTGCCGCCATGAACATAACACGAGATGCACAGTAAAGCAGTGTGCATGTAAATTAAAGTTACTGCATGCAATATTGGATCGCATTGTTTTTAAGTATTAGGATATTTTTCTTTTTTACATGGAAATACAAACGAACGTGCGTCAGACTTTATGATGATGCAGCAGTGCCTTTGAACAAGGACTATTATTTGTTTTAGCCTAATGACAAAAAGGGAACAATTACTTTCACAACATTGTGACATTTATTACAGTATTGCTTCTCTGTGTCCATTATCCCAACCAGAACTAAATGTAAAGTTTCCGAAATTTCTAGTGTATTAATTCAAATTGTGAGAGGTATTAAGATGTGTATAACTCTCATCAATAATGCTTTGAAGACTTTATGTACTATGGGTCTTTGGCCTTTAGTACAGTAAAATGAATGAATTTAAGACATAGGCAAATTGACAAAGTAGACAAAATCCGTCAACATTGAAGTAATGCCTTTCAAACGATTCATTGGTTGACAGATTCTGGCAACCCTTAAATAATAAATAGTTGAAAACATAGTAGTACATTTGTACTGAAACTGACTGACAGCTGACAATCTTTCAACAGGACTGGGATCCATGGCGTGTGGAAACACTGTTCTTCGAGGCCAACCTCCTCTTCTTGTCGTCCATCTTGTCAGTGTTGACGTACCACAACATCATGTCATCTTACGTCATCCTGCTGTGGGTCATGTTCCCCATCATCATCAGGGACAGGATGAGCAGACTGCTCAGCATCACATTCAGAGGTAGGTACAGGCAGCTATTGGGACATCGTTAACTTGGATCACTTTCTGAGGTGGGTCACTTTCCTTGTTATCATCATTTAGTTCTTGCTAAATTTCATTTTTTTCAACTTTTTATTTACCAAGTTTGTTAACCTCTTTGTTCACCTGAAGTCACTTAGGGACACTGTGTGTTTTTTCTGAGCATAACACTTGATAAAATATTTTTTTACACTATGAATAATAAACGACTACTTTGTTCTAATCTCTTTTCAAACTCTGAAACATGCAGCGTAGCTCGTGCAACGTGTTAGGTACCATACTTTCCTGAGTATAGTTTCTTATCACCTGTCCGTTTACCAGAATTCGCTGAATGGGCACGGTGTAATTTTTTTCTGTGCATAATATCCGTATGGTTTTTTTTCAAAATACTGAATCCGCTAGAGGGGGGTGCACATTATACTTGGGTGCGCACTATACTCAAGAAAATACAGTAGTCAGAGCAAGCATGTGTTGGTCATCTACCCCATATGACACCACCTCGGTTAAACTGCCGATCAGGATTTGGACCCCCAAGGTAGCTTTGTAGTGAGGGATCACTGTATACCTGTTATAAGAACATAAAGAATGTGGCGTTGATGGTTCACATTATCAGGAATTAGACTCCGACAAAATAGCACTCAACTTGTATAACATCGTCTGCTTGACATTCAGCTGGTGCCAACTTCATCATAATCAAAGGGAGATAATCCATAGTGTGGCGTTTGGTCAGGACTGTATTTTGTTTTTGTTTTGTTTGTTTGTTTAATGCCACACTGAGCAATATTCCACCTATATGACGGCAGTCTGTAAATTATCGAGTCTGGACCAGACAATCCAGTGATTGATATCAAGAGTATCGATCCACGCAATTGGGATCGATGACATGCATCAACCAAGTCAGTGAGTCTGACCACCCGATCCCGTTAGTCGCCTCTTACGACAAGCATAGTCGCCTTTTACGGCAAGCATTGGTTGCTGAAGACCTATTCTACCCCGGATCTTGGCGGGTCTGGTCAGGACTGAATTCTGACAACAATTTAATCTCTTAGCCATTGATATATTTTGGGGTTTTAAGATTCATTTTAGTTAGGGCCTTATTATTAACATCTCATGAAAAGTTTATGTTTTTTTAAAGAGGGATCCTGCTTCTCAGTCCATCACCTATTACCTGCCTTGCTCTCAATGTTGTAGTTGGTGTCTTGAGTGAAACTAAGAAATAGCCTCTGAGTTATTTTGGTTGTCATTAAGGTCCAGACATGTATACATTGTAACATTTTAAGTTAAAACAAGGTGTGATTGAATGGCTTGAAACAAACTTGCTGATTGGCTGTGCATAGTCACTCTTTTAGATCACTTGGACTAATTGTTGATTGTGCTTGTGAAAAAGTTATTTTTTTCATTATTCTTATTTTTAGACAACCATTCAGCATACTACCTCATGACCTTCACCTCGCTGTTTGTGCCGGCATTCTACACAGTCTACATAACCTACGCCCTCATACACTTCTTCATCCCCATCATGGGGCGGCTTGGAAGAGTTGTGGTTCCTGACATTCCAGTCAGTGTCATCACAGCCTTCCCAGTCCTCCTTGCTGCAGGCTTCCAGGTAGGTCCTTCTCTACACAGCCTTCCCAGTCCTTCTCTACACAGCCTTCCCAGTCCTCCTCAACACAGCCTTCCCAGTCCTTCTCTACACAGCCTTCCCAGTCCTTCTCTACACAGCCTTCCCATTCTTCCTTGCTGCAGGCTTCCAGGTAGGTCCTTCTCTACACAGCCTTCCCAGTCCTTCTCTACACAGCCTTCCCAGTCCTTCTCTACACAGCCTTCCCAGTCCTTCTCTACACAGCCTTCCCAGTCCGTCTCTACACAACCTTCCCAGTCCGTCTCTACACAGCCTTCCCAGTCCCTCTCTACACAGCCTTCCCAGTCCTTCTCTACACAGCCTTCCCAGTCTTCCTTGCTGCAGGCTTCCAGGTAGGTCCTTCTCTACACAGCCTTCCCAGTCCTTCTCTACACAGCCTTCCCAGTCCTCCTCCACACAACCTTCCCAGTCCTCCTCCACACAACCTTCCCAGTCCTCCTCCACACAGCCTTCCCAGTCCTTCCCTACACAGCCTTCCCAGTCTTCCTTGCTGCAGGCTTCCAGGTAGGTCCTTCTCTACACAGCCTTCCCAGTCCTTCTCTACACAGCCTTCCCAGTCCTCCTCCACACAACCTTCCCAGTCCTCCTCCACACAACCTTCCCAGTCCTCCTCCACACAACCTTCCCAGTCCTCCTCCACACAACCTTCCCAGTCCTCCTCCACACAACCTTCCCAGTCCTCCTCCACACAACCTTCCTAGTCCTCCTCCACACAACCTTCCCAGTCCTCCTCCACACAACCTTCCCAGTCCTCCTCCACACAACCTTCCTAGTCCTCCTCCACACAACCTTCCCAGTCCTCCTCCACACAACCTTCCTAGTCCTTCTCTACACAACCTTCCTAGTCCTCCTCCACACAACCTTCCCAGTCCTCCTCCACACAACCTCCCCAGTCCTTCTCAACACAACCTTCCTAGTCCTCCTCCACACAACCTTCCTAGTCCTCCTCCACACAACCTTCCCAGTCCTCCTCCACACAACCTTCCTAGTCCTCCTCCACACAACCTTCCCAGTCCTCCTCCACACAACCTCCCCAGTCCTTCTCAACACAACCTTCCTAGTCCTCCTCCACACAACCTTCCTAGTCCTCCTCCACACAACCTTCCCAGTCCTCCTCCACACAACCTTCCCAGTCCTCCTCCACACAACCTTCCCAGTCCTCCTCCACACAACCTTCCCAGTCCTCCTCCTCACAAACTCTGGGACTACTGTGTCAGGCTTTTGTTCATCAGCAGAGATTTGATTCCCAACACAGGTACAATATGCAAATACTGATGTCAACATATTTGTTGCAACATTTGGGGAAATTAAACCTCACTCACTTCAGATGTATCCAGCTGCCACCCTTGGTCTTCAAATAACTGTGAAGCAAACCTGCAATAACTGATGAAGGGATGTCATGTATTACAGTATATGGAGTGTATAGGGTCACATGGTCACTACAATATGTATGTAGTACGTCGCGATGTACATGATTGATGTTTGTAACTGATGTTCCAGGCCGGCATGGTGTATCCGTCCAAGAAGATCGGTCGGATGGTGGGCATCCTGGGTCTTCTGTCTATTGCTGGCTTTCTACTCGTGGTCCTCACACCCCTAGGTTTCCCTTATTCAACAACTAATGAACAAATGTCACGTCAGAGAACAGCTGTCATGGTGAGTTACAGCTGAACAACCAGCTGAATCATGTTGATATTTAGCAGAACACGGCTGATGTGTAGTCAGCTGCAGCAGAACATGGCTGATGTGTAGCCAACTGCAGCAGAACATGGCTGATGTGTAGTCAGCTGCAGCCGAACATGGCTGATGTGTAGCCAGCTGCAGCCGAACATGGCTGATGTGTAGCCAGCTGCAGCCGAACATGGCTGATGTGTAGCCAACTGCTGCCGAACATGGCTGATGTGTTGCCAGCTGCAGCCGAACATGGCTGATGTGTAGCCAGCTGCAGCAGAACATGGCTGATGTGTAGCCAGCTGAAGCAGAACATGGCTGATGTGTAGCCAGCTGCAGCCGAACATGGCTGATGTGTAGCCAGCTGCAGCAGAACATGGCTGATGTGTTGCCAGCTGCGGCAGAACATGGCTGATGTGTAGCCAGCTGCAGCCGAACATGACTGATGTGTTGCCAGCTGAAGCAGAACATGGCTGATGTGTAGCCAGCTGAAGCAGAACATGGCTGATGTGTAGCCAGCTGAAGCAGAACATGGCTGATGTGTAGCCAGCTGCAGCAGAACATGGCTGATGTGTAGCCAGCTGAAGCAGAACATGGTTGATGTGTAGCCAGCTGCAGCAGAACATGGCTGATGTGTTGCCAGCTGAAGCAGAACATGGCTGATGTGTAGCCAGCTGCAGCCGAACATGACTGATGTGTTGCCAGCTGAAGCAGAACATGGCTGATGTGTAGCCAGCTGAAGCAGAACATGGCTGATGTGTAGCCAGCTGAAGCAGAACATGGCTGATGTGTTGCCAGCTGCAGCAGAACATGGCTGATGTGTAGCCAGCTGCAGCAGAACATGGCTGATGTGTTGCCAGCTGCGGCAGAACATGGCTGATGTGTAGCCAGCTGCAGCCGAACATGACTGATGTGTAGCCAGCTGCAGCAGAACATGGCTGATGTGTAGCCAGCTGCGGCAGAACATGGCTGATGTGTAGCCAGCTGAAGCAGAACATGGCTGATGTGTTGCCAGCTGCAGCAGAACATGGCTGATGTGTAGCCAGCTGCTGCAGAACATGGTTGACGTGGTACCATCTGCGGCAGAACATGGTTGATGTGTAGCCAGCTGCTGCAGAACATGGTTGATGTGTAACAATCTGCTGCAGAACATGGTTGATGTGTTTGCAACAGCAGCAGAACATGCTTGATATGTGATGTGTAATGATTGTTGGTTGTGTAGCGGCCATACAATTTTCGAGTCCCATGATGGGATTTCAACCACGGACCTTCTGATCCGAGGTCGGACGCCTTGTCCATATGACCAAAGAGGTTATCCCCATCAGCAAGCTGACAAGGTAAGGATGTCATCTGTGGGATGACTCCACGCCCTGCTACAGTTGTGATGTCACGATTCACCAGTACACCGGTGCATCGTCAGCAACCTTTGCACAATACAATACCCGATGCATTTAATTTGGTGTCGGTTTACATTTAACCAAATATTGATTGTCCATCCTGATCTTGCATCGATATCAATAAGCAAGTACAAACTATGTTTTAAGTTCTTCATAACTTTCTTGGTTGTCTTTTAACTTTATGAGCAAGTCTATGGACTCTATTCTGTCTAGTTTTCCGCAAAAAATGTTGAATATGCAATATCAAGATATGTATCATATTGTAGCTTCTGTATCGGGATATGTATTGTATCGTGTGACCCCTGTATCGCGACACCCTCAACTGTTGACATGTTTTCCTGTTTGCCTTACAGCACATAGACAGACAGTTCCACGACCAGTCCATGTCTGTGATAAGACGAGACTCCTCATTGTGGTACATTCCATTCGACTACAAAGGCCCCCGGCTATTGCAGAAGGAGGTGCCAGAATTGTTTGCAGAGGCCAAGCCAGTCCTCTGTGAAGGAGCCTACTGCGGAAGGCCCTACCTCTACCCTGTCTTGCCACTCTTTGATGCAGTGTAAGTTGCCGCACCACAGTGTAAGCTCTCTCAAGAGTGTAGGTTGTTTCTCCAGTTGTCTCACTAGTGTATGTTGTACTGTACATGCCCCAACACCTGCTGATCTATAAGCATGTTAGATACCACCATGTTTTGTCCATGCCCTGATTGCTGTTGTATAATTTATGTTAAATACTATTATGCGTTGTTCATGCCCTGACACCTGGTGTTTTGACCATCTGCAGTGACAGTCTGGATCTCCCTGCTCCACGGCTCAACCTGACTCGGCGACTCTCAGTCACAGTCACAAAGCGAGAGACTATAGCACCAGACCGAGTGAAGCTGTACTTCAGCGTCACTGGTAAGACTCATTCAAACACTCCATTGTCTGCTCAGAATATGATAGTTGTGGGATATGAATAACCCAGTAGTCCAAAGTATAACAAATAGCTGAAGCTACCACTATTTATTGGTTGTGGGTTTGAATCCCGATTCAGTTATCTTTGGTCTATCACAACAGGGAATTTCCCAAATATAAAATTACAAAAAAAGAAAAGAATTGGTTCTCAGGCAATGACTGTTGAAAATATAGTGTGGGCAGGCGGTGGTTTTTAGTTTTTTTATGCTTGTTCAAACTAGTATGTAACCAAATAAACAGTTGTGTACCATCAACCTGGGAAACGGCCTCCCTTCATAAACAAGCGGGAACAAGCTTACACGCCGCGATATAACTGGAATACTGTTAAAAGCGGCGTTAAACCCAACTCACTCACTCACTCACTCACTCACTCACTCACTCACTCACTCACTCACTCACTCACTCACTCACTCACTCACTCACTCACTCACTCATAAACAAGCATACAAACTCCTATTGCCACCGTGACCATAACACGAGATGCACAGTGAAGCAGTGCACATGTAATGGGAAGTAACTCTGTGCTATTTTGTATCGCATTGTTTTTAAGTATTAGGTTTTTTAATTTTTTGGAAAATGGAAATTAAAAAGGAAACGTGCAGCAGACTTTAGGATATTGCAGGCGGTGCCTGAGAACCAGGGGTTTTTTTTATTTTTTTTAGCCTTACATTAACGATCAGTGACACTTTGGACATTCCTAATACATTGATGTCCCATGCCACAATAGCGCTGGTGATATGATATGAAAGCAAGCTTCAACTCAGTCTCTCACTCACACAGGTGACTTATGAAAAGACCATTTAATCACATACTGTCATCAATGATGGCCACTTTGGGTTTACTAGTATGTAGGGGGTAGAGTTGCCTTAGCAAGCAATTTACCATACATGCAGTAGATAATGACAAGCTATGTAGTCGGACTGCCTGTAGGACTGACCGCTGCATGTTACTGTGACAGGTCCAGATCACATGAACTGCTACATCATGCCGAGGCCAGATGTCCGGGTCATCTGGTGGTCCATGGGCTCCCACGACCCCCAGCCAGTGCGGACCAATGACCACGTAACTGAACCAACCTACTTCCTCTACCACGCCCATGGCCATGAGTCAGAAGACAGCTGGGACTTTTCTGTGGAGTTCTATGTATGTCATATAATAATAGGAATTAATCATCATCATCATCATCATCATCATCATCTTCATATAATTATCATCATAATCATCATCATTATGATCATCATCTTTGGAATATACCTGTATACAGCCTCAGACCTATCCACGCCAACAAACCTGACCTTGTCCTTTTTGATAAATCCAAGGAAATCATTTATATAGCAGCCAAACGGTGTTACTTTTAACATGCAACCAAGAACAATCACATCCAGGTCAATCAGCTGTTGTACTATATCATGTTTCTCTCCCTCCAGGTCAATCAGCTGTTGTACTACATCATGTTTCTCTCCCTCCAGGTCAATCAGCTGTTGTACTATATCATGTTTCTCTCCCTCCAGGTCAATCAGCTGTTGTACTACATCATGTTTCTCTCCCTCCAGGTCAATCAGCTGTTGTACTATATCATGTTTCTCTCCCTCCAGGTCAATCAGCTGTTGTACTACATCATGTTTCTCTCCCTCCAGGTCAATCAGCTGTTGTACTATATCATGTTTCTCTCCCTCCAGGTCAATCAGCTGTTGTACTACATCATGTTTCTCTCCCTCCAGGTCAATCAGCTGTTGTACTACATCATGTTTCTCTCCCTCCAGGTCAATCAGCTGTTGTACTACATCATGTTTCTCTCCCTCCAGGTCAATCAGCTGTTGTACTATATCATGTTTCTCTCCCTCCAGGTCAATCAGCTGTTGTACTACATCATGTTTCTCTCCCTCCAGGTCAATCAGCTGTTGTACTATATCATGTTTCTCTCCCTCCAGGTCAATCAGCTGTTGTACTATATCATGTTTCTCTCCCTCCAGGTCAATCAGCTGTTGTACTACATCATGTTTCTCTCCCTCCAGGTCAATCAGCTGTTGTACTACATCATGTTTCTCTCCCTCCAGGTCAATCAGCTGTTGTACTACATCATGTTTCTCTCCCTCCAGGTCAATCAGCTGTTGTACTACATCATGTTTCTCTCCCTCCAGGTCAATCAGCTGTTGTACTACATCATGTTTCTCTCCCTCCAGGTCAATCAGCTGTTGAACTATATCATGTTTCTCTCCCTCCAGGTCAATCAGCTGTTGTACTACATCATGTTTCTCTCCCTCCAGGTCAATCAGCTGTTGAACTCTATCATGTTTCTCTCCCTCCAGGTCAATCAGCTGTTGAACTATATCATGTTTCTCTCCCTCCAGGTCAATCAGCTGTTGTACTACATCATGTTTCTCTCCCTCCAGGTCAATCAGCTGTTGTACTACATCATGTTTCTCTCCCTCCAGGTCAATCAGCTGTTGTACTACATCATGTTTCTCTCCCTCCAGGTCAATCAGCTGTTGTACTACATCATGTTTCTCTCCCTCCAGGTCAATCAGCTGTTGTACTACATCATGTTTCTCTCCCTCCAGGTCAATCAGCTGTTGTACTACATCATGTTTCTCTCCCTCAAGGTCAATCAGCTGTTGTACTACATCATGTTTCTCTCCCTCCAGGTCAATCAGCTGTTGTACTATATCATGTTTCTCTCCCTCCAGGTCAATCAGCTGTTGTACTACATCATGTTTCTCTCCCTCCAGGTCAATCAGCTGTTGTACTATATCATGTTTCTCTCCCTCCAGGTCAATCAGCTGTTGTACTACATCATGTTTCTCTCCCTCCAGGTCAATCAGCTGTTGTACTATATCATGTTTCTCTCCCTCCAGGTCAATCAGCTGTTGTACTACATCATGTTTCTCTCCCTCCAGGTCAATCAGCTGTTGTACTACATCATGTTTCTCTCCCTCAAGGTCAATCAGCTGTTGTACTACATCATGTTTCTCTCCCTCCAGGTCAATCAGCTGTTGTACTACATCATGTTTCTCTCCCTCCAGGTCAATCAGCTGTTGTACTACATCATGTTTCTCTCCCTCCAGGTCAATCAGCTGTTGTACTACATCATGTTTCTCTCCCTCAAGGTCAATCAGCTGTTGTACTACATCATGTTTCTCTCCCTCCAGGTCAATCAGCTGTTGTACTACATCATGTTTCTCTCCCTCCAGGTCAATCAGCTGTTGTACTACATCATGTTTCTCTCCCTCCAGGTCAATCAGCTGTTGTACTACATCATGTTTCTCTCCCTCCAGGTCAATCAGCTGTTGTACTACATCATGTTTCTCTCCCTCAAGGTCAATCAGCTGTTGTACTACATCATGTTTCTCTCCCTCCAGGTCAATCAGCTGTTGTACTATATCATGTTTCTCTCCCTCCAGGTCAATCAGCTGTTGTACTATATCATGTTTCTCTCCCTCCAGGTCAATCAGCTGTTGTACTACATCATGTTTCTCTCCCTCCAGGTCAATCAGCTGTTGTACTATATCATGTTTCTCTCCCTCCAGGTCAATCAGCTGTTGTACTACATCATGTTTCTCTCCCTCCAGGTCAATCAGCTGTTGTACTATATCATGTTTCTCTCCCTCCAGGTCAGTCAGAAGAAGGACAAGACTGACCCCATTGTGGATATAGGCTTTGGTGGCCACTACCTCCACGGCAACAATCAGAAGACGGAGCACTCCCAGAGATTTGCTTCCAAGCTTCCAGGCTGGACAGTCTATGTGGGTTGGTCCTGCACGTATGACATGTACACTCTGTAGGCGTGTAGTATCAACTGTTTACTCCCGAGACAAGCATAAGTAACTGCTGTAGGCAACTACCAAGAATTATACGTTCTGATGTAGAATACTGCTGAGTCAGGTCAAGTTCAGTGAAATTACAATCACCGTCCTTAACTACATTCTTGGGTTTGCAAAATCATGTATTTTGACACTTTATGTATTGGATTTACACTTAAGTTCTCATGTTCAAAGACAAACGTTTTGAATATTTTAGTTACTTACTCAGTTTGAATAGATCAAGGACATTCAAAGGAAGAGAAAGAAGGCGAAGCATTCAGCAAACGTTACATCGGTGGCTTCCCAGTCCAGGGGATGTGCGTTTCGCCCTTTCAACATTACGTTTATATATGCACTTGTCAAACAATATACAAGCAAATATAATCAAAACAATTGTAAAATTATATCGACATCTACTTTTGAAATTGATTTATCTTTCTTTGCATAACCATAGCTCTTGATACTGGTCTTGCATTTCAGGACGATAGAGAAAACTGTGATATTAAGGTTCATTAATGTATAATCCCCAGTTGGGACAAGGTCCTGGAGTTGCCTCCACTCAATACATATCATTGCAGCATAATAGTCTTGCTGTGTGAGGCTCTGCTGGTTGGTTGTTTGGTTTATTGTTTACCACCGCACTCAGCAATATTCCAGCTATGTGATGGCGGTCTGTAAATAATCGAGTCTGGACCAGACAATCCAGTGATTGATATTATGAGCATTGATCCACACAATTAGGATCGATGACATGCATCAACCAAGTCAGCGAGCCTGACCACCCGATCCTGTTAGTCGCCTCTTACGACAAGCATAGTCGCCTTTTACGGCAAGCATGGGTTGCTGACAACAAATTGATAAGTTGTCCATATTTACTTGAGTTCAACAATAACTGTGACAACAAATAATGAATTGTCAGTATTTCCTTTGGTTGATAAAGTTACAACAAAGTAATAACCTGTTCAGAAATTGTTTTTAGAAGTAAGCATGTGGAAGTCGTTTTATTATTTATTTATACATATAACATTTTCTTTATTCATTGATGAATAGCGATTTGTTTCAGCTATTAAATAGACATGACAAAGATTCAAATGTCATTTCTTTGTTATGCTTGGTAAGATTTATTTAATCACATTAATTACTTTTTGGAACAGTTATATTAAATAGTACTTGACCTGTGATATAAAATGGAGAAAAATAAAAGTACTGTATTTGACCTATTAAGTGCCCAGGGCTCTCTCAAAATTAGAAAAAGGGTGCTCTTATTGGAATATTATTTTGGTTAAAAAAAGATTGAGTTGAAAGATCGTAAATTTTATGGTTTATGCTGACAGCCTGAAATGATACAAAAGAAGAATATGTGCATATTATACACAATATATATATTTTCCAGGATTTAAGTGCCCATTAAGGGTGCATATAACACACGAGTGCATATTATACACGAATGAATAAGTCTCGTGTACATTCATCAATCGGAAGGGGTGCTAATTGGGATTGTTCACTGGCCAATATATAAGCACATATCGCTGTAGGAGCTTATTACGCCAAATACGGTAATTGAAGACATCTGTGACTCTGACAAACAAGTTGCAAGTTTGTTTTGTATGGCTGTCTGCATTCCTCTCTCTGATAATCCAGTGGATTTGATTGGTCAATTTTGGAAGTAAGGTGGTCATGGGGACCTTGATGTTGACTGCTACAGTGTGGGAACCTGGGGACCTCACTGCAGTTTTAACATGAGGTTTGCAAGGCCGTAGTTAACTTTTTTTGACAGGGGGGGAAATATTTGTACAAGTATCACTTGTCCCCAACTTGATTCAAACAAAACTGGGTTTTTTTTTAAAATCTAGGGGGCGCAACTGCTGGCTGGCTACAGCACTGGTTTGTGACAAGGACCCAACAACCACAGGGGCTTGTAACACAAAAATTAGCAACAAGATATATACGGTCACTAACAGGGTCGTAACTGTCAACTTTCATTTTTAATTTCAACCACTGGATTGTATGACCCTGTGAGGCGCCATATCCACCATTTTCTTTGTCTAGCACAGCACCAATTGGAAGAAGATTTATCACTTGTTGTTTGCCTATTTTTTTATACAAGAGGTTATTTACTTTTTATCACGTTTACAAATATAGTTTTAGATTATTGGAGCTTGAAGCTAAATTTGTTTAGGTGAAGAGTTTTTGTACAAGTTGGTTTGTTTACATGGCCTCCACTGAACACAATCAACCTGGTTTCCATAGATACCTGTAAGAATAGCTAAACTGCTGTTTTTATAGCATATGTTTTTAATTGTTAATATTTACCATTTCTGTAAAACTGATTGTAATTCAGTTATCTATAGCCTGTACATACCCTGATGGGGCTGTCCGCAGAGTTGGGTTATTGTTTGTTTGTTTGTTTGTTTGTTTGTTTGTTTGTTTGTTGTTTAATGCCGCACTCAGCCGTATTCCAGCTATATGATGGCTGTCTGTAAATAATCAAGTCTTGACTACACAATCCAGTTACTGATATCATGAGCATCGATCCACGCAATTTGCCCCGGATCTTCACAGGTCTTTTGGGTATGAGTAAATGTAAACTATCACATGGTGATTATACCTTTCCCTGTTGTATCATGGGGGAAGTGTTCAGATTTAGTCCATACCTTTACACAATCAGTCCGAATATGACTCTATTTATTCTGTTCTTTTTATCTTAACACTAAACATCAGTCATGTTGTTTCATAAGTATTTTTATTTTATATATTTTTTTCAAGTTTCGATGGAAGCAAACTTCAATTACTAATACGCAAGAAATGTTTTAAGGTTTTTACACATCATTCCAAATGGCTTTGCAACAGTGTGAACCAAGTGATTGGTATCTTACATTTGGAGGTCGTGCTAATGTACAATGTGTTTGCAATGGACAATAAGAGTACCTTGTCCCAACGTTTACGCAAAGGTTATTGAGATTATTGTCAAAATGCTGATTCTTTTTACAACATTAATGCTATCTCTATACAGCAATATTGATATCTGGATACAACATTAATGCTATCTCTATACAGCAATATTGATATCTGGATACAACATTAATGCTATCTCTATACAGCAATATTGATATCTGGATACAACATTATCTACATTGATTGTACTTGCCATTATTGATACATATCATTATCTGATATTATCAGTTTCTAATAGAGAATTATTGATATCTGAAATACAGAATAGTTGATATCTGAAATACAAAATTATTGATATATGTAATACTGAATAGTTGATATCTGTAATACAGAATTATTGATATATGTAATACTGAATAGTTGATATCTGTAATACAAAATTATTGATATCTGAAATACAGAATTATTGATATCTGTAATACAGAATTATTGATATCTTTAACACAGATTTATTGATATCTGCAACACAGAATTATTGATATCTGTATTCAACATTGTTGGTATCTCAATACAGCACCTTCACCATGTTGTATATTTTATTTCATTAAATAGTTTGAAAGAGATCAGTATTTATCATAAATTGAGTCCAAACCTTTATCTGTGAGTTCAAACTTGCCTGAATTTGTCTACCATCACTGCCATGTTTTGTTTTACGGCTGCTCCCTACACAAGGTCCTTCCATCAGATGCTGACTTCCCCTATAGGGAATTGGTCAAGGATATTCTGTATGACCATATTTGTTGATCATTGTTAATCATAAATCTTCCGTCAAACATGCTCGGTTTTTTCCAACTTCAAATCTTAAACTGATAACAATTGTATGATTTTTCAAATAGTATCACTGTTATATATGCTCAAGGTTCTGTCAAACTCATGTTTCGTTGATAGTACTTTTGTTGCACTTTAGGTGCGCAGATGTCGATCCATTGTAAAATATTTACTGTAGCTCCTGAGACGGACATACTCTGAGTGGGCTGCTGAGTGGCACATTTTGGGAGTATTTTCTGGATTTTTGAATCACATTATAATTAGTATTTTAATGACAATTTTGTAGATTATTTATCCAGATATAACCATTTGCTTGAACCAATAAATAAAAAATAAATAAAAAAGGTATGGCACAGCTGTCATTCCATTTGCCGAACTGACCATCCATAGAATCAATACAGTGTCAGTGTGGTTCGGCTTCAGCTGCTGGTGTTTGGGGTGTCAACTGAAGGCAGTCAGGCTGCAATTCTCTTGGTGAAAATGAGTCACAAAAGGTCTGAAGCTGTAATTGTATTTCTGTCTGAAAAAAACAGTTCAGAATGTTAACACAGTTTATTTTGTATCAAAGACATACGCCTGGCTGCCTAGATTGATATTAACAGCTGCTGAGTGTGATAAATGTAAAGAATTGAAGGTGAATATTGAAAGTTTTTTTTGTATCATGTAAGTATGTATATATATTTCTATGTGAACATATAACATTTTCAAACTACATGGCAGTTTTTTTCTTTTGATGTACAACCCCTAATGTACTTGAACACTTTTATACCGTTTCGTTACAGGGATGACAATGTATCTGCTATACAGGGCATGGATAAGGGAAAATGACAATCTGACTGCAAATGGATATGTGACTTTCCAGTTGAGAGTGCATCTTCAGGACCTCCCAGTGTCCTTGCTGAAATCCATTCACAATGGCACACACTGCTACTTGTTGACCAGACATCATCTAGACATTACTCCTGTTTCAAGACTTCATTTCCTCAGTAAATAAACCCCCCTCCCCCCCCCTTACTGCTACTTGTTGACCAGACATCATCTTGACGTTACTCATGTTCCAAGACATCATCTTGGCATTATTCCTGTTCCAAGACTTCAGTTCCATTGTAAATGCCCCCTTTACTGCTACTTGTTGACCAGACATCATCTTGACGTTACTCATGTTCCAAGACATCATCTAGGCGTTATTCCTGTTCCAAGACTTCAGTTCCTTTGTAAGTGCCCCCTACACTGCTGCTTGTTGACCAGACATCATCTTGACGTTACTCATGTTCCAAGACATCATCTAGGCATTATTCCTGTTCCAAGACTTCAGTTCCTTTGTAAGTGCCCCCTACACTGCTACTTGTTGACCAGACATCATCTTGACGTTACTCTTGTTCCAAGACATCATCTAGGCATTATTCCTGTTCCAAGACTTCAGTTCCTTTGTAAATGCCCCCTACACTTCTACTTGTTGACCAGACATCATCTTGACGTTACTCATGTTCCAAGACATCATCTAGGCATTATTCCTGTTCCAAGACTTCAGTTCCATTGTAAATGCCCCCTATACTGCTACTTGTTGACCAGACATCATCTTGACGTTACTCATGTTCCAAGACATCATCTAGGCGTTATTCCTGTTCCAAGACTTCAGTTCCCTTGTAAGTGCCCCCTACACTGCTGCTTGTTGACCAGACATCATCTTGACGTTACTCATGTTCCAAGACATCATCTAGGCATTATTCCTGTTCCAAAACTTCAGTTCCTTTGTAAGTGCCCCTACACTGCTGCTTGTTGACCAGACATCATCTAGGCATTATTCCTTTTCCAAGACTTCAGTTCCTTTGTAAATGCCCCCTACACTGCTACTTGTTGACCAGACATCATCTTGACGTTACTCATGTTCCAAGACATCATCTAGGCATTATTCCTGTTCCAAGACTTCAGTTCCTTTGTAAGTGCCCCATACACTGCTACTTGTTGACCAGACATCATCTTGACGTTACTCTTGTTCCAAGACATC